ATCTATATATATTTGTTTCGGAAATTCCGATAGCTGCTGATAAAGAATTGATCCAAGTTAAAATTGTTTTATTATCTGATGAATTTCTAGATTCAAATATGATAAGATTTAATCTCTATTTTTTTGTACTTTCGTTTTTCAAAAAATACATCTTTAAGCTGCATATATTTTTCTGGTTAATTGATCCTGCATAACCCTTCGATATCCTGTCGAATAAGATAAGTCTGCAAAGCGAATTATATATAAGCCTTTATGAATAAATAAAGTCTGCAAATGTTGTCATCTGTTCAAATACCCCTAAAATATTGGTCACATCAGATTAATACATCCGAAGAAATAGTAGTGCTGCAGTAATATATTGTATGAAGCGTATTTAAATTTTAAAAATGTTTGAATTATATAACGTAGAAATAAAAGCATGTATCTAATAAATTAATATGCAATTGTTTTTTGTTTTTTGTTTGTTTTTTTGTGTGTTTTTTTTTAAAGTAGATCTAGATCTATTCCCGCGCAAAAAAAAACGCACAAAAACAACTGACGTAAGGCCTATAATTAAAGAAACTGTCGCCTAGAAATAAATAATGACTTGATTATTTCATTTCACGGCGTCTCAACGCCGTGATATTGTGATGGGTAGTTTTCGGTAGCATGGGCAAAAGTCAAGTGACAAAATGCCTTTCGATTTCTACAGCCGACATTTTATTGTTTTTACGTAATCATTGTACAGCCAGTTTCCGTGAAAAGTTACATAGAAACAGTTTTTTTTTTCAAAACCATATAGAATCTAAACAGTATTTTTATCAACACACGAAATATCAGCGTTTTATATTAACACATTTCCGGACATCCTTTCGACATGCTTGAGAAATTCGCCTTGAATGGATTATGTATGGTGGCTGATTAACGCCATTCAAATATTTTCGCGTCTTCGCCTCAAAATGCGAAAATGCGATAACACGAAGGGACGACATATTTTGACGAATGTGTTCTCATGTCGGATCTATGTCTCTCTCGGAGTGAATCTTTTCACGTGTAAAATGTCTTTGAACATTACATTCCTAAGTTTCTATATTTGCAATTAAGAACTTAAATTGTCTTCTTTTTTTAGCTCACCAGAGCCGAAGGCTCAGGGTGAGCTATTAGTATCAAAGGGGGATACTCCGGCGTCCGTCGTCCGTTGTCATGCGTCAACAATCATCTTCTTCTCTGAAACTGCTGGGCAGATTTAACTAAAATTTGGTCTGTAGCATCCTTGTGATAGTCACACTTAAATTTGCTCATGTCATTTCAATTGGCCCCTTTAAGGGTTCAGCAGAGCTAAAAATAGAAAAACCTTTAAACATCTTCTACTACAGAACTAATGGATATATGATCACCAAACTTTGTCTGTAGCATCCTTAGGTAGTCTTTTATCAAGTTTGCTCATATTAATTTGATTGGCACTAGGGCTAAAAATGGAAAAACCTTTAGACAATTCTTCTACAGAACCAATTGATGGATGATCACCAAACTTTGTCTGTAGCATTCTTGGGAAGTCTTTTATCAAGTTTGCTCATATTAATTTGATTGGCCCCTTGTAGGGGCTGCTTTAGCTAAAAATAGAAATACCTTTAAACGTCTTCTACTACATATCTGATGGATGATCGCCAAAATTTGTCTGTAGCATTTTTAGGTAGTCTTTTATCAACTTTGCTCATATTAATTTGATTGGCCCCTTTTAGGGTCAGTATGGCTTAAAATAGAAAACTTTAGACATTTTCTTCTACAGAACCAATTGATGGATGATCACCAAACTTTGTCTGTAGCATTCTTGGGTAGTCTTTAATCAAGTTTGCTCATATTAGTTTGATTGGTCCTGTTAAAGCTAAAGCTTAAATGCACTAGCGTTTCTTTAAATTAAAGTTTAAAGATATTCTAAGCTCTAATTTTAATATAAAAAAAAATATTGACAATGGATACACAGTCTCCTTATAAATATAAATATGAAATATACGTGTTTTGACTTCACACAAAGTAGATATGTTATGCTTTAAACTCTTAACACTATTCGTGGTCACAGTATAAATATAATGATAGTGTCATTACAAAAACTTTTTTTTCTTCTTTTTTTTTTATAGAAAAGACCATCTTTACATTGCCTCTAATAGCATATGCAGTTTCCTGTACATAGTATATTCATTCTTTTATCCAAGTAAGACATTTTCAGCAAGAATTTCATAAATTTCATTGGCTTGGGTAATGACCTGTTTATGATGTGTAAATATATTTCAGCTCTGGAATTCGGACTACTGCATCATTGTAAGGTCAGTTGTAGGTCATTAACCAGGAAAAAAATAGGCCTAAAGAAACATAAAATTTGTTTCTCCTGTACATGTACTTTACTATCAAAGATGAGTTTATCTGCTCAATTCTCTTATTGAATTTTGTAAAAAATTGTAATTTTTTCATTTTTTGTTGTTGAATTAACAAGGGACAAGGGGTTTAATTTCTGTTTCTGAATTGAATTTTGCTATGAACTGGCTTACTTTTGATATATTTGATATCGCTTTACCTACTTTTTTTGTCTTTTATGTACAGACTTGAAATTTGGACTATGGGTGTAATTCGTGTAATTTTTGATGTTGAATTCAATTTTGATACCAGTTGACCTACTTTAGGTATTACTGACATCATTTGACCTACTGTCTTGTATTTTGACATTCAGATTTAAATGTTGACCAGGTTTGTAAATTCTGATGTCGAAATGAATTTTGATATCAACTGACCTACTTTTGATATTTTTGATATAATTTGACTTTCATTCTTGTGTTCTTGACATACAGACTTGAAATTTGGACTAGGGGTGTAATTTCTGATGCTGAATTGAATTTTGATATTAACTGGCCTACTTTTCATATTTTTTACAATGTTTGACCTATTGTCTTTTTTTGAGGTACAGTTATGTTACCATACAGAATGTATATAAAAAAATTGTCCCAAACTGTGAACTTCAAACAACTACACCTTACATGTTTTGCATGTGACATTTTGTGTTTTCATTCAAAAAAAGTTTTTAGAAATTGTCCAATAAAAATTAATCCTGCTCTAGTGGTCAGTTGTTCTGCATTTATTCTACATAGTCTCATAGGAACACACTTGCAACATACATATTTTAACAAATCCTTTCCAAAATATAAGGGCAAAATATTACAATTTTTATAGTGAATAATGAAATGATGGGTTAGATAAGTCATCTAGGGCCATCTTAGTGGTCCTATTGTTTATTATGAAGAAAAAAAGCTAAAACAATCAGTGTTGTGAAAGTATATTACTAAAGGGGCAAGTTAAAGTTGATCGAGCTGAACTGCCGAAAGAGCTGGACTTGCCTTTCAGCAAGTTCTTTTGAAAATTAATTTCCAACACTGAAAAACAGTTGTTTCTAGTGAGCGACTCAGGGCCATCATGGCCCTCTTGTTTAATAATTTCATTTTTCTTGCGCAATTCTCTAAAATGAGACTTGGTTTTTCTATATGCGTTTCACAATTAACATTAACCATACCAGGTTGTAAAATAACTTAATTTGGTCCTTAAATCAGTTTTTACCACAACATCAAACTTCATTCAGAATTCATGTCACGTTATTGTGAGCAAAATTCTGAGTTTCCTTTAGATATGAACAAGAAAATGTTTATTACCCCCCGCCGAAAAGACGGATATAGAATTAGTCTCCATCCGTCCGTCTGTCCTTCCGTCCGTCACTCTACATTTTTTGTCCGGAGCATATTTCAAAAAGTATCAATTTGAAACTTCATAGGTGGAGGTATCAACTTGAAACTTCATTTGTGGATAAATCATATTTAGGAAAAGTGCAGTGCACAAGAATGATAACTCTACGCTGCATATTTATTTCATTGTTGCCCTTTGTTATTCTTCAAACTCAATTTTTGTCCACAGCAAAAAGCCTTTGAGATATCAACATGAAACTTCATGTGGATAGATCTCACTCAGGAGGTGTGCAATGCAAGAGTGATAACTGTACCATTTCTAAATTTTGAGTTATTGCTCTTTGTTATTTTTCATACTTAATTTTTCACCCGAGTGGATCATAAATTAACTAAAAAAACAAACTTTGAGATGTCAATGAAATCTTCATAGGTAGATTGATCTTTTTGAGGATGAATGTTGTGCGAAAGAATGATAACTCTAACCTTTATAATTTTTGAGTTATTGACATTTGTTATTTTCTTACTTTTTGTCCGGAGAATATCTAAAAAAGTGGTAGAGGTAACAACTTGAAACTTCATAGGTGGATAGCTCTTTTTGATGAGAAGTGCAGCAGACTAGAATGATAACTAACCGTGCATTATTTTTCAGTTATTGCCCTTTGTTATTTTTCATACTTAATTTTGTCCAGGGTATAACTACAAAAGCCTTTGAGATATCTACATGAACCTTCAAAGGTGGACAGATCTCACTCAGCAGATATGAAGTGCAAAAGATTGATAACTCTACCCTTCATAATTTTTAGTTATTGCCCTTTGTTATTTTTCATACTTAATTTTGTCCATAGCATAACTACAAAGGCCTTGGAGATATCAACATGAACCTTCATAGGTGGATAAATCTCACTCGAGAGGTATGCAGTACATAAGAATGATAATTATTCTGCTCTACTACATATAAACATGGCTCTTGTAACAAGTTACATGATTATGATATTTTAAAACCTTCTGAACAAGTTAACATGTCAATTCAAAACAATGCTATTTGGAGATACCTTATCAATATATTTAACTGGGTTTTTTTTTTCGTTGTTTTTTTTTTTGTGTGAGCGGGTTGGTTTTTTTTTGTTGTTGTTTTTCGCCGTGACAATCATATTGCTGCATTTCCCAGCAATTTTTTACTTGTTTAATTAACATGTTGGTTAGAATTGCGGCCGGGCTCCCGCTACAAGGATCCGTCAATGTATCTTTTAAAACCCCGAAATAAATGAACCAATCGCGTAAAATCTTCACGTTGTGATGGTGCGCATGCGCAATGAAGACGGGACGGCCATTTGCACCATAACAGGGAAATCAACGAAAGAGAAAGGATCACAAAAACGGGTATATCGTCATTTATTAATTATTTAATTACATGAAAAGTTTTTTTAAAATAATACCTGGTAGTTTTATTGATGAAATGTAGTCGGTATGCGTTAATAGGTTACGTGCAGTCAACTTAAACCTGTTTTATTTTTAATTGCAAGCATAATTTTCAGCTGTACACACGATGTGGTCACAGATGGTTTTACACATTACCGCGGGAAACGTGTCACTTGTATATATTCAGTAACTTGGTGTTCTTTAACGATTTTGGAGTTTCAGTAATTAATGGTGAAAGAAGCTTTTTAAAGGAATATGACTGGTTATAAATGGGTATGACTAAATACCGAATATGAATTCAAGGCTCACACTGGCTCAAATAAAATGACAATAAAATAATAGCCAATATTTTTAACTTAAAAAAATAATAGCCAAAAGTTGAGCGGCCTATTCACGATTTAGCGATTAACAACATAAGCAGTTGATTAGATAAACATTCCATTTAAAACTTCTTCAGTTTTATAAGGATTCTCAAACGGGGCTCAAGCTAGGTTCAGAATTTAGGGAGAAGTCACTTCTCCCTCCAGCTGCTTTAGGGAGAAGTGGGGAGACTTTAGGGAGAAGTGAGGAGATTCATTTATCGATGTTTGTTGTATGTTATTGCAATTATGTTGACTCACTGTACATATCTTATTATAGTGGAACCCCATTGTATCGTGCTTTTCATTGTATCGATCTATTTACAAATCTTTCGATTTTTTTGCAAAATGCACTTGCTACTGATTGCTAACATTTACAACAGTGTCACGAAAATCTTCCGCATTAGTTTTGTGCCTTAAAAAATGGTCAAAAACATGTTTTCAGTACCGTCAGACTTTGTAGATAATAAATAGACTTATAAATAGTGTGTTCTTATAAAAACACATATACTGTTTGTTGAAAGTTCCTAAATTTATGCTGACATTTTAAAACAGACATCTTTGATTCTAATTGTCTGAAAAATCTAGCATAAAGATGGGTCAGGCTTCCCAAACTTTGAATAACTGAGCGATTCTCACAATGCATCGATATAATGGCGTGACCTAATTCTTCAACCTGTTTGACATGTCTGTAAATAACCGTATATTCCAAAGCTAAAAAATATATATCAGTGATGTCTGCCATCTAATATTTATGACAAAAGAATCAAAATAAATGCTACAAAATAAAGATTCAGGGAGATTTAAACTGCAGTTGTGATTTATGGGTAAATAGATCGATACAACGGGGTTCCAGGCTAAATGAATTGGATTTGTGTTACAACAGAATATTCAATTTTAATTTAAAAGTAGTTTGAAACAAGTTATAATAAGAATGAGTATCATGTAATGCAACCATTGCATTAAATGAAGATAAACAAGCATTTATCATAGTATTGCAAGCAATCCATAAGTCCCCCGATAGAACCCCATCAGCATTCTGAAGGGCCATTGGCCATTCACTAATGTGTAAATTTTTCTCTATTTTAAGTAAATTTGTTGGAAATGTTCTTTAAAAGTGATCACAGGAAAAAGTTTTTATGAACAGACAGACAGACGAACTGAAGGACACTCTAAAATTAATATTTGAAACATCCCTGTTACCAAAATATAACATTTTTAAAGAGCAAAATTCTTAAAGAGGAGATAACTCTGGAATTAAAGATGCAATTTCATAAAAAGTTTCAGCTCTTTTTGACTAGTCACAAATATTGTTATATTTGCCATGTTTTTTTTAAGCCTATTTGTTGCCAAGGCAACCAATATTTTTTCAAAATAGGGGGAACTGATAAGACCTGCATAATCTCAAGATTGCCATCTACCCATATGTCAAGTTTCATAAAAATATTTCCAGTACTTTTTGAGTTACCACTGGATTCAGTAACCAGATTCCATAGCAACCAGAATTTTCAACATGGGAAGAAAAGAAAAAGACGTGTATAATCTCCAGACTGCCATCTACACATATTACAAATTTCATAAAAATATTTCTATTACTTTTTGCGTTAACACTGGATCCAGTTTATGTGTAAAAATTGCCATATTTTCAGTCTATTTGTTGCCATAGCAACCAGAATTTTCAACATAGGAAGAAAAGAAATAGATGTGCATAATCTCCATACTGCCATCTACCCATATATCAAGTTTCATAAAAATATTTCCAGTACTTTTTGCGTTATCACTGGATCCAGTTTATGTGTAAAATTTGCCATATTTTCAGCCTCTTCAGTTGCCATAGCAACCAGAATTTTGAACATAGGAAGAAAAGAAAAAGACGTGCATAATCTCCATACTGCCATCTATCCATATATCAAGTTTCATAAAAATATTTCCAGTACTTTTTGAAAAATATTTCCAGTACTTTTTGCGTTATCACTGGATCCAGTTTATGTGTAAAATTTGCCATATTTTCAGCCTATTTGTTGCCATAGCAACCAGAATTTTCAACATATGAAGAAAAGAAAATGACGTGCATTATCTCCATACTGCCATCTATCCATATATCAAGTTTCATAAAAATATTTTTAGTACTTTTCAAGTTATCGCGGGATCCAGTTTTGTGGACGGACAGACGGACGGAGGGTAAACCTAAAGTCCCCTCCGGTAAACCGGTAGGGTACTAAAAAGCCATAGTTGATTCCTATCATGGATCATATCATGGGTGGATTAACAGTTATTCCCTTCTGATTTACTATTAAAAAGCTTGCGCCGGACATTATATTCATATTCACTTCTGTTGTAAAGAAAATGAAAGTAGACAACGAAAGAAACGATCTTGAATTTAACTACATTTGTAATAAATACAGTGTAATACGCCGTCAATTTTATTAAATTTAACTCGTCGACAAAAAGGGTTATCATAACTTTCATTTAAAATTACCGTTACAGTTACATGTCGAGCGGTCCTCTTAATTCTGACAATCATTCGATAGTGAAAATTTAATTGACGTTTGATCTGTCCATCATAAATAATTGTTACTGGTAGTTGTATGTTAGCGATTTAATTAGGAAATAGATATCAATTCTGAGTGCATTGTTGTAGAATAATGCACGGTTTGAGTTCAAATGCGTAGTAATATAATCACGAAGGCCGATAGGCCTGAGTGATTAATTACAAAGCATTTGAACGAAAAACGTGCATTATTATACAATTATGCACGAAGAATTGATATCTATTTCCATTCTAACACGTCAAGAAAAAATATAATTATTATTATAACGTTGGACATTATGTTTGGTGGTTGAATTTGTTTTCGCCTCAGAGTTTCCAATAGAAACGTTCTTTAAAGGCCGTTCCAGTGGGTTGAAAAAAAACTGTCGTTAAATCTACCGTGTGTAGAAACATTTTGAAAATAACGAATTTTGAAAACGTTGATACAACTTTGTTTGTTTATTTATTTCAGTTTATGATTTTCCAAGCGAAATACAAATTATTTCATTCTAGATAGTTTTCACAACAAAATTCGACAAAAATTGTTTTAATTTATCAGATTTTTCAAACAAAATGGCGCCTTCAATGTGAAAATACACAGGGAGATAATAAGAACGGCGAGTGCATTGTTGTAGAATAATGCACGCTTCCGGCCTTCTTTGTCTATATAGAAAAAATTCCGATAGTGTTAGAATGATTGGTTTAATAATGTCGCCTCGATTGAAACGTGAATTACGATTGGTTTCTCGCACGTATCGGTAATCTCGCCGTGGGCGGAGTCCAATTGTTCCTCGAGCGTCTGTTAATTAGACTTTTATGACATGTTGGTAAACAAACGGATTAATGACATTTCGCGTTGATTGAGATGCATGACAGTCCCTTTTTCCGGCGGCGAGGGTAAACAAAGCAAACACACACAACATGTTATCCACAGTTATTGTTGGTAATTTTCAATAATGGATCAATAAAACCGGGCGACTTCATCTTCGCTTTCATGTAGGATGTTGGCGAAGTCAGACGGAATTCGGCGACTATTTCGCCCGAATCGCCCAGTAGCTCTAGCCGTGCTCAAATAAACTGATACATTTGTGTATATTGATAACTACCTTTTTACACACAGACACTTTGGGTGATGTGCGTGGCTCCCCTTCTTGATCCGCACTTGTATACACCATGTCTATTTTTATTTGCAAACCGTACGTCAAAATATTTTTGCATATTATTACGACCTGGTCACATGTCTTGAACATAAATCTTGTTTTCCGCTATTTTAACAACTTTTAAAAAAGTCCCTAAAATATCATAATTTCATAAAGATAACAACGTACGCTTTCCTTTGATGTGAGACGACTGGAATGAGTTTCGGCACTGTTTTGCGCTTTCATTTTCATGCCGAGAACCAAAACCCCGTCGCGGTTACTTCCCCTAATCAGTACAGAAACCATATCAAGGAGACTGACGGAAAGGGCCAAGTAGTTGCGATTGAATTTGTTTTCCCAGCGATTTTCCCGCTGTAATTTACGGGAAACATTCCAGTCGTCATGAATTCGTAAAGAAGCATGTGACACGGTTAGGAAAATGTAATTAAATGTGCAAAGCTTGGAAGAAAGGTACGATCTGATAATAACATGCATTTATTTATTAAAGGAATATATGCATAGACTTGATTTACACCAGAAATAAATGGCATGCGATAACAGAAGTACCTGAAATATATATAGGTCAGTTGTGTTTACATTTCGAAGCTTGGTATCTTCAGGAAATTGAAGCGTTGGTAAAAAAATGACTTTTTTAAAACATTATGAAATTCTATTCAAACTTGTTCACGTGTTAGACACTTAACCATCTCATACTAATATAAGCACAAATTTAAAACTAATTCTTGTAATAAAAAATACTTTTAGTTTTAAGCTCGACTATTCGAAGAATATGAGAGCTGTTCTAGTCGCGTCAGCGTCCGCGTCTGCGTTGGTTAAAGTTTTTTGTAAAGTCAAATATCTCAATTATTGCTTGAGATATTCAATTGAAACTTGCAATACTTATTTATAGTAACAAGGTTCATCAGATTGACAAGTTGGATAACTCTGCCTACAATATTGACAGAATTATGCCCCTTTTTAACTTGGAAATTTTGGTTAAAGTTTTTTGTAAAGTCAAATATCTCAATTATTGCTTGAGATATTCAATTGAAACTTACAATACTTATTTATAGTAACAAGGTTCATCAGATTAACAAGTTGGATAACTCTGCCTACAATATCGACAGAATTAAGCCCCTTTTTAATTTAGAAATTTTGGTTAAAGTTTTTGTAAAGTCAAATATCTCAATTATTGCTTGAGATATTCAATTGAAACTTACAATACTTTTTTATAGTAACAAGGTACATCAGATTGACAAGTTGGATAACTCTGCCTACAATATTGACAGAATTATACCCCTTTGGAACTTAGAAATTTTGGTTAAAGTTTTTTTTGTAAAGTCAAATATCTTAATTATTGCTTGAGATATTCAATTGAAATTTAAAATACTCTTTTATAGTAACAGTGTATATCAGTTTGCAAAATTGCATAACTCTGCCTGCAATATTTGCAGAATATTTGCCCCTTTGCAACTTAGAAATTTTGGTTAAAGGTTAAAGGTCTTCAAAGATATTTACTTGAAACTTTACACATGCACTTAGGGTCATAATTGGAGGGTCATAATTGTATGTCACTGACCAAGTTCCATAACTCTATCTTGCATTAAGGCTGATTCATATCCCCTTTTCTACTTAGTCTCTTGGTTAATGTTAACATGATAGTTTTACATATCTCAATAACTATTAAAGATATTTATTTAAAACTTCACATATGCATTTAGGGTCATAATTGTAGGTCACTGACAATGATCCATAATTCTATCTTGCATTTAGGCTGATTTTTCTCCCTTTTTTCAACTTAAAAATTCATGGTAAAGTTTTGCTTGTAACCAAGGGTTTGTACTTTTTTTGGGACAATTTTATGCATTCATAATAATAAAGCAGTGATTAACTTGATAAAACATCTTAATAACAAGCCTTTGTACCTTTTCTGTCAAATTTATGTATTCGTAGGTAATTAGTATTATTTTACTCAATAAAACACCCTATAACATGAATTTATGAAAAAAATTAGCTCTTTTGTGAACTTAAAAAATTTAACATTATAAAGGCTCTTTTACTATCAAGCACTTAGAATAGTCGAGCATGCTGTCCTACCAACAGCTCTTGTTAATATTCAGGGGCGGAGAAGGGTGGGGTCCATACTCCAAGTGTCTGTGTTTTTACATAGAACGGAAAATCTGAACCAAAACTTTGATTGCATTTATAGAACATGTTATATACAGTCAAACGTGTTTTAAGCGACCGGGCAAGGGAAACACCAAAAACGGTCGCTTAATGAAACCGTCTCTTAAGACATTCAGCAATCTATAAAAAGTCAAAATTTATAAATGACATCTTTTTTATTCGATGGGATTGTTTTTCAACTTCATTTTTATATAAATGTTGAATGATAAGTACGCTCCGATAATCTAAACGGATGCAAATGTAAAAATAACGTTCTGGTATTTAATGACAAAATAGTTTTGATCCATTACGTACATGTTTGACATTTTTTCCAGAATTTTTTAACTTCTCCGTTGTTTTTCCTTGTCTCCAACACGAAACCCCTATTAGTGAAGATGTATTTCTGTTGTGCATTTTTCCATTTGAAATAAACAAACTACATCTATTTGTTACGATTAATTTAATGGCTGATCAAGTTCAAGGTCAATTCAATGCAGTCTAAATGTCAACAAGCGAAGCGTATACACCATCTCAGTATGGGCGGAGCGTTGCATTGTTTTTCCGATATTAATGGATAATACACCTCACGCGTATACTTAACTTCATTTGCATCCGCTAAAACGGTATGGGAAATAGAGTTTTTCACACGTTTATTGTTGTGTTTTGATTGCTGACACCTGTGACATAACGAGGTGGCGTTCTCTAAAAACACAATTACTTAACAGGTAAAAGTGGTCGTTTAATGAAAAGATTGATGTCAATAAGGTGACTAATTAGCGGTCGCTGGTCGCGTTGAGCAAAAGTCGCTTAGTACATTAAAGATATAGAGAGAAAATGATCAGGGGGGAATTTAAAGTGGTCGTTTAAGACAAAAGTCGCTTAATACACGTGGTCGCATGGGCAAGTTAGACTGTAGTATAATTACTGTATTACAATAATATTAAAGATTCATTATAACTTTACATAATGCTGTTATCAGACAATTTCTTTTGTTTGCTCTTATCAAATTTTGTCAGCTATAACCACCGTCAATTTCCACATTTCACCATGAACTGGAGTAGATCTAGATCATATTAGCAGGGCTCTCAGTAGGGTCAGAATTTCACGAGTCAAAGACTCTTTGGCCAAAATTTTCATGAGTCAAATAATTTTTTCCAGTGTCATTTGACTACATGAATCATTTTTATGTTACAAAAATTACTGTTTTGGAGATCATTTTGTGTAGATTCTCAAGTCTTAATATTTAACATGGAAAAAATGCCTTGTTATAATGTATATATACCCCCCCCCCCCCCCCCCCCCCAAAAAAAAAAAAAGAAGAAAAAAAAAACCAAACAAATAAACAAAAGATGAATAGCATCTTATTCTTTACTGTGAAAGAATGAATTAAGCAGCAGCTTTTCTGATTAAAAGTTTAAAATATAAAGAAATATCTTTACTGGTGTGCTATATATCATATTATAATTAATTTTAAATACCAAAATGCACTAGGAATATTTAATGGAAAATAACAAATGTACAGGCACTCTCAAGTAAATCAAAGACGTATTATAAACCTTAAAAGCAATCAATAATTGACACCTCAAGTACTATGTAATTCTTATCAGTTGTGTAGAGCTATTTTTAGCACTGTCAAATTGCATCCAATGATGTCGCGCTTCAGTGCACAGGTTATAAACATGCTGTGTATTACACACGGTGAAATTTTTTTTAGTGTGATTTGAACATGTGTAGGATTTGATAGGAAATTAGGTGTGGATTTAAGGTAATTATTATTGCATAGGTGAAAATCCCATGTGTTAAATTGACTCTTGAGCAGATTTTATCACGTGTCAAATTTGTGCATTTCTTGATTTTCACGAGTCAAAACCCGGATCCCCGTGTCAATTGAGAGCCCTGTATTAGCCTATAGAAATAACACTTGCAAACTCATTCACAGAATGCAGCGTTATTTCTGAATAACGTACTGAAAAATGTCATCATCACCAATGTAAACCAAACTTTCTGCCATAATAGTGAAGATTTTTAAACCGAACATAGCTTATTTTCACCTTTAAATAAATACCAAAATTCAGGGATCATTCTGGTCAGGATTTTTAGTGAGAGATTTTCTCTCATTTGAGAAATTTTAATGAGAGAAATTAGATTTTATTGAGAGATTTAATTTTCATGATGGGCGAGGTTAAAAATATGGAAATTTCTAACTTTTTAAAATCACTGTATGTATAAACATTGTTTATCTAATGAGGATATAAGAAGATGTACCTCTGTTTTTTACAGTGATTTTTGTTTTCACTTTTTTAACACATCCTATGCCTTTTCTTTTGTGAATTTTAAACATAATAAAATTCTAATTGTGAAAAATAAATATAACACCTTTATTCTGAAACATGAAAGAATTATACATAGATATCTACTACAACTATTATTTGCAGCCAATGTTCCTAATGGACAACACTGTACTGTACAGAAGTGATTGTTGAGATTTGAAGAATATTTTATAACCTTACATTTTGTTTTCTTTACACCTCCCTCCATTAAAAAAATATTCATTGAATATGTGACCTGAACACATAATGACAAATATCTCCATATCCACAAATATAAACAATACCTAATGTAATTTTTATTCATAAACATCATTTTTAGTGTCATAAAACACTTTTAAATAACACTCGGCTTCCTTTTAGTATTTCTTTTTAATTACCACATCGCGAAAATATGTGACAAATGAATATTTGTCTGTTTTCTGCTGAACATTCACAATTCTAGCTGTTGCTGATTGCAATTATATAAAATTAAATATTTTTGTTAAATAAAAGAATATTTATTATCAGCTATTTCATCAGGAATTGTAAAACAATTTTTTTTAATTTGTTCTTTACGGCAAAATTTACCGTGGTTGATGTGACATTTAGAAGTCAGAAGACAAATTTTACCGGTATTTGTATTTTTGAAATGTCCATTTTTATGTAAGTCTGTGTCTAACAATTTTTAATAAAATCAATTAAAAGTGTTTTGTGTAAATTCTCGACTTACAGATACATAAAGGTTAGCCATCATACCGTATTTCTGTACGGTGAATTTGCGGTCTCCGATCGCGATCGGCAATTATTTTAGGCTAAATAATTCAAAGTGTTGGACTATTTTTTTGGAGTTTTTTTTACACCAATTTCATTAATAAACAATTTGAAATTAAATTCTTGATGGGAATCGTGAATTTTTCATCATATTTTTGTGTAATTTTAGCATTCTTTAGATTGTGATTAGACATTTTCCGGCTCAAATTGCCGTGCGAGATTTTCTCTCATTTCACAAATTTCTCTGAGATTTTAGTGATTTTTTTGCGAGAAATCGCGGAAATCGCCCCCTAGAATGATCCCTGAAAATTATCTGTGTCGCAAAAATATGTGACAATCGGATTTTTTCCTGTTTTCTGAAGAAATATTTACAATTTTAGTTGTTGTGCAAATAGTTGTTTGGAAGTTAATATTTTTATGCTCCCCGAAAAATTTCAGGGGAGCATATAGTCGGCGCCTTGTCCGTCTGTCCGTCCGTCCGTCTGTCCGTCCGTTGTCTTGTCCGGAGCATAACTTGAAAACCCTTGGAGATAATTTGTTGAAACTTCATACAGTGGTAGAGGGCATCGAGGGGGAGTGCAGTGTCAAAGAACCATAACTCTATTTTGCCCGGTTTTTGAATTATCTCCCCTTATAGAAAAATCTTGTCCGGGGCATAACTCTAAAACTATAAGAGATATCAACATGAAACTTTGTAGGTGAATAAGATCTCAATGGGTAGATGTGCAGTGCATAAGAACAATAACTCTTTTTGTCCTAATTTTGGAGTTATTGCCCTTTGTTAATTTTAATACTTTGAACTTTGTCCGGAACATAACTTGAAAACCCTTGGAGATAATTTGTTGAAACTTCATACAGTGGTAGAGGCATGGAGGGGGAGTGCAGTGTCAAAGAACCATAACTCTATTTTGCCCGGTTTTTTGAATTATCTCCCCTTATAGAAAAATCTTGTCGCCGGGCATAACTCTAAAACTATAAGAGATATCAACATGAAACTTTGTAGGTGAATAGATCTCAATGGGTAGATGTGCAGTGCATAAGAACAATAACTCTTTTTGTCCTAATTTTGGAGTTATTGCCCTTTGTTTATTTTAATACTTTGAACTTTGTTCCGGAACATAACTTGAAAAACCCTTGGAGATAATTTGTTGAAACTTCATACAGTGGTAGAGGGCATGGAGGGGAGGAGTGCAGTGTCAAAGAACCATAACTCTATTTTTGCCCGGTTTTTTGAATTATCTCCCCTTATAGAAAAAATCTTGTCCGGGGCATAAAAACTCTAAAACTATAAGAGATATCAACATGAAACTTTGTAGGTGAATAGATCTCAATGGATAGATGTGCAGTGCAAAAGAACTATAACTCTGTTAAGCCTTATTTTTAGCTCACCTGAGCATATGCTCAGGGTGAGCTATGAGGATCACTCTTCGTCCGTCGTCCGTCGTACGTCGTCCGTTGTCCGTTCACACTTTTCAAACGACATCTCCTCTGAAACCATAAGGCAGATCATAATGAAACTTCACAGGGATGTTCCTTGTGTGAAGCCTTAACAAAGTTGTTCAAAGAATTCCATTCCATGCAGAACTCTGGTTGCCATGGCAACCAAAAGAAAAAACTTTAAACATCTTCTTCTAGAAAACCCAAAGGGCTAGAGCTTAGATATTTGGTATGAAACATCTTCTAGTGAGTGTCTAACAAGATTGTTCTTTTAAATAAAAGCCCTGGGGTCAAAATTGGCCCCGCCCCAGGGGGGGTCATTGATTTTCCCTATATGCATATAGTAAAAACTTAAAAAAATCTTCTTTTAAAGAACCCAAAGAGCTAGACCTAAGATATTAAGCATGAAACATCTTCTAATGAGTGTCTACCAAGATTGTTCAAATAAAAGCCCTGGGGTCAAAATTGGCCCCGCCCCAGGGGCTCATTGATTTTCCTTATATGCATATAGTAAAAACTTAAAAAAATCATCTTCTAAAAACCCAAAGAGCTAGAGCTTAGATATTTGGCATTAAACATGTTTCTAATGGATGTCTACCAAGTTTGTTCAAATAAAAAGCCCTGGGGTCAAAATTGGCCCCGCCCCAGGGGGTCATTGATTTTCCCCTATATGCATATAGTAAAAACTTAAAAAAATCTTCTTTTAAAGAACCAAAAGAGCTAGACCTAAGATATAAAGCATGAAACATCTTCTAATAAGTGTCTTCTACCCAAGATTGTTCAAATAAAAGCCCTAGGGTCAAAATTGGCCCCGCCCCAGGGGGGTCATTGATTTTCCCTATATGCATATAGTAAAAACTTAAAAATATCTTCTTTTAAAAGAAACCCAAAGAGCTAGACCTAAGATATTAAGCATGAAACATCTTCTAATGAGTGTCTACCAAGATTGTTCAAAAAAAAGCCCTGGGGTCAAAATTAGCCCCGCCCCAGGGGGTCATTGATTTTCCTTATATGCATATAGTAAAAACTTTAAAAAAAATCATCTTCTAAAAAACCCAAAGAGCTAGAGCTTAGATATTTGGCATTAAACATGTTCTAATGGATGTCTACCAAGTTTGTTCAAATAAAAGGCCTGGGGTCCAAATTGGCCCCGCCCCAGGGGTCATTGAATTTTCCCTATATGCATATAGTAAAAAGTTTTAAAAAATCTTCTTTTTTAAAGAACCAAAAGAGCTAGACCTAAGATATTAAGCATGAAACATCTTCTAATAAGTGTCTACCAAGATTGTTCAAATAAAAGCCCTGGGGTCAAAATTGGCCCCCCCCCAGGGGGTCATTGATTTTTCCTATATGCATATAGTAAAAACTTTAAAAAAATCTTCTTTTAAAGAACCCAAAGAGCTAGACCTAAGATATTAAGCATAAAACATCTTCTAAATAAGTGTCTACCAAGATTGTTCAAATAAAAGCCCTGGGGTCAAAATTGGCCCCGCCCCAGGGGGTCATTGATTTCCCCTATATGCATATAGTAAAAACTTAAAAAAATCTTCTTCTAAAAAACCCAAAGAGCGAGAGCTTAGATATTTGGCGTAAAACATGTTCTTATGGATGTCTACCAAGTTTGTTCAAATAAAAGCCCTGGGGTCAAAATTGGCCCTGTCCCAGGGTTTATTGATTTTCCCTATATGCATATAGTAAAAACTTAAAAAAAATCTTCTCTTAAAGAACTCAAAGAGCTAGAGCTAAGATATTAAGCATGAAACATCTTCTTATCAGTGTCTACCAAGTTTGTTCAAATAAAAGCCCTGGGGTCAAAATTGGCCCTGTCCCAGGGGTTATTGATTTTCCCTATATACATAGAGTAAAAAGTTAAAAATCTTCTATTAAAGAACCAAAAGAGCTAGAGCTAAAATATTTAGCATGAAACATGTTCTAATGGATGTTTACCAAGTTTGTTCAAATAAAAGCCCTTGGGTCAAAAATGGCCCTGCCAGGGAGAGGGGGGGGGGACAAAAGTCATTGTTATTCATTATTTGTGTATAGTAAAAACTTAACATCATGAAATATCTTCTAATGGGTGTCTTCCAAGTTTGTTGAAATAAATGCCCTTTGGTTTAAACTGGCCCGGCCCTGGGGGCCTATGTTCAGGTGAGCGACCCCAGGGCCATCATGGCCCTCTTGTTTAATAATCTCCCCTTTTAGAAAAATCTTGTCCAGGACATAGCTGGAAAACTATAAGAGATATCAACATGAAACTTTGTAGGTAGATAAATCTCAATGGGTAGATGTGCAGTGCACAAGAATCATAACTCTACCTTGCCTAATTCTGGAGTTATTGCCCTTTGTTTATTTTTACTTTTTGAATTGTCCAGGACATAACTCGGAAATCATAAGAGATATTATCAAGAAACTTTGTAGGTTGATAGATCACATTGATTAGAAGTGCAGTGCAAAGAACTGTAACAGCCTTGCCTAATTTTGGAATTATTGCACTTTGAACTTTTTCCACGGACATAACTCTGAAACTACAAGAGGTGTACTTTCCTGTGTCCAAAACCTATTCGGGGAGCATCACCCGGCTCAAACCGGGCTCTTGTTTAAATATTTTATCATTGTTTTCCACTGGCGATTTAGTCAATCAGCTTAAAACAAAAAAATCAAAGTTTGCCATCACTGCAATTTTCCTGTAAATTTTGGGTTGCTCAATATCCAGTTTATCAATTTTAAGACGATTTTTTGGCTCATTGACTGATATTTGATGGCTATTATAATGCTGGACAATATCTTTAAGTACTTATACAATTTTACATCTTGCATATATTTTTATCACTCGGGCAATATAGTAAGCAGTGCATGACCGATTAAAAGTTGACACTCAATTAAATCCACCCCCACTAATAACCTAAAACACGCATATTTAGTGCAAAATATTGTTTGATTAATGATCTGCCTTTTGTTTTATCAATGTGTTGCAGTATCTATTATTTTATTTCATAGTTAAAATATGACAGGAAGGGCAAGGGGAAGAGCTCGAGGCAGAGCTCGTGGAACTGCTGCAGAGTCATCAAGCCGACCAGGCGAGGCTCCAAGTGAACAACCACCACCTCAACCAGTATGTTCTTAATTAAAATTATTAAAATTGAAATTGGTATTATATCTCCTTTAGTAAATTTCTCAAGTTCTTGTTTTGAGGAGTTTTAAATAACTGGAAGTTAAAGTTTGAAATGAAGCATATTTTCATTGTTCTAGGTATATTCTAGTTGTCTAACCAATATCAAAGAAAGTAAATTATATTTCCCCTCCAATTAAAATATCACAAATTTGAAAAATAATTTCTGGTTGAATAATTTAAAGAAATTGTTTTTTCACAGCAAGTTGTACCACAGTCTGACAATGGAGGTCCACCCCCAGCTAGTGGGCGTGCATCTTACAGAGGTGGGGCTAGAGAAGCAAGACCTGGTATGGCAGGTGGAGAAGGTATGAAGGCACCAGCAGATGAGATGGCTCGATTGGCAATAGGTGGGGGTGATCAGCGTGAGAGGAGAAGACCAAGGTTTGAAGAGCCACACACAAGACCAGCTCATGTAACAGACAAACAAGGTTCAAATTTTAATTATTGAATTATTGTTGATGCTGGGCAATTTTAGCTTTACTGTTCAAAATTTTATGGAGAGTTTAACATGTACTAGAAGTCAGCAGTACTCTGGTCAAGCTATTAAAGGCAAATAAGTATTGCCAAAACTACTGAAGGGAATGGATTGAAAATTTCTCAAGCTTGTTCTCTGTGATTATCTTGCCTGATTGGTACAAGTGTGTACACTCTAAGTTATCTTCTTACAGTAATGCCCTTTATGGACTGTACATCACTGAGAAAAGACAAGTGCTCACTTTGTCCATAGATGACTTGTTGATAGAATAATTGTCCAATGGCCCTTATTAAAGGAAATGATTTGATAATTCTTACTTCCTCCATATTACAGGAAACACTCGAATACACTAAGTCCAAACAGTTCATTTACATTTCCAGCAAACTTTCCCAACAACTGCTTTATTGAGTGTCATCAGGCTACATATTTGATCATTGATTGCTCTTGTTTTATATTGTTTGTACGCACGTGTTGCGTATGATTTATATGAATTGTTGTATTGAAATAAAAAATCACAACTAGTATCTTAAAATAATTTGCTTTTAGGTACATCTGGACAACAATTTCCAGTACTGAGCAATTATTTTGGTCTGGAACAGACCCCGGATTGGCATTTGTACCAGTACAGGGTAGATTTTGCACCAGACATTGACAGTAAGAAGCTCCGAATAGCTCTTCTATGCAGTCATGAGGAACTGCTTGGGAAAACAAAGGCATTCGATGGAATGACCCTCATTCTTCCAAAGAAATTGCAAGACCCTGTAAGTTGAAATGTATTTGGTAAAAGAAAAATGCCCTTTTCAAAATAAGTCTACCTTCATAGTAGAAAGACCTTTAGATTCTTTCTACAACCGTCATTAAACCAGTCATTGAATTTAAAATATTGAATTTACTGGCCCAAATTTCAGTTTAGAATTTATTCTACTATATATTTTTAGAATTTATTCTACTATATATTTATCTAAATTTTCTTAAAATTTACACTGGCCCGAAACTAATTTTTACTGGCCGGAACTAATTTTCACTGGTCATTGGCCACTGGTAAGTGCTAAATTCGATGACTGTAAAACAAAAAACTTAACTTCAAGTAGATATGTTATATCTTAAAATGGTGATAAAATTTGATAATTAAATGTAATTACAATTTCTTTTTAACATACTTGATGAAGTAGTATGTCTAGTACTTAATATAATGTTTGAAGAACTTAAGTATAATACTTAACTAAATGACAACTGATAATACCACTCAGTGTTTTTTTCCTTTGGGAATGGTGCCGGTACCAGACTGATTGGGAAAATGCGTTATTTTGACTTAAATTGGGATTTTTTTATGCATTCTTTCAGCTACAAATAAGATTAGTCATCATGAATAAAGACAGCTAACATCTTCCACTGTCCAGGTAGAACTTTTGAGTGATGATTTATATGAATATGTTGGATTTAGATAATTTCAGAGAAATCACTTGGCCTTGTGGAATTTTGAGGAGCCATTTTGGGAATTTAAGCATTGGAAATTGGGAATTTTAATGTCTATTTTCTATTGGGAACAGTACCGTTTTAGGGTAGTAGTTATATAAAGGAAAAAAACACTGCCACTAGATGAAAATTCTAAAATGTTAAAATTGGTAATTAGAGGATGAAATAAAGATACTACCTGTATGTAGTTTTATCAACATGTCATATTTATTAACTTGAATTGCAGGTGACAGAAGTGTACTCAGTCCGTCAATATGACAATACTAAAGTCCAGGTAACAATAAAGTTGACAAATGAATTGCCAGCAAGTTCTCCGCAGTGTATTCAAGTTTACAACATCATCTTTAGAAGGTAATAAGAAGATTTAGTTACAATAGTTGTAGCAGTTTAAAAATTCATGTAAATTGAAAAAATTTGGTTGAATAACTGTTTTCTTTATAAACTTCTTTTAATACAATTTTCTGTTTAAAACATATTCTGTGACAGGTTTTTTTTTTTTTTTACTTACATCAGGTATCTTAAGGCAAAATCAGGTATCTAAAAGGCAAAATTACTTTTAAAAAAAAATCTTGTAAAAAGAAAAACAATTAAATTATTCAAAATTGTTTCTTTACTATTGAATCATATTTCTATACACACAGGGTGTTGTCTATGATAGAGATGAAACAGATCGGCAGAAATTACTACAATCCATCTTTAGCTGTAGAAATTCCTCAACACAAGTAAGCTTCATCTTTTTTACATTCTATCGTGTAGTAGTAACAAATCCGTAAAAGTTACCTAACATAAATATGTATACTGCATCAAATATCAGTTTCATTTATGCGTATTTGTAAAGTCGACTGGTTTACAGTTTGCAAATTAAATTATTTTTAAGTACTGATGAACATTTTATGATCTGCTATTTATAATTCTTTTGTTGTTGACACTAGGTATGACAAAACAACACAACACAAAATTTGGGACATAACTGACATGTTGAATTATAATTCTATTTTGGTCACTTTTGTTCACAAAATTATTATTAAAGAAATAAAATGAAAACTCAAATTGGCTATGAAAAAGTTGAGCTTTGCGCTTAGTTTCAGCTGTTGATAAAAACCAACATTTTGCTTCAGTTAAATTACACATGAAAATATTTTTCAGATTGAAAGTGATGCCTGGATTTATCACATCAATTTTACAATACGAGAACAGTGTGCTGCTAAACTGTGATGTTTCTCACAAGATTATGAGGTCAGACACAGTACTGGATATAATGTACGATATGTACGGAAGAAGTGGTGACCGTTTCTATGACGACTGTACAAAAAAGCTGGTTGGACAAATTATTTTAACCAGGTGAATATGCTTTAGATAAATTAGAATTGAAGAAGTTGAGGAAATATCATATGCATGATGTTTGGAAAAATGTCTTTTGAAAGCTGATCTTTGTTAGCTAAAGCATTAGTTAAATAAATATATTTATTCTTGAACTTTGAGCAAATTGTGGATTTTAATTGCATTAAGTAAAAGAATAGGGTAAAAACCAGATGTAATGTCTACGACATAAATTTTGTTATGAATGTATGTTGAAAAGTGATTGGAATGCTGTGTAAATACTTAAGTATTATTTTGTTTGAAAATGTCTATTTCTTCTCTGTCTTCTAGATATAACAACAAGACATATCGTGTAGATGATATTGACTGGGAAAAGAAGCCACACAGTACCTTTAAACTAAGAGATGGCTCAGAGATTAGTTACAAAGACTACTACCAAAAGGTATGGAAGCTTGCAGTGCTTTGAGACCTGATATTCATTCCCCCTTCCCGTCCTTGAAAAATGAACATTTTTCCTCATTTTTCATTCATTGCTAACAATATTTATTTTGAGCATTGAATAATCGGGTGAAAGATACCGGGCCATCATGACCTGCCCTATTGTTTTTGTGGAACAGAGGGTATTGTTGTTTGTTAACTAAATGATATTGCTTCACAGTTTACATATCTTTCTATATACTCATGTTTAATAATGGTCTGATTTGTTTGGGTTTTTTTTCCCCATGACCAATTTTCCTCTTCATGGGTCCAGCCATATTCAGCCTAAAGTGAAAAAAAGCTTTAGTTTCCTTTGGTGAATTGTGTGATAATAAATTGGCATGAATATTTTGTTTAGAAAAAATAAAACAATTTGACATAGGATAATTTAGTTTACATACAGTGAATATATTGCTAAGAAATTTCCTGTCTTGTTAATCAAATGGATTGTAGTCCTAGTTGCTTTAGTTAAAGTTTTTCAATTGTTTCACCTTATCTTACTGCATATGCTTTCAAGTCTCTATGGCGTTGTTCAGATTAAATGTTAATTTTTCACTTGCAACTTCGTGAGCATTTACGAAATTGGAATAAATAAAATTTCATTGTTGAATTATTCAGAGTTATGGAATTGAGGTTACTGATGGTGAACAGCCTTTACTGGCATCTAAACCTAGTGCGAAGGACAGAAGACGTGGAGTAACTGACAATCTTTACTTCTTGCCAGAGTTATGTACTCTAACAGGTAACTGTTAGTTTTGAACATGCATATTGTTGTTGATTATTTTACAAGAAAAAAGGCCATCTGTTTGCATCTTGAATTAAGAGTGGCGGCATGGCCGAGTTATCAATGTCTGAAGATTGCTTTCTGCATTGGCTTGGTCAGGAGCAAGTGGTCGTTTCCTTGTGCAAGAAAACTTTACTTTCATTGCTTAGTACTGGTTGGTTCCAGGAACAGATTTGAGTGTTTCAGTAAGCTTATAGCTTCCAACACAATCGAACGAAATGTAATTTAGTATTCCATTACAATTATTTTAACCAGTCTTTTGAAATACATCACTGTTAATACTCGCAGCGAAAAAATGAGCATACAGTTTTTATAACCAAATAAATGATAATTTGATTTGAAGATGGTTTTCAGTATCTTTGTCAGAAAAAAATCTCTACAATAATGAGATAAAAATAAAATTTTGAAAAATATGTCATAAAGATAGGTTTTCTCGCACCGTGCCTCAAATTGTCCTCTCTGCACCAGCTTCATTATCATATTTATTCAATATGTCAACATGAAATTTCTTAATGCTTTGTTTACAAAGTGGTGTGCCAGGACAGAGGTAGTTCAAGTTATGTTTAATGTTTTTGCCATTATAGATGTTTTTATGCCCCCACAATGTGGGAGCATATAGCGTTTCACTTGTCCATCCGTCAGTCCATCCCGAAATCTTGTGAATGCAACTCCTTTTAAACCAGATGGCAGATTTTGCTTAAACTTACAGGGATGAACAACCTTAATGTGTAGATGGTAGTAAAGGAAGGAATTTTTACTGCGACCAAATTTAACAGAATTATGGCCCTTTGTTGATTTTTAGTTTTCAACTTGTGGCACATGTAGTCCAAAAAATATTTGACCTAGAGTAATAAGATTGACAGAACAGTGGCGTGTGGGGGCATCGGTGTCCTATGGACACATTTCTAGTTACCAGTGTTTCTGCCAGCTCTGATTTTCTGAGGGTCTTTTATGACCCCCTGTATGATATTTTTAGGGGTGCATTTCAAATACATAAGGGTCATGCCAATAAATTTAAACAAAAAATGTAAAAAAAAAAAAAACAGGTAAACTTTTTGTATATTTTTTTCGTGAAGAAATTGGTCAATCTCTGCTATTTTTGGATTATTGTCATCCAATAATAACGCTGTATTTCTTAAAAATTATGTGTGTTAAAATTTTCATAGAAAAAGAAAGTCGATACTATATTGAAATTCGTTCATAGTCGCCTTCTAAATTTTCATAGTGCTTCGTAGTACCCCGCTAGTGACGTAATAGGGCAAATAAAGCTTGACACAAATATGTTAGTGTTCATCCTTAGCTGTTTTACAGAAATTAGAAACATTCTCCTGTAGCTATCGCTTCCCTTCGAAGTTTCTAATTTTTGTAGAACAGCACAGATGAACATAACGTATACGCAGACTGCATTTTCCAGCAAGACAGTTATTCGTTCGCAGAAATATGACGACAACAAAATAAATAATTTTGTCTGGGCGCTTTCAATATATGCAGTAACGTATAAATGCAAGCGTTTATTAACTAGTTGAAAAATTGGCTAAATGCCGGACCACGGACCCGGTAAAAATTTCATTTCTCATTAAAATTATAGTGGAGCCCACGGTAACATTCCGTACATTTTTATACTGAATTGAACGGTTTATAGTCTGTATATCTGACTTGTGTTGAAATCAGCAACGGTGAAATTCTTGCGTCACAAAATACGCACTAATTAAATTTCATTGCGTCATGGCTGAAAATAGTGCGCCAAAAACGCAAAAACGCGCTCTGGCAGAAACACTGAGTTACTACATATATGTGATTGCTTTAACAGGTTTGAGTGATGAAGCAAGGGCCGACTTCACTGTGATGAAAGATGTTGCTGTTCACACAAGAGTTGCTCCTTCAGCTAGAGAAAATACACTTACTGCATTTATTGCCCAGATAAATAGGTAGTTTGATTTTTTTCTCAATCATTACACTGCTAAAATGTTCTTGAAATTTCGCCTCTTACGTGTTTTAATCTTCATTAATACAATGTTAAGATTTGTGTAGGAATAAGGGTGCCAGTCACTGATAATTTATTGGATTTCTGTGCTGCTCTCTGTGTGCTAGGGTAATGGCAGTGAACCGTATATGGACTAAATAAGAATGCATTCAGAATAGGTACACTTTTCCAACATGCATTTCAAACATAGACATCATACCCTTTTCAGATTCTTCCTTAAAATGTCGCGCTGAAAACTTGATACAGAAAACTTGTCACAAGTGACTGCTTTTTTTTCCAGGAATGAAAAAGTCAGAGCAGAAATGGGCGGTTGGGGCTTGAGATTTTCAGACTCGCTAGTCTCTTTGAATGCTCGTATCATGCCACAAGAAAAGCTCTACCAAAAGGGTTCAGAGGTAGGTTATTTTCAGCTCACCTGAGCACAATATTCTAAAGTGGTCCGGGTCCCACCAGTGGGGTCATTGGCTTCCCTCTGACATTGGTCTACGCAATATTGCGTTTTACTAGGGAATGATATCCTATGTTTGTTCCTGCTGCTTTTTAGTGCTTAACAATGTCGTGGCAGTGCTTTTGAGACTGCTGTTTGTGCAGCAAGGGCAGGCTGTTGGTCCTTTGAGCAAGAAACACTCCTTGCTGAATAATATTGGTTTGTACCAGGAGCAGATTTGAGAGTGTGTCTATAAGCTTATACACTTGGCATTCTACACAATTGAACTAAAATAAATTTCCGAGAATCAAAAAGAAATGATGTAGAACAACATGTAAAATGAGTTCTTTACAAACTTTATAGAAAGCTTAAGCCGGTGCTAGGGGGCGTGGACGGTAACTTGCACTTTCCAGTACCGTCCATGAACAGGCTCAATCAAACCGAGTCTGCAACATTTTCAATTTTGCCGTGTTGGGCTTTCTTTAGGGATTCTATATCTATTTTATACATGGCATTCTTTAGCCAAAAAAATAAAGGGACTTCAATTTACTTTTGTTAAATGCAATGTGATACATTGTATTACTTTTTGTTTGTAGTTACAATACAAGCAAGAAGATGCAGATTGGTCTCGCGATATGAGAGGAAAACAGCTTATTACGTCAGTAAATCTAGAGGACTGGATTATCATATTTACCAGAAGAATCACTGGGCAGGCTCAAGACTTAGTCCAAACTTTAAGTCGTGTTGGACCTCCTATGGGAATGAGGATCAATGCACCACGGCCGTAAGTGGATTTGTAATACATGTAGTATATGCATAATAAAAATAATATTTGATCCTATCTTTATGCAAGTCCTGTAAGACATTCCATGGACACAAAAAAAGAAAGTGGTTTACAATGAAAAAAAAATTGTTTCATGCCATGTGTTTACTTTTAAAAACTGATTACAATTTTACAATTTATGTTGGTTTCAAGTAGAGTTAGAAAGCGTTATTGTACAAGTTTGTGTTAATGAATTGTTTCAGGATAGAGCTGAATGATGATAGAAATGATTCTTACCTGGGAGCATTGCGACAAAACCTCGCGTCATCTACACAGCTTGCCATGTGCATTGTCCCAACTAACAAAAAGGACAGATATGATGCCATCAAGAAGTTCACTTGTGTGGACCATCCTGGTTAGTATTTCTTAAAGTTGTTGAATGTTTCTTTTAAATTTAGAATGTACATGTATTTCAATTAAAATTTAAGAGAGGGAAGTGCACTTTAAAGGGAGCATGTTGTCAGTGGTCATGAAGGCTGCATTATTGTCAGTAACCTGCTGGGATTAAGTGATAAACTTTTGCCACCAGTATTAAGCTAGGTCTGTCACAATCCTGCATAACTATGACCAGGCGCTATAGTGTGTTGTTTATGTATTTATGTCCAAATCCAAACAACAACCTTTGAAGCTGGCATATCGTCATATAATGACCTTGATGTAGTGGTGACTTGTAACTAAAAAAGACGAAAAAAAGTGCCATGATATTTAAGAAAAGAACCCGAGTTTAAAACAGCTATGTGAGAATCTAAAATTTGTTCAAGTTAGAATATTTGAGCCGCGTCATGACAAAACCAACATAGTGCGTTTCCGACCAGCATGGATCTAGACCAGCCTGCACATCTGCGCAGTCTGATCAGGATCCATACTGTTCGCTTACCAACACTATTACCAGTAGAGAAACTGATAGCGAACAGCATGGATCTTGATAAGACTGCGCAGGCTAGGCTGGTCTGGATCCATGCTGGTCGCAAACCCATTATGTTGGTATTGTCATGGCATGGCTCAAACATTTTTATCAATTCTTATTTGGCCTTTGTATCTGAACATTGGACACATCCGCACATTGTCTTTCATTTGACATATTGAAATATGACCTTGACCCCTACAAATTTACTAGACACTAGTGCTTTTTGGCATAGTGCAAAAAGTTGTATGTTCCTTCTATTTAGTGTTGTATAAATTGGTTGGCATATCATTTTTCAAAAATGCAATCTTGTTTACAAATACAATCTTGTTGATCCATTATTATAGTGCCTAGCCAAGTGGTAGTGTCCAGAACCCTTTCAAAGAAGCAGATGTTGATGAGTGTAGCTACTAAGATAGCTATTCAGCTGAACTGTAAACTTGGCGGTGAAGTCTGGGCCGTAGATATTCCTGTGAGTATAGTTGTGAAGCAATAAAGGGTTGAGGGCCCTTTTTTTTTAATGACAAAATATGTTAAAACACACACGCACACATATATATGATTTTAGAATTGGTACCGATAAGGTTCTAAAGGGGATGCAGCTCTATTGATTTGAAAGGAAATGTGAGGTTTTATTTGCATAATATGCAATATAGACAACCTTTATTAATAAGCAGATTTCATGGGTTCTGGTATATACCAGAAAGTGGGCCAAGAGTACCTCAAATAAGCCTAAAGATTAAAGATCCTGTAGCTCAATTTTGTTATGGTTTAATATCATAACTATAATGCTCGAATATTTGTTTTTTTCCCAAAAAAACCAGTATTTGTAAAGGTATTACCAAATTTACATTTCATGTTAATAAAGGGAGGTAATAAGAAATTTATTATGCCCTCGCCATATAATGGCAAGGGCATATAGTGTTACCCTGTTTCATCATTCCGTCCTTCCGTCATCATCAGTTTCCGTTCATTATCTTAATAACCATTGCACATATTGAACTCAAATTTGACATGTAGATGTCATGAGAAAATACAGGTCAAGTTCAAATTGGTCATGGTTTGATGATTTTTGGCAGAGTTATGCCCCTTTTACTTTCAAAATAATATGAAATTTTCAGTTTCCGTTTATTATTTCCCCAACGGTACAACACATTCAACTCAAACTTGACATATGGATATGTCATGAGAAAATACAGGTCAAGTTCAAATTTGGTCATGGTTCGATTATTTTTGGCAGAGTTATGCCCTATTTACTTTGAAAATAATATGAAATTTTCAGTTTCTGTTCATTAACTCCCCAATGGTACAACACATTCAACTCAAACTTGACATATGGATATGTCGAAGGAATGCGCAGGTCAAGTTCAAATTTGGACATGGTTCAATGATTTTTGGCAGAGTTATCCCCCTTTTACTTTGAAAATAATATGAAATTTACAGTTTCCGTTCATTATCTCCCCAATGGTACAACACATTCAACGCAAACTTGACATATGGATATGTTATAAGAAAATACAGGTCAAGTTCAAATTTGGTCATTGTTTGATGATTTTTGGCAGAGTTATGCCCCTTTTACTTTGAAAATAATTCAATTTTCAGTTTCCGTTTATTATCTTCCCAACAGTATTACACATTCAACTCAAATTTGACATATGGATACGTCGAAAGAATGCGCAGGTCAAGTTCAAATTTGGTCATGGTTCGATGATTTTTGGCAGAGTTATGCCCCTTTCACTTTAAAAATAATATGAAATTTTCAGTTTCCGTTTATTGTCTCCCCAACAGTACAACACATTCAACTCAAATTTCACATATGGATATGTTTTTGGAATGCACAGGCCAAGTTCGAATTTGGTCATGGTTCAATGATTTTTGGCTGAGTAATGTCCCTTTCACTATGAAAATGATATGAAATTTACAGTTTCTGTTCATTATCAACCCAACAGTGTTACATATTCAACTCAAAATTGACATATGGATATGTCAAAGGAATGTGCAGGTAAAGTTGGAATTTGGTCATGGTTCGATGATTTTTTGGCAGAGTTATGTCCCTTTCACTTTGAAAATAATATAGATACATCTTAGAAATAAGCAGTTTAAGTTTGAATTTGGTCGTGGTTCAATGATTTTGGACAAACTTATCTTTCCTGAATGTTGGAAAAATTTTGTACTTTCAGTTTCAGCACTAAATGTATATAGCCATTATTTTGGCTACAAATATGCAATATGCTATTTTCAAAAAGTTCAGACTGAATAATTTCAGTGCCTTGAACATTGTATAAAAATGGTTTGTGTTAACATTGAAAAGTTTTAAGGGCTTTGAACTTACGATGAAAAAAATATATTGTGCAAACAAATTTGGAACTAAATATTATAACATTTGAAATTTTGGCTGCATGCGGGGGCATCCGTGGCATGATGACACATTTCTAGTTTTCTATAAAGTCTAAGTCAAATTTTTCTATTTTTTAATGATTACAAACAATGTGGACAAATATTTGCAGTACATAGTATACATACTGTTTGATGTTTAAAGACATAATTATATACATATATAAAATTTCATGTAAGTGTGGTAACAACCTTTATTTCTACCTACAGGATCTTCAAATTAAACAATATTTATCACCTGCATGAAGCTAAAGTATTGGGGATGGTGTAACTTGTATTTCTGAAATTTGCTAGGTTTAGTTCGTTTAATCTGCTGTCTTTTGCTTGAAGTGTAAGACAGTGTCTATTGCTTTAGTCTTTACTTAGTTGTGGTTTTAGTGTGTGAGTATTGAAAGCAAGCATTCCCGGAAAGGATGTGAGGTTAAAAGTGGGGGAATGTACAAAGAACAAATTCAGCTCTTATTAATTTAGTTTTGTTTGTAATTTTAAGTGTCAAATAGGTTCTTGTATTTTAAATACATCCTTGAACTGCCATGTAATGTTTTGTTATTAATATACACAGTTGAAAAATATGATGGTAGTTGGAATAGACAGTTACCATGATTCTGCGAAGAAGGGGCGATCAGTAGGCGGGGTAATTGCATCCCTGAACCAGGCTTTAACTAGATACTACTCGAGGTGTACTTTCCAAACCTCTATGCAGGAACTGATGGATGGTCTGAAAATCTGCATAAAAGGTTCTTTAATGAAGTTGCATGAAATACTTGTCAGTTACAAATGTTCTTGCCAGCTGCTTTTGATTTATTTTGCAGAAATTCATGGGTGCAAGTTTTCTGGCTTATGCTTGAAGCTCAGTTTTTTGTGACAAATTTCATCATGTTTTACTGTTAGATTATGTAGGAAAATGATTATGAATAAAGGTTTTCAGGTTTTTTCAAATTTTCAACTTGCACCCATGGAAATGCTTCCAGTGCTTCTTATTTAGAGCACTGTGCTTTATTTGCCTTATTTGCTCAATAATAGTTCACCACATCAGTGATAGTTAACCAAAATCAATATAAAATAAGGACTTTGCCTGACATAAGGATATTTAAACATAGGATATTTTAACATATTTGTAATTTAATTAAAACTTACAAATAAAGAAGGAAGTTAAAGAAGATAACTTCAACTTCAAAATGAAAAGTATTTAAAAATAAAAACATGTTACATGCTATCTTTGCAAGATTTGGTGAACTATTTGTTGCTTTTTTGCTCTGGTCCAGGAAGACCAAAAATTTTTAGAGATCAAACCATTACACATCTGACATTTCTTTTACATTTGTACAAAGTTTTTGTAAGAAGAAGTGTAAAATACGCATTGTTCATGTTATGGAATGTTTGGCTTGGACTTTGCTGGATGAGTGATCAAGATGTCGACCATCAAAAATGTAAAACACTTGTCAGTATGTTTCATGACCTTGTTCAATATGTTGGTAGAAGACCATTGAAAGTTTTAATATTGTGAGTGTAAAATTGAAATTACATATTTGAAAAAAAAGGTTTATATAGATATGTACTTGGCTTTATTAAATTCATAATAATTAAGGTGCAGAGCATATCTTGAAGAATTACATGCAATAAATCTTAAGACTGCTCCTATGTGAAAAATATACCCCTTTGACACTTTGGACAGGTCTTGTTTTCTTTTCTTAACATTCAAAGGTCTTCAGCCATCATTTTCATTGTTCACTAACACAGTTGATTGTTCATATACATTGTTTTGTTTTGCGACAGTTAAAAAATTTGATGGTCGTAGGTATAGATACGTACCACGATTCCGCCAAGAAGGGACAGTCTGTCGTGGGCTTCGTTGCCTCCATGAATCAAAAGTTGACTAGGTATTATTCCAGAGTATCATTCCAATCAACCCACCAGGAATTGGTCGATAGAATTCAAATCAGTTACAAAGGTAGGATGGTTATGATAGAGGGTGCAGTCAGGTGAAATATGGATAGTTAATATCATTACCCCTCAATTTTTGTGTAATGTTAATTTCCCATAGGCCACTCGGAGTTATTTGTACTGATAATGCAAGTGAATTTTGTGACAAAGAAATTTGAACTGTTACTGCCGTTATGAAAAACTATTTCCTAAATGCAACTGATGAAAGACTATTTCCTAAATGCAACTGTCATGAATGCTCGTATTATGTATGAAAACGGGTATTCTTTAATGAAATCAAGAAATTTCAGTTTTGGCATCTTATAAGATTGAATTAGCTTATCTATTTCAAATGCTATTTCAAATGACACAGAGTGGTAACTTTAAATCTTGATTTTATAAAAGAGTTTATTTTTAAGGACTTGTGTGGCTGGATAATGAAGGTTCTTGCCTTTGCTCGCATCTCCACTCTTTGATTGTATGATACAATAGTGAAATAGAGGAAGCTATACATTTGTATATATAGATAGTGGTTTTACCCAGGCCCTTGTGTCTTATGTAGTGCTCAGAGGGGCATAATAAGTTTCCCCCCTGAGAGTTTTAACTTTCTGTATAAACACTGTTTGGAATAAGGGAAGTTAATATTTTTGTAGGTGAATTTGAGAAGTTAATATAATCATAAACAATGAGTTTTGTTTGGATATTTTGCCAGATAAGTTGTTAATTTTGTAATGGTAAACAATGATTTTTGTTTGGATATTTTGCCAGATTAGTTGTTAATTTTGTAATCGTAAACAATGATTTTTGTTTGGATATTTTGCCAGATTAGTTGTTAATTTTGTAATCTTAAACAATGATTTTTGTGTGGATGTTTTGCCAGATTGGTGGTCATTTAATTGATATTTTGTGTTATTGTGTAGGTGCCTTAGAGAAATACCATGAGGTGAATGGATGTTTACCAGAGAGGATCATTGTGTACAGAGATGGTGTTGGTGATGGACAGCTGCTGTCAGTGGCTGAACACGAGTTGCCACAAATGCTGGATGCTTTCAAAAAGGCTGGTGGACAGAATTATAGGTATTTATAACTATTTTAATCCTTTAACTTGATAAAGTAGTATGGTGTATTTGGCTGACATTGAAATTGAACCCATCTGTTCGAATTTCAAGGGATTTCAAAAGCAAGATGTAAAAATTCAGCATCCTACAGGATAAAACAAAGTCCAACTGCACAGAGTGAGGGATGTCCTTGCTCTTAACTTGATGCAATGGTTGATCATTAGGTTTCAGAATGGTAATGGTAGCAGCAGAAACAGAAATAAAAGCTTTTAAACCTTGACAAGCCTAGTTTCATTTTCAGAACTAAACAACTAATTGCTATAATTATCGTTCAAGAGTCTTTCATGGTTGTTTTAACCATTTTTGTGCATTTTTCCACCGTTTGTACACTAAATTTGTGAAGCGGACAAGTTGGTAAAATTTTGAAAGGAACATCCCAATTTTGAATATTCAATCAAGTTCTTGTTATATTGGAATATCATCAAACCACAATTCACTAGATGAGTAAATCCTCTCCTGTATGTGTACGTTATTAGATTACTGACTGCAAAGTTTTAAGCATATGAACTGGCTTCTCTTTTTCAGTCCAAAAGTTGGTGTGATCATAGTAAAGAAGAGAATCAACTCGAGATTCTTCGCCCGAGTAGGACGAAATCTTTCCAATCCTCCCCCTGGTACAGTCATCGATAGTGTTGTTACAAAACCAGAATGGTAAGTTTGGTCTTTGTTTCTCTGATATCCATAGTGTATTTACAAAACCAGAATGGTAAGTTTGGTCTTTGTTTTCTCTTATATCGATAGTGTATTTCCTCTTAAATCCATTATGTATTTACAAAACAAGAATGGTAAGTTTGGTCTTTGGTTCCTCTTATCACATACGGATGTGCTTTCAAAAACTGTTAAAAGAAAATAGACAGGTTGTTAAAAAAATGTTGGCATAGTCTTAAATAGTAAAAAAAACAACAAGTTTTCAGAATGACTAATAAAAATTTCTTTTTGTACAGGTACGACTTCTTCCTTGTATCCCAGTCAGTTAGACAAGGAACTGTGACTCCAACCCACTACAACATTATACATGACACAACTGGCCTCAAACCAGATCATATGCAGCGCCTTACATACAAACTCACTCATCTGTATTACAACTGGCCGGTAAGTTACGAAAAATCTGAAATACAACTAATAATATCTATGAAGCTTTCAGCTTTCCCTGAAGGGATTTTTTAATGTTCATTACAATGTTAAAATGATTTGTTTGAAATTATTTTCTATAATAGTGTTACATTTTACTCATGTTTACTCAGTTTCATATCCTTTTCCAAACAGACAGGAACTTCGTGTCTATTTTTATCATAAGTGAAAATTGCTTTAATGAATTTATTTTTCTTAATTATAGGGAACTATTCGTGTGCCAGCCCCATGCCAATATGCTCACAAACTGGCGTTTTTAGTCGGACAGTCTATTCATAAGGACCCTGCAATCGAGTTAGCAGATCGGCTCTACTTTTTGTAAAAAAACAGGTTATACGTTGACTGTTGAGTGATAGATACAGTTGCCAAAATCAAAGTTTGTTGCCAGTTTTATTCTCATGTGAATTCTAAACCAGAATTCAAAAACAAACAACAAGGAAGCTGTTTGGAGTGCTAAACATTCCTTTATGGAGATTCTCCAAGAAGAAGACGTGTGTACATACGTTATTTTGGTGAGGAAGTTAAAAGAAACATGCTGTATCAGGGCTTTTTTTTGCTATATAACTGTAGCCGTTTAACGGCTACTTCCCCAGCTGAAAAAAAATTCCCCTTGAGCTAAAAAATTCCCCTTGGTCTGAATAAAATCAACTATTATGGCTTGCTTGTTTAAAAAATCACATTTTTGTTCAAATAGTTCAATTTTTATAGGCCTACAGTGTTTGATATTACCGATTGTCCTGCAAGTAAAAAAGTCCAATGCCGACGATGGGCAATCCTCTCCATTACGCTGATCATATCTCTAAACATTCTGTCTTTGTGAAAATTCTCCTCAAAATATGCAGACATTTGTAAAAATATGTTATATTATTTATTCTTATAGATTTCAATCATAGTCTGGAGGAACATGGAGTTATATTAATACCAAAAATCGGCAAAATATTCTATTATCACATATTTTCGCGACCTACTTCCTGTTTGATTTTCGGCTTGAATTTGGAGAGGAATGTGTTAGTTTAAGTAAATAAATTTCAAAACATAAAACAGTCAATTGATTTTTGTGCATTAAGTGTCAAAATGTCCTTTGAGAATCATCATCTAATTAATTTAGCACTTAATGCAGTTTTTACATAGAAAAATCAAAGCAACCATTCTGAAATAAGTAGGGGAGGTGTGTGAGGAGGTTACAACACTGAAGCTTGGCAACATCACAAATGATATTGACTCAAGTGATTCCAACTAAATAAAAAAAAAGTGGTTTTGTATGTTTAAGGAATTCAAGGCCAAAGATCTGAACTGTTTTCATTGTTTATGACTCGCCTGACTTTTAGGGCATGTGTTTATTGTTAATTTTAAAGTTATTAACTCATTTTTTAATGTAATAGATTTTCCCCAAAATGTCTTTTTATCGCGCATTTTTTCCCCAACTGAAAGGCCAGGCCGTTTCCCCAAAATTGAAAAAAAAGCCCTGTGTATGTTCTACTTTGTACATGGAGATAAATCTTGAGCATTTGAATTTTTATAGTGTTTGGGATCAAGTGCTGAAAACCAGTGAGGTGCTAACAGTTCATTCATTCATTTTAAAGTTCACATTCATTTTGTCAGAAGCGAACTTTGTACATTATTTTGATTGTGATGAATATATGGCGAGAACTGAGAATGAGGCAGTGTTTTAGTCAAATGTTCTCTTATCATAGTCAATACTTCAGAAAGACCAGTCTCTAACAGACTCAGGGTTATCATATGAGCCGTGTCATGACAAAACCATCATAATGCGTTTTGCGACCAGCTTGGATCCAGACCAGCCAGCGCGTACTCTCAGTCTGATCAGCAACCATGCTGTTCGCTTACAAACTATGTAACATGTAGAGAAACTAATAGCGAACAGCATGAATCCTGATTTGACTGCGCAGGCTGGTCTGGATCCATGCTGGTCGCAAAGCCATTATGTTGGTTTTGACATGACGTGGCTCAAATCATTTTCATATGTAAAAGTTGTGACATGGAATGAAAGTTGTACCGTGTTTCGAGTCATTGTCAGATATAACAGTTGTGATCTCCACAGTCATTTTACCATATAACATTACTTGGATTATGTATTCATACTTTTGTATTTCTATGTAGCCAGTAGCTAGTTTGGTTTTTAGTTAGCAGTCATTTAATTTTTTTTTTTACTTTTTATCTTTGTTTTAAAATTTGTTTTTTATTTCATTGTTAATTGTTGATCAAAGGTTATTCCTTGTTTTAGTATCTAGAATAGAACTTCATTATCCTAGTGAGAAATATTTTCAAAAGCAAATTCCTTGACCTTTATCTTAAACTTTTCTTGTTAAATCCTCATGGAGCATGCTATGACTTTCAACACTTTCATTTTTGTTTGTACTTAATTCTGGCCTATCTAATGGAAATGACCAAACTCCTTATGGCTGTCAACAATTTTTTCTACTTTCTGTTAGTAATTGTTACTATCCTACCTAAAGATTTGTCCAAACTTCTTTCAGACTTTAGATTTGTCATCCTGCAAGGAGTGTTTTAAACACCCTTGTAAAACACTACACATCCTCCTGTTCATTCATCTAGATTATAAATCTACGCAATTAGCTTCATTCATATTTCATTTACGTGATCAATACTCGTGACATGATATTTGTATGCCAAACAGAAATATAACTTGTTGAATTTTTTTATGAGACCCAAGATATATTTTAGTAGTAAATGGCGATTGCGATTTTAATTCTATAACTGTTAGTGAAATATGTAGTCTATGTTTAAACTTCATAGTCTTAGTTAAATTACCTGTATAGGCCAAGCAATCCATGATATAAACTATTGGCCGACTTGTGATCTCCCTTGTGTTAGTCATGGACTGATTCAACATGGACATTGGGCATGTCTGTAAATGAAAGTCGGCATGTACAGGGTTGATGGAAATACATTTAAGATCATATTGTAGAAGATTCTGTGTAAACCATAGTTTTTGTGAAGCAAGAAAATGTTATCTGGTATTTTTTGCTTAAGCTTAATTATGAATACATATGTTGAAGATGTTTAACAGGCCCTTTGACATGGACTTGTATCGCTTGATCTGGATTTTGTTGTCGGTACTTTACTCCGTACATAACAGGGTAAAACACTCTGACATTTAAAGAGTTGTGAACGGGTGATTTGCAATTAAATTTTTGAAAACGATGCTCAAAGATCAATAGCAATAGCAATAAATATAATGGTGATCAAATTTGATCTCATGATTTGGATCAACTCTCCTTGTTAAGAAAGTATATTTGTAACAAACTGGATCATTTGTGAACATGAGGTTTGGTATTTCCTTCAAAATTGATCATCTGTCATAAAAAATGTATTATTTCTATGAAATATTTCTTGAACAAATGTAATTGAAGCATAGATATTATATACCTATCAAATTTAATAGACCCTGTTTTATGTAATCACTTGAACCATTTGAGTTTTACTATTTTAGCAAATCCTTTTTTGCGATACCAAGTGACCAAATAAGATGGAAAAAACAAACAAAACAACAAAAAAACCAACACAGACGATGCATGGTTGTAAATATTTATTATTGGTTTAGGTGATTAATAAAATTTGATAATAAGCAAGCCAAGGCTTGCATAGGGCTTTTTGATACTTTAACAATTTATTTTCTTGGGCTTTTTAGGGATTTTTTAGTGAAATTCACTCATTTTAAGACTCGACTGTTGATGTTGATCTGAAAAGATGATAAATGTAAATGATGAATACTTGCTCAAGTTATTTTTGTAATTAACAAGATGCCTGTTTTTTCAACAACAACAAAAAATATGACATCTTGAAAAATTTCAATGGCTTTATTTTGTGAAAATGACATGCACATGTTTTCATATCATCATCATGAAAATATTTCTTTATTGTTGAATATTGGAATTGAAAAATTAAAAAAGAAAAAAAAAGAAAGTAGAAGTGGCTTTGTTTTTAATTTACACCATTTTGTATACTATGCATGGACTTGATTTTCATTTGGGTAGGTTTTGGCTCTTCTCCAGAGACCAAGTCATTGCTCTTTTTGGATACCTGCTCGAGTCTTGATATCCATTTGTAACAGAAATAATACAGAAGAGGAGTACCCATTATCTTCACCAGAAAGGAAGATTGCTGTTTGAACACACTGAAATCAAATTCACATACACAAAATAAATGTATGAACTTGGAAACGGCATAAACTGAAACGGCATTTGCTAATTGAGCTTAAAGCTACATTCCTCCATTTCAGTGAATTTAAAAAATATTTCACTAGAAATGTAGTATGCAGAGAACTGAAATAAATATTGAGGATACAATTTATATTGGTTCGCTTGTAGAATGAAAATTTGATTGAATTCTTTACAGTGTTTTGGTATATTTGTTCACTATGCAAGTTGTAAAGAATTCCCGCTAGTTTTGACAATATCTTAAAACACTATCGATGAAGTCCATAGAATCATTTGTTATGACTAGAATCGGAACTTATCTGGCGCGGGTTTGATCTCTGGAAGATGCTTTGGTAGTTTGCGCGGAGGAAGGTAGTCTATTACTGGTGTAACTCTCCAGGAACGATGGTTAGGAAACTACCCGCCTACATGTATATGACTGAAATACTGTTGGGAGAAGGCGTAAAATGAAACAAACTAAGTAAATATTACAAATGTACTTGAATCCTGAAACTTTTTTACTTTTCACAAAATCTTACTGTACACTTTTCTCCAGATTGATTTTTGTGCCCCCACTTGAGTGGCTGGCATTTACATTTACCCTTGTCCCTCCATCCGTTCTCTTGTGTCACATGTAACTCGTAAAGTATTTGACCTACAGTCATGAAACTTTACAGGAACAGCATGTGTAGTTGTGCACCGAGGTATTTTTGTGTGGATCTATATAGTATTTTTATTATTAAAGTTATTGCCCTTGACTTGGAAAAAAATTTGCAATTTTCAACTTGGGTTACATGTAACTCGAAAAGGATTTGACCTAGAGTCATGAAACTTTACAGGAATGTTGATCAGCATGTGCAGTTGTGCACCAGGTTATTTTTGTGTGGATCTTTATAGTATTTTCGGGTTATTGCCCTTGACTTAGTACAGTTTTGCAATTTTCAACTTGTGTTGCATGTAACTCAAAAAGTATTTGACCTAGAGTCATAAAACGAGTTATTGCTTTGACTTTGTAAAATTTTGCAATTTTCAACTTTTGTCGCATGTAACTAAAAATGGATTTGACATAGAGTCATGAAACTTTATAGGAATGTTGATCAGCTTTTGTAGTTGTGCAACTGGGTATTTTCGTCTGGATTTATTAAGTAATCTTAGACTTAGAAAATTTTTGCAATTTTTTAGCTTGTGTCGCATGTAACTCGAAAAGGATTTGACATAGAGTCATTAAACCTTACGGGAAGGTTGCTCAGCATATGGAGTTGTGCACCTGAGGTTTCACTTGTAGATTTTTCCAGTATTTGTAGAGTTATTTCCCTTGACTTAGTTAAAACCGTTTTATTATGTTATTTGTTCCTTGAGTGCTTGAGTTAGAATCAACCAACTTTACAGGAATAATGATCAACATCACTAAATTACAGGAATAATGATCAACATCACTGTGAAGCTATGCACCTGGGACTCTGCATGTTGATTTTTTTTCAGTTTTGTTATAGTTATTGCCCTTGATTTACAGTAGTATAAATTTGCAATTTTCAACTTGTTCATGCATAACTCAAAAAGTATTATACTTGTAGGCCTGAAAGTTTACAAGAATGCTGGTCAGCATATGAACTTATGCACCTTGGGTTTGCTTGTGGATTTGTTCAGTTTTGTAAAGTTCTTGCCCTTTACTAAGTGAAAGATTTTCAGTTTTCAACTTGTGGCACATGTAGTCCAAAATATATTTGACCTAGAGTCATAAGATTGACAGAATAGTGGCGTGTGGGGGCACTGACACAATTCTTGAGGCATGCAGCTTTAAAACTGTTGTAAGTCCACCTTGGGTCGATATTATTCAGAAAATTTCACCATGACAACTTAAGTAATTGTAATTTACTACTAAATATGTTCCCTGTTTTTTTTTTGTACTTGAATTATCACCAGAAAAAAACATTTCCGGTTTCTACCCATTTTTCCACGGGCTTTTTTAAAATGAGGTTTCCCAAAACCCAGCCTGCAGGATTAGGAATTTTTTCCCTCACACATTAAATAATCTAAAAAAAAGTTTTGGGGGTTTGGGGGCCCACATCTATGTTTAATGTTTTTCCCCTTTCCCCTTTTTGGTAATAAAAAAAATAGGGTTTGGGGGTTTTGGTTTTGCAAAAATTTTTTGTTTAATGAATTTGGTAAGGGAAAGGAACCCTGCAAGTAAAATGAAACAAATGAAAGAGATTTTTTTAGATGTGTTGTAGATAAACAGATGCTTATAGATTTTCTCACCCAAAGCAAGGGGGGTTTAGCTATCGGGAAAAGTAAATTTAAAAATTACTCTAAAACCATTAAATTGGGAATATTTCTGGAAAATGGTGTTATTTCTGTTTGTACGGGTTGGTGATGAAAGAATCTGATAGTAAAAACTTAAATACTAAGCTAAGTAATAAAAAGAAATTAATAAAGTCAACACATAACTGTTTTAATTGGTTATTTTAGAGTGGATATTGTAATGAATCGGTTAGTACACGTGTATAAAGAAATTGATGCTCATTTAAACATAGTTTTGTTGAATTTTCAGTTACCCTAATCTGACTGAAAAGGTCATACTATGATGGCTTTCAAGATTTACTTGTGGAGGTAGACCTGTTACTCCTTAATTTGTCCAAAGGGTTGAACCAGAAATTTGTTAACTTTCTATCTTCCATCACAGGTGCTGTCTTTCAATGATGTCAAACGCAACCATAGTTAAACGTACATCATTATGAATAAAGAATTAGTTATTAAAAGCAAAAAAATGGGCCTACAAACTTAATTAAGGGATTTGTTACTTGATTTTCTTTTAATATTGTGAAATCCCAATTCCTAGGGGAATTTGGGGGGTCCTACCCTTTCCCATTCCCGGTACAATTTAGTGCTCTTCAACCATTGCAATATGTCGGCCCCCATGAACTGAAAGTAGCTGTGCTCATAATTGTCAAATATGTCTTTTACATTGCTTAGGAGGATCCTTACTAAGCACAAAAACAATATTTCATTCTTTAAATTTGGAAAATGTGTACGGCATTGTCAAATTAGCTTTTTATCAGGTTTGTAAATTAAGTGAATTTCCAGTTATGTGTAATAGTCCTCGGACAAGCACAGAAATGTATCTACATTGTATTTTAATGACTAAACCATTACAACACTAAATGTAATTGAGTTAACTATGCTATTATTACTCTTTATTTTTGATAAATTCCGCGTTAGTGCAGAACACAGATACAATACTGTTATTTTCTTTATCATATCAGTATTATAAAACAGGCACCTACATGTACATTAGTTACATAAATAATTATATTATGTAAAAATATAAAGCAGGCACGGAAACATGTATATTTTTATCTGGAGGGGGATCGCCAAAAATTTCGACTAGGGCAGAGGGATGAAATTTTCCCAATGTATAGAAGTGCATGAGTACTGCTGATTTTGTGTAATTCAATGACTATTGACACATCAGACCTGGGGTTATTGTTAATCGCAATCATTGATTTTTAAATCGATTGCATGATTACACTGTAATCATCGTGTAAATTCATTGATTAAATAACCCACTGGTGTCATTAAGTGGGTCAAATTAAAAATAAAACAAAGAATTTACACAGTCACTGAATCTGGTGGTCTTAAATGCGGATAGGCGGGTGGACTTAATTCTGGATCAGTAACCTTTGACATAATGAACCTTTTAAAATTGGTATTAATAGTTAGGTGATCATAATTCCATGATCTAAAATTCCGGGGTGGTCTTAGATACGGACTCTACTGTATATTTAATGTAATAAAATATCTATCAATTACTCTCTTAAAGTAATTGTAATTTAGTTGATTACAGAGACATGTCTGAGTAATCAATCTTTGTCAGTTACAAAATTACTGATCAATGTTATCATCCCCACTGACAGAAACTGTGAAGAAACATAATAAGTAAACAGACCAGTTTATTTTATGATATATCAAATTGAAAGGAATGAATAAGCCCAAATGATTGCTGCAATATTTCATTTTAAACCAGTCGTTACAAATATTTCTAGGAAGGTTTGTTTTCTTTTGGGATCAATCCTTGGAATGACATTCTGGCTTTGTCTTTATTAATAAGTCCAATAAGGCACACAAAATTTAACCAGTGCAGTCCGCATCAAAATAATGAGGGCTCTGTGATGTACAATTTATCCTTAAAACTATGTTGAATTATTTCTAGATGCTGTTAGTTTCACAGACAGGACACATACATGTGGATCTTTAACAGGCAGTAATGTAGGAGAAAAAGTAAAGCTTTGTGGATGGGTACAGTATAACCGTGGTGGAAAATTCATCGTCATTAGAGATTGGTCAGGAATTACACAAGTTATTGTTCCCACAGAAAAAGTAACGTAATTTTTTTATGAAGTGTAAAATTGTTTTTAAAAAAAACACAAAAAAACTAAGTAGTAAGAAGTTTTATTTTTCATGCAATCGTTTAGACTTTTGGAAGAAACTTAGTATTGTAGAGATTTAAACAATAAAAAGAAAAGAATTATATATAGAAATAATTCCTGATTGAAGTCTTCTCCTTTAACGAAAGCTATACTGGGTTATTATGTACGTGTACATGCCAGTGATATGCAGAAATGGCTTAACACCTTAAATAATTTAATAGGAGTTAACCTGTTACTGCACTAAGGTGACCATGAGACTTGACAAATGAGGTAGCATTTGTAATAGAATTGTCGTCATTATTTTTTGCAGTAACAGCAAAAATTTATTTTATTTATCTTTAATACCACAGGTTGAGGTGCAAGAAATAGTGCAGTCCCTGACCTTTGAAAGTGTTATAGAAGTTACTGGTAAAGTCTTGCCACGTCCAGAAGAGGAAGTAAATCCTGTAAGTTTCCGTGGTTATCGTAATTATATTAGGCAGAAAAAAAGGCTCTAAAATCTAATTTGAAAATTTTATGATGGATGATTTTAAAGTACTTCTATGTTTGTTATAATATTCAATTGTTATATTTCTTGTAGTGTGTCACTAGGATTTTAGGAAATAATTTAGTTTTTCTACAACACTAAATATTGTGCATTGTATCTTAGGACCATAATTAAAAATAGTAAGAGATTAATACATGGCAGAGTAGGGCCGGAAGGTGATAATCGGCCTGCAAAATGAATAATGGCCCGAGGGCATTATTCATTTCAGGGCCGATTATCACCTTCTGGCACAACTAAGAGGTGTAATAATGTCCTTAATACACTTGGTAGATCTATTAGTAGAATTTTTCTAAAAAAAAAAAAAAAAATACTTTGAAATTTCTTTCGTTGAAATTCCTGTCTGCATTTCTGTACAGTACAGTAACTTCTACAGAGTTGTTTACTTTTTGTATGATCAAATGATCAAAGTTCACTACTGTATAATCTGTTTAATGACGTAAAATGTGCCGTCATTGTTTCAGTTTGTGCACATGCTCATGTTCAGCGGCTGATTACTAGTTCTCGGCCCCGGGCCGCAAGCTCATAATAGGTCAAGTGACACTCATAATCAATTGAAATCATAGGCGATTTTGTTATATATATAGTAACAAGTGTATTAATAGTTATTTTGTGACACTTTTTCTCTGTATACCGGTTCATGACTGTATTATGTTTTTTTGACATATTTAAGTCAAATGGACATTTTTTTTACTTATTATGTCATGTTGTTTCTGTATATATTGAAATTAATCACTGACAATCAATCAACCAACTAATCTAATTAATTATTCAAGTGTCACAGTCCAGAACTGTTCACTGTTTTTTGAAGAAGATGTGTAACAGCCCGATAACTCAGTCCGTAGATTTGAGGAACGATATTTCGAAGGTTCTGGGTTCCTCTCCCAGTCACAATGCATTTTTTTGTCACTCTGTGACACAAGTATTTTTTTAGCAATATAATCAATCTGAACTGAAATGAAGTATGGAAATCCATCAAGCTTTTTAAATGGAATCGGACGTAATTTCAATTTCCAATTTCCATTCAGTTTAAATTACATAAACTCATATATGAAATAATTTTCTACAAATATTATGTTAAAAAATCATCTTTATTTGAATGTTATAGGCAATGGCCACTGGTGATTTAGAAATAGATTTAGAGGAAATACAAGTTCTCAACAAAGCTTCTGAAAGTTTACCCATACCTGTATATGACTATCATAAGGTGAGTGTGACCTTGTTCCTATAGGCAACATCAAAGTTGAGTGTTACCGTAAAGCCTGTATAAATCACCTCTTTCACACATGGCACATTAGCTTTAGCTAATGATATTAATATGTACAACAGCATTTTTATTATGAATTTTTTTTTCATTACTTATCAATCATATCTAAGGCTTGTAAAGTTATAAAAAAAAGTTTTTTTTTGTGAAAATGTCTTTGTTCATATGTGAAAAGTAAGGAAACAATGGCTTGCACTTGACAGGCTTTAAATTCACATGGGCAGCAATCCTGAAAGTCTGAGGACAGATATTGATAAATGTATATGTGGTGCATATCTTTGTTTGTAATAAATGTTGATTTTGTTTCTATGGTTACAGGTTTCAGAAATGATGAGAATGGAGTATAGATACATGGACATTAGGAACAAACAAATGCAGAGAAATTTACGACTGCGCTCCAAGATGATGATGAAAATACGAGAATTTCTCGCTAACATTCATGGTATGTTTACAAACACACTGTTGGTTTAATAATTAAATACCATATTGAATATGAACATAGCAACTAGTGTGGTGTACTGTTATACTGTAATGAAACCCAAAGCAGATCTTTCCTTTCTTTGTCAGGTTTTTATTACAAGAGAGGGTGATGTTGTTATTTAAGGAATATCACAGGTTAAAGGTTAAAATACTTCAAAAACAATTTTCTGAAACTACCGGTATGCAGCCTTCAGTATTGGCTATGCTAGTAATGGTGTAAGTGCCTGTTGATTCATATCCTCTAGAAAACACCTAGCTAGCTGTTGGAAGGTTGGTTGATGGTTCTATTCGAGTGCCCATTTGTGCCTGAAATAATGCATAATGCACTTGATGCCTTTCTCTGTTATAACCTTTTAACTGTGTCAGTATGACTCAAAACTTACCCCATTCCCCCCTCCAAAAAAAAGAAAGAGAGAATGAACCCCCTCTCCAAAAAAAAAAGAAAGAAAGAAAGACTAAAGAAAGAAAGAAAAATGAATATTTTGAGCAGAAATTGTTTTTGTAAATGTTTTACTGATTCTGAATCTAAGTAGGCAGATAAAATAGATGTAAAATGAGAACAAAACTAGTTTTTTTGGCATGACATATCATGGTTTCTGATACATTTGTGCATTATCATATATGACATGAAATATGATATAAGTAATGCATTAGGTGACGCTTTCCTTATTACAAACGATTCCTTTTCATTTATAATGATATCTGTTGCACACATCGTTTCAGAGTTTGTTGATGTTGAAACCCCAACACTGTTCAGGAGGACTCCAGGTGTAAGTTACAAAGCTAGACATTGTTTTTTAGGGCAAAACTATTTTTATTTCAAATTATAGATCATATAAGATTTTATTACTTAGCATGAAAGCTGCACACTTTCTGTTTAAAAAAAGTTGAATTCTGTCAAGAGGCAGATCTAGAGTTTGATGTAAGAATCTTTTTTATTTAAAAAAAAAACTTCCAAACTTTTCCTTTTTCAGTTGATATGGAAAAATTAAAATAATGGAATTTCAGAAATAACATGTTTTTTAGTCTGAATTCTGTTCAAGAAATTTCTATACATAAAAATGATTCATGTAGAAAATATAAGCTCTACTGATACATGGTATATCTTATATGCACTTTAATACATTCAAATAAAAATTTACTCACTTATAACTTAATAGGGAGAGAATTGGATTAATTATCCAGTGATTGCTATTTAAAGTCATAAGTGATGTGAAATTACTCTGCGACATTTGATGTAATGGTCATTTGTCTGTCAATATTGATTCAGAAACCGTGTGGGAATAGTTGTTTTAAGGACTGACACCCGAGATATGGCCCAAGAATGTGTTGAAATCAGTGTAAAAAAAGACAAACAAATTTTTAGTGAGAAAATCTTGATGTATTTCATACTACTATGATTGTATAGGCTTAGTAACATTGATTGTTATTGCTTTTGATATTTTTTGTGTACAAATTTTCTTCTGTTTTTTAAAGGGAGCGAAAGAGTTTATTGTTCCCAGTGGGCAGCCCGGAAAGTTCTACAGTTTACCGCAGTCACCTCAACAGGTTTGTGAATGTAGCAAATAAATTTTGCCTTTCGGTGGTTAAGTTCTACAGTATGTGAGCTTAAACTGTGATCTGATTACCCTTGTATGGCTTGAACCCAAGCTCTATCATTGGGTTGAGAGAGTTGTTCTCTCAACATAATAACTTTACAATAATCTTAAATTATGTAAATGATTTCATTAATGAAATAACACAATTAAGTTTCCATTAGTATAGAGCCTGGTCAGCATAGATGTGCGGGCTGATTTTGCTCTGTACTTCTGGCAGAGGCTAATCATTTATGGTTCTAGCTAGACAATGGTTAGATTAACACAATATTTATGTAATATATGCATTGTGTATTAAAGATGTTAAGTATGATGGGAGATGACCCTTTCATACCTGTTATGGGGTATATAAACAGGGTTTCCCCAGATAGGGCCTCATAAAAAAATACAAGGGTAAGATAAACTTCCATCTGAAATGCTGTTTCATTTTCAGTTCAAGCAGTTATTGATGGTAGGCGGTATTGACAGATATTTCCAGATTGCGAGATGTTACCGCGACGAGGGCTCGAAACCCGATAGACAGCCAGAGTTCACACAGGTTAGTGCAAAGATTACCCCCCTTGCTGTTCTCTTGTGCAGCGTGCCAACGCGTTTCTAATCAAGCTTGCAATAACATAAACATATGATTTTTAATTTATTTTTAAGTTTATTTCTTTATTATCTTTTGCAATTCTTCTGTTTTTAAGGGACCTAATTGATCTATGTAAGAAATTCTAATTTGGTATTTTTAGGCTTAAGTTTGTACTAATTTATTTTAGTTTGATTGTGTTGGAAGCTATAAACTTATTGAAACACTCTTGAATCTGTTCCTGAAACCAACTAGTACTCAGCAATGAGTGTAAAGTTTCTTGCTCACGGAAACAACAGCTTGCCCCAGTCGGGGTTTGAACCCACGTGGCCAGCAATCGATAGGTTACTAGTCCTTTTAGACCTTTTTAGGCTTATTGACCTCAGTGGAGTTCCTTTAACATTTGAATAAATTTTATGTGTTATATAGTGAATTTTACCATGAGCAGAGACATAGATAACAATATCTATGTCTCTGCCATGAGTTATTATTCTAAGTTTTTTTTTGTTGAGATTAAAGAAGCACAGACTTTATTATGTAATAGGTTTCAAGCTTTAATGGTAGAGAAAGACCTCAGATACTGCTTTGCTTGCATTATTTGAGGCTCAAGCAGACAGACTGATGAGTAAGAAAAATGAGCAATAGAATAGTTGCCTATATAGGTTTTTGTTGGTTACTTTTAAACATATATAAAAAAATGTGATAAGTACTATACTTGAAAATTATTGAAGTGCCATTGTTAATATTTTACTTGATTTTTCACTTAATTTTTCCGATTTGAATGCCTTTTTATTTCAAAGCCTGTAAATGAATAACAAGATATATTATGAAACTGGACAATAGAAATATGAAAACTAAGCAGCAAGTTTGGTTCAGTTAAGCTAAAAACTCATAAATTAAAGGAACTCCACTGAGGTTAATAAGCCTAAAAACATAAAATTTTAATTTTTCACATAGATCAACACGAGCTATTAAAACAGAAATATAAATAAAATATAACTAAGAAACATACAGGAAATACATTGAAAATCGTATGTTTGTGCTATTCTCTGTCCGATTCGAGTGAAAAGCGTTTAAACGCTTTTCAATTTTGGGTCATTTTTCACTATTATAATTATTATTTTGGAAAAACGGAACGAGCTAATGATCTGAAATTTTGCACATAAGTTATTAGTACAGATCTACATCAAATAGAGTAATAATCTCAAAAAAATATTTCCAGTCCCGTCATGTCAAAAAACCTCAGTGGAGTCCCTTTAATAACAAATTTATAGTACAAATACCTTGTTACTTTATCACTCTCTTTAATCAAGTATGCTTTTATTATTTCAACAGTTAGATATAGAAATGTCATTTGTGAAGAGGGAAGGCATTATAAAGTTGATTGAAGAAATGATGGTATACAGCTGGCCAGAGGGTGAACCTCACATACAAACACCCTTCCCACACCTGACATATGATCAGGCTATGAGATTATATGGTTCTGATAAACCAGATACAAGATTTGATATGAAGGTAGGTAAAACAAAGCACATTACAGTATTCAGTCATGACTCAGCTATAGACATGCCTGAGCTATAGTATAGACATACCTTAGCTGTAGACATGCCTTAGCTATAAATATACCTTAGTTTAAGACATTCTTAGCTGTAGTATAGACATACTTTAGTCATAGACTTACCAAAGCAATAGACAATCCTTAGCTAAAGACATACCTAAACTATAGTATAGACATACTTTAGCCATAGACTTACCTTAGCTATAGATATACCTTAGCTATAGACTTCCCTTAGCCATAGACATACCTTAAATATAGATATACCTAAGCTAAAGATATACCTTAGCTATAGATATACCTTAACTATTGAATTACCTCAGCTATAGTATAGACATACCTTAGCCATAGATTTACCTTAGCCATAGACATACCTTAGATAAAGCGTTACCTTAGCTATAGACATACCTTAGCTGTAGACATACCTTAGCTATAGTACAGACATACCTTAGCCATAGATATACCTAAGCTATAGTATAGACATACCTTAGCTATAGAGTTACCTTAGCTATAGACATACCTTAAATGTAGATATACCTTAGCTATACACATACCTTAGCTATAGTATAGACATACTTTAACTATATATATACAGCTATAGCCATACCTTAGCTATAGATATACCTTAGCTATAGATATGCCTTAGCTATAGAAATAACTTAGCCTTAGATGTACCTTAGCTAAAGACATGCCTTAGCTATAGACATACCTTAGCTATAGACATACCTTAGCTATAGACATGCCTTAGCCATAGAAATACCTTAGCTATAGACATACCTTAGCTTTAGACATACCTTAACTATAGATATACAGCTATAGACATACCTTAGCTATAGATATACCTTAGCTATAGACATACCTTAGCTGTAGAATATACATTCTTTAGCCATACACTTTCCTTAGCTATAGACATGCCTAAGCCATAGACATACCTTAACTATATAAATATATACCTAAACTGCTTTAGGGGTTGACAATTTTTAGCTGAAGAAATTCCTTCCAGTAAAAAATATTTAATTTACTTATGTAGACCTATCATTCGGAAAGAGAACTTGTAGGTTGACAATAATTTTATTCAACACATAAATTTTCTTTTGGATCTCACAAATAAAAAAAAACACACCAAAAAACATGACATTTTGTGTATAATGTACATATATAAATATCATGTTTACAGATAACAGATATAACTTCAAGATGTTCTGACGGTGGTGTAGAGTTAATAAGCAATCAATTAAAAACAGGAAATGGTTCAGTGGTGGCCATTAAAATACGTGATGAAAAGGTAAATTTTTTAAGATTTATTCAGTCATGGTGTAGTCACAGTAGGCGAGATTTTTTATCAGTATTTTCAGTGAAAACTGATTTGTCATTAATAAATTAATAAGATGCTGAAAATTTAGTCCTTTTACTCTATTTATCTACTGAAGTGTAGCAAGTAATTTGCTTTTTTATTACATCATTTATGCTTACTTAATTAAGAGTAAAAGAGTAAAGAAAAATAATGCTTTTATTTTTATGTAATTAAAATAACTTTTTCAATGATATGTCTACAGTTATTACTAACAAAAAAGTTGTGCTTTCAGAAACTTTTTTCAAAGAAAAAACTAGAAGATTTAAAGACAATGGCATTGAAAGCTTTGAATGATACCCAGGTATGTTAATGTAATATTTATATCATTTTCAAACATTTGAACAGAATGACAATTCTAACAGATAAAACCCACAGGGTCAATATCTTATTACTAGTTTTGGACTCTGCTGTGTAAAAGGCACTAAGTAATGTTATTAGACTTTTACCTAGATAGAAAAATATTTTACTATTTATTTACGGTATTTAAATTTATAAGGAACTGTATTTTGGGAGTAACTGAAAATCTTTACTAAATGTTTATACCAATATTATAGCTAGTGTAGGGAATGTTGGTGGTTCTACTCTGATGTCGTTTTGTGCCTGAAATAATACATGTAGGAGTACCTGAGGTCTTCCTCTACCTGTTAAGCTGGAAAAGTGCCATATGACCTCTACTGTGTTGGTGTGACATAAAACATAAGCAAAAAATAAAAATTACAATTCTTATTATAAAAATAAAAGAGATTTTATTAGTACAGTAATATGTTCATATATTTTAAAGCTTAACAATTACTATACAAAATATCTTAACTGAACTTGTCCATCTTTCAATCTGGACAAAACCATTCATCATTTTAAGAGAAAATTTCAAGATATGTACTGACTGAATAGAGAACAGTGTTGACAATCATCAAACAGCAAAGATGTGCTGTCTGATCTTGGGCAGCATTGGTCACATGGGCAGAATCAGTTGGTGCTAGGTGGTTGAGAGTTAATGTTGATTATATTACAGACAGTCGTAATACCAGTGAGAGTAATAGAAGATGGATCTTGGCAGTCTCCTATTGCTAAACATATGAAGGCCAATGTCAAGGACGAAATATCAAATGACCTTGACCTTCAGACAGGTGACCTCGCAATACTTGCAGCAGGACAATGTTATAAACCAGTAAGTTTCTAATTTCATGCTTACTAGAATATATCTATAACTAAGGTATAAAGTAGTAAACTAGTATACTTGAAGTTGAATAGTTAACTAAGATACTTTGTGGTTAACAAGTGTAGTTGAGTGGTTAACTTGGGGTCATAGAGATAAACTAGTATAGTTAAATGGTTAACTAAAGTATTAAATAGTTAAATAGTAACTTAGTATAGTTAACTAGGATACTTTGTGGTAAACTAGTGTAGTTGAGTGGGTATCTTTGGGTCATAGATGAATTAGTATTAGTCATGTGATAAATTAGTATAATTGAATGGTTAACTAGGGTACTGGATGGTGAACTAATATAGTTGAGTGCTGAGTGCTTAGTCAGGGTAGATATGTTGTATACTAGTAATAATTGATTGGTTAACTAGGGCATTAATTGGTAAACTAGTATACCGGTAGTTGAATAGTTAACTTGTATACTTTGTGGTAAACTAGTGAAGTTGAGTGGTTAACTAGGGATCATAGTGGTAAACTAGTAAAGCTGAGTGCTTTACTAGGGTAGCTGAATTATAATGATTTGTATGGGTAGTAAAGTGGTAAATTTTGTAAGTTAAATTCATTATTAGGGTAGTAGAATGTTAAACTATTGCAGTTGAGTTGTTAGCTTAAAGTTGTAAAGCGTTTAACTTAACTAAGCATAGTTGGGTGGCTATTTAGGGGTGGTGGATTCATAGAAGTTGAGTGCTATATTTGTCTGAAATGGTAAATAGAATTTTGTTTAGGAATTATGAATAAGTTTATGAAAAACAAGATCTATATAGTTTTTATTCACTTTATTGTGTATATCGGCTTCTGATGGTCATAGCTCTCACACCTGTTTTCCCTTAGAATTTGATGCTTATTAGAGATAATATTATATAGTAATAAAATTTTCATTTTTTTCTAGAATGAAGTTTTAGGCAAGATAAGGCTGTTGTTTGCAGATTTTCTTGAAAGTAATGGTAAGTAATTATCAGGGGAGGCTACTCTTGGTGGACATTTAAAATACATTTTATAAGAGTTACCAGTAAAGTATGAGAATTAAGAATTTCTTATCGGAAGATTTTTTTTCTTTCCAAAGATTCATCATTAAGATGAACTCTGTAATATATAAAGTATAAATACAGAATGATTTAAAGTTTACACAATTTCACAAGAAAGAAAAAACCAGCATATTACAAATGTATATTTTGTAACTTATTTTGTCAGAAATTGCAGGATTTGTACCCTAATCATCAAAGAATTATGTACTAATCTTTTTCCATGTGTTTCATTTTATTTTCTAACATTTGCATGTCTGATGCCTGTCATTGATACAGTGTATTAATGTTTATTAATAATTGTGAGGTGTACTGTACTAAAAACAGTATTCCCATCCAAAGGTACCAGGTTTGAGCAGCTGTGTAGTTTAGTTTAGTATATAGAAATTTGCCCCCCGTCCCCACCGTAAATATGAATCACTGGACAAGTGCCCCCCTAGTGAAAATGTTAAGGTGGACTTTTGCCCCTACCCAGTTTGGAAATTTTGTATAATGTATATCAAATGCATTCTTAAACATTTTAATAATTAATTAATTATAATGCATTTATTTCAATAAAATACACTTATTGTTGGATTTTTATTGAAATATAAGCTTCTGACTGCATTTGTCAATATTTGCAAATTTCCAAACTGGGGTTGGGGGAGGGGTTAGGGCAAAAGTCCTGGATTTGTTTAGTTAATATGGTAGAGGTGTAAAAAACCGTACAGTATTCCAAGGGTCCCAGATTTAAATTCTACTCGGGTTACACATTTCTTTCAACATGATTGTGACACTGTCATTAACTGATATGCATTGTTGATGAATGAATTTTTATTAGTCCCCTACCGGTTTACCGGAGGGGACTTTAGGTTTACCCTCCGTCCGTCTGTCTGTCCCTCCGTCCGTCTGTCTGTCAGTCCGTCAGTCCACAAAACTGGATCCCGCGATAACTTGAAAAGTACTGGAAATATCTTTATGAAACTTGGTATATGGATAGATGGCAGTATGGAGATTATGCACATCTTTTTCTTTTCTTCCTATGTTGAAAATTCTGGTTGCTATGGCAACAAATAGGCTGAAAATATGGCAAATTTTACACATAAACTGGATCCAGTGATAACGCAAAAAGTACTGGAAATATTTTTATGAAACTTGACATATGGGTAGATGGCAGTCTTGAGATTATGCATGTCTTATCTGTTCTTCCTATTTTGAAAAAATATCAGTTGCCTTGGCAACAAATTGGCTTAAAACATGGCAAATATAACAATATTTGTGATTAGTCAAAAAGAGCTGAAAATTTTTATGAAATTGCATCTTTAATTCAAGAGTTATCTCCTCTTTAAGAATTTTGCTTTTAAAATGTTATATTTTGGTAACAGGGATATTTCAAATATTAACTTGAGAGTGTCCCTCAGTCCGTCTGTCTGTTCATAAAAACTGTTTCCTATGATCACTTTTAAAGAACTTTTTCAACAAATTTACTTAAAATAGAGAAAAATTGAAACATTAGTGAATGGCCAATGGCCCTTCAGAATGTTGATGGGGTTCTAACCGGTAGGGGACTGATGGATTGCTTGCAATACTATGATAATTGCTTGTTATTTCAGGTGTTCAAGTCAGAGAAAAGAATGTCTTTAACTTTTTATGGGTTGAAGATTTTCCCCTATTTCTTCCAAAAGAAGATGGAGGTATAGTTGAACTAACTGATTGTATGGCTTAATAACATCAACCCAAACTGATTAAATGATATAATTTTTAATCTTGTTCACTGAAAGTTGTTTTATTCAGTATCAAATTGCATTGAGTGAAAATCTGAATCTAAAGAAGGAAAAGACTAGAAAGAACAGCTTTTTTCCCAACATTTCCAAATGTGATTCAGGCTTTTGATTTTTGATTCTGGTCCCTAAATTCCTTAGTGGAAGAAAGTACATTGTATATATATATATATATATATATATATATATATACAATGAACCAAAGATGCTAGTTTTTACATTCTTCCATCATACTGTCATATTTGATTTCACATAGCATTTCATTTACTGTCTGATATCTTAAATATTTGGTGTAATTGTACCAGTTGAAGTACTGTATACCTTGGGTAAGGTTTTAGGTGCTATTGGTCATTTACTTTTCCTACTTTTCTTCAAGAATAAGCGTCATAAGTATATTATTGTAGGAGAGGGTCTAGAATCTGCTCATCATCCATTCACAGATGCACACCCGGAGGATAGACACATGCTTTATACCCAGCCAGAGAAGGTACAAACATTACTCACTTTATCTGATTGAAAGATTGTGTCATGCAAGTAGATTTTTAGTAAATGTTTTGTTTTGTGTCGGTATCAGTATTTGTAACATTTTCTTTTGTGACAATGGTTAGTGAGTAAAGAACTTTGCAAATGCACAATTTTACTCATCTAATCTCAGGGTTGTAACAAACTTTTACAGTTACAACTTGGTAAATATATTGATAATAAGAGTAACACATCAATAACTCTATTGTTAACATTAGTGCATGTTGAGACTTTAACGATAAAAACTTGTTTGTACCCTGAGATTAAATAGGGAAAAAACCAATATTTGCCAAGTTCCGTGTAACATTTTTATTAACAAGAATTTCAAGAATCAATGCTTTTTTAGTACCTATATATACATAAATTTCTACAAGTTAAAATGCAACTTTACTACATAATTAAGGTAAAGAGTTGAATTGAATCACAAGAGGTTAGGCATACATTTATCCTCATTAAATTATCTCAAATAATGCACATTTGAGTTCTTACAAACAAAACTTATCCTTATTACTTACATAGATGTGTTAACATAATAAGGTAAAATCTTTTAAAAGTTAGGTTCAAGCTAAAAAGCATGCAATATTTCTTTAGTTCTGAAAAGAACGGGTTATTAAACACTACAATCATGATGAAGCCTGAATTAAGTACCACTGTAATAGTTCAGATTAAAAGCAATAGTTAAGGTTAAAAAGCATTTCAAGATTAAAGTAAAAAGTACTAATAAAATAGTTCAGCCTAAAAAGTACCATTAAGATAATTCAACCTAACAAGCAATTGATAAAGTAGTTCAGCATGGAAAAAAACCCATCTAATTAATAGTTCAGTCTGAAAAGCGTTATTAAAAAAGATCAGTCTGAAAAGCGTTATTACAATAGTTCAGTCTGAAATGAGGTATTAAAATAGTTCAGTCTGAAAAGCATTTTTAAAATAGTTCAGTCTGAAAAGCATTATTAAAGTAGTTCAGTCTGAAATGCGTTATTAAAATAGTTCAATCTGAAAAGCATTATTAAAATAGTTCAGTTTGAAAAGCATTATTAAAACAGTGTAGTCTAAAAAGCATTATTAAAATAGATCAGTCTGAAAAGCATTATTAAAATAGTTCAGTCTGAAATGTGTTATTATAATAGTTTAGTCTGAAAAAGCATTATTAAAATAGTTCAGTCTGAAATGTGTTATTAAAATAGTTCAGTCTGAAAATTTGTGTTAAGATAGTTCAGCCTAAAAGCACAACTAACATAGTTAAATCAGAAAATCACTATCAGCTTAGAAATTACATATAAAGATGTTTAGCCAGAAGTTATTGCTTAAGTATAGTTCAGCTAAAAATCATGTCTAATATAGGTGGGTCAAAAAGTACTACTTCAAAAGTTAAATGTAAAATGCACTGCTAAAGTTCACCATAAAATCACTACTGATACAGTTCAGTTAAAAAGTACTTTTAAGATAGTTTAGCCTCAAAGCATTGCTGGAAAAAAAAATCTTAAAAAGTACTACTTATGTACCTTAACCAACATATTCAAGACATTTCAGTACTGAAGGTTAATGAATAAAATTTTAATGGATAATAAAATAATAATAAAAATAGATATTTTCAAGGGAGAAATTGTTGGGATGTTTATTATATATATAAGGGGAGAAATCATTTACTGGATAAACAAACATTTCTCGGAAAGTCAAAAATGTTATGTAATTATAAAGCCATAGAAAATAGCAGACAAACTGGGACAATCTGTTTCACAACAGACAATATTTTAAAAGAGAAACAAAAACAATATGTTTTTGAACAAGATGTTTTTGATTATTTTATTTCTATGGCTTTTTAATCATGATTTTCTGCACCTAGGTATTGATTAAATGATATTAACATGTCAACAATGATGCTAGGTGGTTATGTTTGTCAGGCTTCATTTGATTAAAAAAAATCAACTAGTCTCGAGTACAGCCATGTATCTGTCAAATGCAAATATTGATTTTTAGATGCTGGAAAGAAGTTAATTCTGAGGATTTACAATTTTTTTTTGCTATTCAGATGCAGACAATGTTTTTCTGTTTTAGTATATTTTGAAAATTAAGTTTAGTGCTAAAATGCTCAAAGTTATTTTAAATTTTAGATAAATTTATAGAATGGCATAATGTATAGAATGGTAACTGTTATTTTAGACAATTTATAGGATGTCATAATGATGCATAGAAGGGTTGTTGTTATTTGTTTTGGTGGTGTTTGGAATCAATAAATTGAAGAAAAATGCATGATGTAAAAAAATGGTGATTTTTTAAAATTTTTTTTAGTTTTTTTCATTGAAGAAACCTTTCCCCTTAAGGTAAAAAAGTAAACACTAGAATACTTAAACCTTTTTTTTGAAACCCTTGTTTAAAATTTGTTTAATAATATTTATAATGATATAAAAAAAAGATTTTGAGAATTGTGTATAATATTTTATACATAACCCCTTTTGGACCCTTTAAAAAATGGATTGCACGGTGGTGCATCATTTTGATTGATTTCATTTCTTTATAAAAACTAGTGTAAAGAGGTAAATATATTGTTATTTCCCGGAGCGAAATAAAAAATACCTTTTTATTTAAACAGTTTTTTTCCGATTATAAATAAAATTTTAAATGTGAATTCATATGAATTATTAAATTTTAAAAAATTTATATATGTAAATCGCAAAATAAATTTTTTTAAAAAGGGAAAAAAATTTATAAACTTAAATTATATTTATTTATATATTAATTTTTAAATATCGTGAATTCCCAAAAAAAGTCGTGGGGCCTTAGTAAAAATTTGTTTTAAAAAAATTCCATAAATTTATATTATAATAATAAAAAAATTTATATTCCCCAAGAATTTTAAAAGAAAAAAAAATTAGGAAATTTTTTAGAGAGTCAGGGGGGCCCATGTTTACCAGACTTTTTTGTTTTTTGTTGTCATATCTAGGTATAAAAAATATAAGTTTTTTTTTTTTTTAATAATCCCCATGCAAAATAAAACATTTAAGCTTAAAAAAGGGCGTATTTTTTTTTTGTTTTACAATTTGTTTTATTTTGCTTGTGTTGGAAGTTAAAGTTTCGAAACCTCTCGAATCCTTTCCCTGGGCCAACGGTTTAAAATGAGTGTAAAGGTTTTTGTTTAGAAAAAATGAGGGCCCCGACGGGGGTTTAAATTCAACACAGAAACCCTTAATTCTAGTTGACGTGTTAACCACTTTGCCATGTCGCCTCATTTTATTATGTTATAAAGAAAAATAAGGAGAGACATATTAGATTAACAAAGTTAAAATGATATTTGAAACTGAAAATTGTAGGTCAGAGGTCAACACTATGACCTGGTGTTAAATGGGAATGAAGTTGGAGGTGGGTCCATCAGAATACATGATCCAGATGTACAAAAATATGTTCTTGAGGACGTTTTGAAGGTAAAGTATTAGTAATCCAATAATTTATTGAAAAATATCGCTTTGCACTTTCAGGATTAATTCAGTCCCATTCCCTGTCCCTGTAATTGTTTTTAGCAATTTTGACACAAGATTCAATAATTATTATGCCCCCACTTCAAAGAAGAGGGGGTATATTGCTTTGCATTTGTCTGTCTGTCGGTCTGTAGACCAAATGGTTTCCGAGTGTTAACTAAAGAACCCTTAGGCCTAGGAACTTCAAACTTGGTATGACCAGTAGATGACCCCTATTGATTTTGGGGTCAAGGGGTCAAAGGTCAAGGGTCACATTGACCTTGTAAGTAAAAACAGTTTCCGATCAATAACCAAAGAACGCTAAGGCTTAGGAACTTCAAACTTGGTATGGTGATTGGTCATGACCAGTAGATGACCCCTATTGATTTTGGGGTCAAGGGGTCAAATGTCAAGGTCATATTGACCTTGTAGGTAAAAACGGTTTCCGATCAATAACTAAAGAATGCTTAGGCCTAGAAACTTCAAACTTGGTATGGTGATTGGTCATGACCAGCAGATGACCCCTATTGATTTTGGGGTCAAGGGGTCAAAGGTCAAGGTCACATTGACCTTGTAGGTAAAAACGGTTTCTGATCAATAACTAAAGAAGGCTTAGGCCTAGGAACTTCAAACTTGGTATGGTGATTGGTCATGACCAGCAGATGACCCCTATTGATTTTGGGGTCAATGGGGTCAAAGGTCAAGGTCTCATTGACCTTGTAGGTAAAAACGGTTGCCGATCAATAACTAAAGAACCCTTAGGCCTAGGAACTTCAAACTTGGAATGATGATTGGTCATGATCAGCAGATGACCCCTATTGATTTTGGGGTCAAGGGGTCAATGTCATATTGACCTTGTACTTTAATGGACGGTTTCTGACCAATAACTCAACAACTCAAGTTGCCTTGGTTGATATTTTTTATATTAAAACTAAAAATGCTTTTCGTATACACCTTTGAAGGGCTTATGTAATATAACAACTTGGCTGTCATTAATGAGGCCTACATGATTCATAAAATTTATGCATATATTATTTGGTAAGATTTCTAATAACTTAAATTGCTGCACACAACCTATGGGGTCAAAATAATTATTACCTTGTGACTAGTCATGACCAGTAGATAACCCTTATTAATTTGGTCAGAAGTCATGCATAACAAGAGCCATGTCAACATGGCCATCCCCCGAATGTGTTTGCTCATTGGAAGAATGTATATGTAGTGGAGCAGAATAATTCCATTTTAAGAGGTCTTTTGGTATTGAAAACTGATGGCTATAGTGATTACATATTTGAAACCTATGTGAATACTGATGGCTGAAAATAACAAAGGGCAATAACTGAAAAATAATGCAGGGTAGGTTATCATTCTTGTGTGCTGCATCCCTCCTCAGTAAAATCTATCCACCTATGAAGTTTCAAGTTGATACCTGAAATACTTTTTGAGAAAAAAATTGAATTGAAAAATTAAGTATGAAAAATAACAAAGGGCATTAACTCAAAAATTATAAAAGGTAGAGTTATCATTCTTGTGCACTGCACACCTCCTGAGTGAGATCTTTCTACCTATGAAGTTTCATAATGATATCTCAAAGGCCTTTTGAGCTATGCTCTGGACAAAAATTAATTTTGAAAAATAAAAAAAGGGCAATAACTCAAAAATAATGCAGGGTAGAGTTATCATTCTTGTGCAATGCATTCCTCCTCAATGAGATCCATCCACCTGTGAAGTTTCAAGTTGATACCTCAAATACTTTTTGAGATAAGCTCTGGACAAAATAGCATGAAAAAGAACAAAGGGCAATAACTCAAAAATTGTATAGGGAAGAGTTATCATTCTTGCGCACAACATTCCTCCTCAATAAGATCTATCCAACAATGACATTTCTATTGATATCTCAAAAACTTTTTGAGTTTTGCTCCACTCAGTTGAAAAATTATGTATGAAAAATAACAAAGGGCAATAACTAAAAAATTATGAAAGGTAGAGTTATCATTCTTGTGCACTGCACACCTCCTGAGTGAGATTTATGCACCTATGAAGTTTCATGTTGATATCTCATAGGCTTTTGGAGTTATGCTCTGGACAAAAATCAATTTTGAAAAATAACAAAGGGCAATAACTCAAAAATTATGCAGGGTAGAGTTATCATTCTTGTGCACTGCACTCCTCCTCAATGAGGTCTATCCACCTATGAAGTTTCAAGTTGATAACTCAAATACTTTTAGAGATATGCTCCGGACAAAAATGTCGGACGGAAGGTCTGACAGTGACTATTTCTATATCCCCCGCCGCCTTTTCAGCGGGGGATAATAACCTGATCACATGACTAATTGGCTGCCAATAGGGGGCATACATGTTTTACAAACATATCTTGTTCATTTTCATTTGCTCTTTGGAAAAGGAAAAAATGCTTGCCCAACTATCTTCATATTGAAATTTGGATAAATTAATGAATTCCCTTACTTTAGTCGCACATTGTATAAACTTTAGTCCAACATTGTATAATGATTGCTGAAGTAAAGTTATTATTAATACATGTAGTTTCATGTTTACTTATGTTTTCTTTCTTGGGAATGAATCGGTTAAAGAACAGGAAAATATCATTCAGATGTCTGTATGAACCTTGTTAACACCAAGTGGTGATGGGCATATGGTTTGAGTGGTTAAGGTTGTTGAATTCAAACCACTTGCTCCTCACCGCTCTGGGTTTGAATCCCGACAGGAACTTCAGATACTTTCATGTGAGGAAGCTATCCAGCTAGCTTATGAAACGACAGTCTAAGTTCTTCTTAGATGCCTGTTTGTGACTGATAAAATGAGCAGAAGGGCAACTGAGGTGTTCCTCAACACGTAAAGCTGGTAAACCTCAATATGACTTATACTGTGTCAGTGCGATATAAAACCCACTACTCTATCAGTGCGATGTAAAACCCAACCAAATAAATGTTTTCTGTTTTTTCCTATGCAGGAGGATTCTAGCCAATTACAACATTTATTGAAAGCATTCACAACGGGATGTCCACCTCATGGAGGAATAGCTTTAGGTGTGTAATTAACCAAATAAAATGTCATTCATATCTAGATTGCAGTTTTTAAAACTTCTAAAATTTTACAGGTTACGGAAATGTTTCAGAAATTCTTCTGTGATTAATTTGTTAAAATGCAACAAGGTCTTCTTCAGGCTAAAAAAAAGTTAGCTCCTAAATAAAACTTTATACATGTATGTAAAACATGTAATCAGAACTTAAGTCATCATCTTGAACTGTATGTATCAAGGTGAAATTCGATGAAGACAGACTACTTTTATTTCATTATTTAGTAGGACTACTTTTATTTCATTATTTAGTTCTCACAAACATTTATAGGACATATTTCCATATCTTGTTGCAGGTCTGGACAGATTATTTGCCATCATCTGTGGTGCTGCAAGTATTCGAGACGTAATTGCGTTTCCGAAGACACAGGATGGGAAAGATCCGATGAGCAAAGCGCCGGCTACTGTATCACAAGCTGAACTTGATTCTTACCATATACAAATTAAACCTAAATCTAGTTGATGATATTTGATTATTCTATTATATTTGTATTTAATAAAAAAAATTAATCAAATTTGAATGAAATTCCTTATGGATTTGATGTTTTGTGACATATTTAAGTGGTTGATCCGCCTAACCCCGCTTTCCTGGATAACCAACCAGTAATTACTAATTTCTCTACAAGTGTTTAACTACTAATCCGAGATGATTTCTGAATTAGCAGTGATGGACAAATGACCATTAGACTCAATGTCCACGATTAATTGTTAAGGAGAAAAATACACCTCGTTCAGAATCACAACATGTCCAATTGTGTAGTATTGTCTAAAAAGAGAAGATGGCATATTGTGTTGTATTGTTAGAAAGAGAACATGGTATCCTGTTTTATATTGTCTAGAAAGAGAACATGTGTTGTATCGTCTGGAAAGAAAACTATATCTTGTGTTGTATTGTTACAATGAGAACAAATCTTGTGTTGAAATGAAAGAAAGAGAACATGTGTTGTAATGTCTAGAAAGAGAACATGATGTGTTCTAAAAAGAGAATATGATGTGTTGTATTGTCTAGAAAGAGAACATGATATATGTGTTGTATTGTTAGAAAGAGAACATGATATCTTGTGTTGAAATGCAAGAAAGAGAACATGTGTTGTATTGTCTAAAAAGAGAACATTATATGAGAACATGTGTTGTATTGTCTAGAGAGAAAACATGATATCTTGTGTTGTAATGTTAGAAGGAGAACATGTGTTGTATTGTCTTGTCAAGAAAGAGAACATAACATCTAGCCAGTGCTTATCTTTTATTGAAGTCTACATGAAAGGACATTCAAAAAGGCACTATAGTGTTACAAATATTGAACACAAAAATAACAGCACATGAAACAATATGTAATAAGGGGCTTTCTGAAAACCCTGTGACACACAGAGTGTTGGACAGCGCAATTTTTATTTTTCGTCAAATACTAGTAGTCTTAGACTACTTAAAAATTAAAGTATTTTAACAAAACTATTGTATCAAAAGTCAGTACATGTATTATGCAAATGAGTATCTTGTCATATAAATGACACCTGTCGTATACTGATACACACATTTCAACTTTTACCTCGCTAATTATCTAAAATTGGCTTGTAAATCTAGCAATTATTTTAGGAAATATTTAAAACATAACTACTGACTGAAGAGCAAAAACAGAACAGACCCTGATCAGACTGCACAAAGTGTCGGCTAATCTTGGTCTGCACTTGTCACTTGTGTACCATCAGTTGCAGTTGGCATGACAAAGATTAAACAACAACTGTTTGATCTACATTTGTATTCCTTTAGGGTTTTTTTCTTTCATAAATTCTGCACATCTTTGTCACAAAACTGAATTATTCTTGCATAAAAAGTTCATGAGTTACAATAAAGTTGTTCACTGAGTCCAAGGCCAGTACTGTGAATGCATTTTTTTCTATATAGCATATAACTGCATGTTAGCTGTTATGGGAATGCAAAGGTATTTCAAGATTATTTTGTAATGATTATTTTTATCATTTTCTTCATTTGTCGAAATATTTTTGGCTAACATTTTTATAAGCCCGAAAGAATTTCCGCATATATTGTTATTTGGTTGTCCGTCCGTCAGTCTGTTGTAATTTACGTAAGTAACCTACCACAAATGCATGTTGAGTCTTTAATCTAAAATTTTAAGATAATTTTTTATAGGAACAAAAATGGCAGTTAAAAAGTGTGAATCAGTATAGTAATTTATACATAAATTAAATACAATGTTGTTAGTCATACAGGTTGAATTCTATGTACTGTATGTGAAAGCATTATTAATTGATAGATAAAATTTTGTATCAACATTTCATATTGAAAATAAACTGTCAAAATACATTAAAATATTGAAACTTTAAAGAGCAAAAAGCTTATACTTGTCAACTTGAATTTCATTCTAAGACAATTTCAATCTATTTTTTCACTTCTTCAGAAAGCCTGTTTGTTGGGATGAATATTCAAGTTGACTTGTCAAAGCAAGAATAAATAACATAAATTGAGCAAAATCAAATGTTTGATAAAATGGCAAACATAGGGCTTGTAAAACATGAAATAAATTTTATAAGTAATCTGTCAGAAGGAATTCAATTAATTGTCCCTGCAGTGTTTATAAAAATATATGTATACAAAAATACATGTATATAAAAAAGGAATCCGTCATTATAAAATAAATTTACTTAATCATAAACAATTGCACTAACCAGCTTTCAGTGTCATGCTGATTACAAATCATGTGGTAGCTAAAAAAAACAAAAACTCATTCATTAATGAGACATAAGCAAGAGGCCTAAGAGATCTTTATGTCTCACCTTCAAAGGTAAAAGGTGGATATATAAAAGTTCTGAAGGGCAGGACTTCTTTTGACTTACAGCCATTTGATTTATAAAAATGTTTTTAGAGACCCGTGACATACAAAAAGAGATTATGCAATCACAAAAGGTCATATCCAAGGTATCTGTGCTCAGGTGAGCTAAAAATAAGAAACTGTTGATTGGGTAAAAAACAAGCAAAATGAGTTTTAAAAAATCCAGTTACTTCCAGTTTATAATTTGTATTAATACACCAGATACAGAGATTTTTTATTCTGATAAAATCCATATAATTACATGTATCAATAAGCACAATATTTGAACCTCTTCAACAAAAGATATTACTCATATTAAAATATTAATTAAACTTGAAATCTGGAATGAAATGAAATGTCATAATTGTTTTTATAATTTGCAACTGACTCGAAAATAAAATAAAAACACAAGATGCCATGTTAACATTGTAAGAATATTGATAGATAAACTTATTTAATTAATATTGTTCATCAATTTTTTATACACATAAACAACAAAATTACAAAACAATATATAAACTTTCATATCTGAGTTACTCAAAAATGCTTCACCACCTCTCAAAAAGCATCACCTCTCAATAAAAAGCATCACCTCTCAAAAAATCAACACCTCACAAATAAATAGTACACATACTGAATCCTTACAATAATGTGGAGAAAAGTGTATGTATAGGGAGATGGATAAACACAAGAATATGTGTAATGATATGGAAATGGTTTAATTTGGTTAATTTGTCAGTTATTTACATAGTCATGCTCTAAAAAATACATATGAAAATCATAAAGTACATGTACAATACAATACAATGTATATGAAAATTATCATTCATGAATCTCTTTCGTACCTGGATTAATATATTATTTGCACGACTAGATTAAAGTCGCTGTAAATATCTTATATTAATATTTGGTATAAAAATCTACAATCTACAGCCAATTCAGGTACGTTAATTTGCTTTCTTTCTGCCATTTTTTTCTTTCTTGACGACCACCATGTTTTTAACGGCATTGTATTTGATGACTGAGCAAATTATCAACACAAAGTTAACAAAGTACGTTGATACACAGACCACGCACAAGTCATTGAGAACGAACATTAGAATGTAGGCCAGGTACACACATCCGAGGCCGCCAGATATTGCTGTGATTAACTGAATTAAAACTAAACTGTATTCTGTCCTTGTAGCTGAAATATGAAAAAAATAAATTTTTATTATATACCTATAAATGAAATATTGAGAAGTATTGATGAAATAAAATGCGTATTTTTATTTTCCATATTTTCACTGTAAAAATTTATTTTTCACTACAGTGCAACATATTTTCCGTATTTTCACTGGTGTCTTGCCAGACTACTTTGACTTCTAAATTCAGCTATTACACAAAATTAAAAGGGAATTCTTACGACTCATAACAGAAAATTCAAGTTTTTTCTATTAATTCAGGATTTATTTACATCTTCTGGTATTAAAATTATCCTATTTCACTCCACCCCTGAAATATTTATTTTCAAACCACTCGATGAAAATAAATCCTGTATTTATTGAAGAGACTTGAATATCCTCCATATCTTACATTTATGCACCCAATTTGATATTATGAGTAAAATATTTTTAGTAATAGTTAAACTGAATTAAATATAATTTAATGTACCCATATCTATTTAAAGTATAAGAAAACAGAATATAAATTTAATGTAAGAGATTCAAACAGTTTAGAACAATTTTAGAATGTGATTTGTCTAAATCAAAATGAAAATATCTCTGGTAGAGTATCGTATTCCGCTCTTTATCATTATCGAAAAAATGCAGAGCTAACTGATTGCTTATACATGTATAATAATTCAGCACTTTACCTGCTGAACTTTTTTAATGACTTTTCCCAGCTATAAATTTTTATCAGTCCAACCTTTTAAAGGTTTCAATATCAAAATACAAAAGTTGAGCTGCCAAGGTCAGTATAGAACCTGGGGTCAAAGTGATAAAGAAATTCTCCAAGCTCAAACTCAGATATAAGGTATTTGATTGGTAAGAAACTGTAACAGAATGTTCACTGACCAATGAAAAACCTGAGAATTGAGACAGAACTCAGAAAAAGAGTTTCATACCCTTGAGGCCTGGTGTCAGACTGCATGTATGTGCATACTGGCCTGGCTTAATACTTATGGCAAAGGCTAATCATTTTCAGTAACAGCAAGATACTGGTTTTATGATCTTTTATACTGGCTTATTTTTGCATTGATGTCCCGTTCAGAGATTATTAACACGGTTGAGTGAATTTTTATGGCTAGATAACAAATTTTTAATAACATAATGAAGAAAGGGAAAAACATTAAAAACTCAAAACCTGTTGTTACCAAGTGATTATTAAGGTATTAGGACCCTAATGGGCACTATCAGGAACTAAAAAATTGACATCATAAGTCAGATGTATACCTTAAAGTACACCTGTATGCAAAATTTAAACAAAGTTTACCGTACGGAAATCAAGTTATGACCATTTTTCTGAACTCAAGCTAGGATGTTATGAGGGCCCTTTTTTTTAGAAAGTAGGAACCTTTAAATAATCTGCAATAACATTCTAATGAAAAATGTTTTCCCATTAATTTTTGGTAAGAAACAAATAGTACCATTCAGCTAACAATCCAAATAAGCAAAATTATGGTTTCTACTTAAAATTTATGAAATCTGTATAAAAATGTTACCCTACCCCACCCATTTTTACCACGTGTCTGACCATTTTTCTACTTAGGGAGCCTAATTTAAAAAATTCTTAAAATTTACCCAAATGAGTGCCTGTTTTCAAAGTTTCCCTAAATTTTTAAAAAAGTATATTGGTTGATCTTGTAAAATATGAAATACTTTTACCGTCTAGTTTTGATTATATTACACATTGAAAATATCAGGTACCATATTTATTACTAGATTTAGCATAATTTAGCCAATAAATACCTATATAAATTAAAAAATCAAAATTAAACATTTTTTTCTTTCCAAATGGGACATGAGAGATACATAAATAATGTTAAAAGAAAAAAAGAAAGAAAAAAAAGTTGACCCTTCTGGGGATTGAACCCATGGCCCTCATTTTCAATGTAGTTAACAGTAGTTCTAGCCTATTTGAATACTCTTCAAAGTGGAGGTAATGCATTAGGGTGCTAAAACCTTAAGCCTTTGCCTATAGTATAGAGCCAGATCAGCCTGCACTTCCATGCTCTCGGACTTACTACTTTTGAAAGCATATTTTTTTATATTCTAATTATAGTAATAATGATTACCCTCAATTTTCAAATGGACTGTTTCAAAATAAAAACTGGGTAAGTCTTTTACATAAATTCAGCAGGTTCAGGTTTAATAGATGTTATCTGAAACTTGGCAAATGTGGGCTTTTCCATGCTTATCCCCGGTACAAACAAACTCAGATTTACGGTTATACCAGTAGCTTTACAGTGCACTATCTGTCACAATAGATTAGTGAACCTGTTGCGCTTAATTTTGAAGCTGTAATGTAATGTAAAAGTTTGTTTGTACCCCAGAATTAGCTGTGAAAAAACCCAAAATATTCTTAAATTTCGCAGTAAGTCTATTACTCAAAGATGGCAAGGTTGATTGTAATATAATATATATACCTAGTGAAATCATGATGACGTAGAATATCACTCCATATACACTGTTGGGCTGGTTCAATGTGCTGTTCTTTCCTACAATATGCTCCAACAATCCAAACCCTGTGCCATACCTGAAAATTTCTATATTTTATATTTTATGTAGAAATTTTTCATTTTTTGAATTCATGTTATTCTCAAAATATCAGCCTGCACTGTAAAAGAAATTTTAATATAATTACTTGTATCAATATTTACATTTACTGTAGAAATTTTTGGTAACGCTTTCAAATTCATGAAATTTTTAAAGCATCAGCCATAACAATTATTTATATACATTCACACAAACACAAAAGAGGTTATATGGCGACTTTCCAGCTTTTACTTGTGACTGAAGACCTCAAGCAAGCTGGCAGGCTTCAAACCCACAGTAGTGAGGTGCAAGTGGTTTTAAGTCAAAAGCCTTTACCCTTAACCACTCGGCCACAGATGCAGAGTATATATAGTTATCATTAATTATATTTTTACCTACAGAATGAGTAGGCAAAAACAAAATACAAGTAGCATGCATGTTTATTTCAGATTCTATGAATCAATGTTCCTTGAATAAAATTAGCACACCTTTTTATCTTTTCATAGTACCGTTAGGTGCTTAAAAATCATAAAATTTCCCCTAAAATGACATCACAACCTCCCCCACCCCCAATGGTTTCACACACACATGTGCCACCCTTTTAAGCTTTAATGTGAGAGCATCACAAAATAAGGAAAATTTTACAACTATCATTTGGCTTCTATTTTATGCAAAAAAAATCACTGCCAGGGCATTATAGACTCACAACAACTACAATAATGCATCTGCCATGAAAGTTTTGATCGCACTTCTCATTTTTGTTCACAGTGTGTCAATATTAAAACAACAAAGGTCTGGTAGGAAGCCTATAAATGGCATAATCAATAACTTGCTCTTGTTATACTTTGAAATTAATAGAATGTCTCTGCAAAAGCATTTCTTGTCCTTTAAACTTACACTTCATCTTTTTTTCATAAAAAATATATTGATCATAAACAATGGTGTGCATTAAGGTTATACAATATTATATTTGCAGTACTAGCAATTTTATTGTAATGATCACTTGTATTCCCAGAACCATTTCACGAAAAATAACAATGACAAGTCAATACCATATTTTTATTTTTTCATAACCTTATTACTGTAAACAACAAAGTAAATGTATCTGGTAAGAAGTCTTTAAAGTTCCTATTTATTTCAACATATACAGACATTATTTTTGATGGATTGAAATAAAGGGGAGGGAAGAACAACATGTCAAACAAACCAGGTGGTTTGTAACTTCTATTTATTAACTACCGGTTTTGGTATTATTGATCCCTTCTTCAAGTTGTTAAAATACAGTCTGTTTTTCTGCCTTAAGTATCAGAATTTTTAATTTTTTTTTGATAAGTTTATTGACACACTCTCGAATCTGTTCACAGGCCAACCAGTATTGAGTGTAAAGTTCCTTGCTTAAGGAAACAACAGCTTATTGACTAAGAAATCAATGAAAAATATATCTCTAAGTCTAACCAGTTTGAGTTTATTTCTTAACCCATTACTTCATGAGCATTTTGTGAAAAATGGCTGTTTTCATTGAAAAGTCTCCCGTTACAAGTTCAAATTGCTATAATACTATAAAAACTGCTTCAACACTAATCAAACTTGGCACAAATGTTGACTGGACCATTGCCCTTGCAACAACATGCTCATGCTTAAATTTTCTGTTACCATGGCAACGAGGGGACATCTCAAAATTGCCAAAAATCACTATTTTGCGTTGACTTCGCCACCCTTCAAACCCCCCAAACAGAAGGGGGCACATCCCCCTTCTGGCAACCCCCTGATGTATCTTTTGGTTGGGGGGCCGCGCCGAAAAAGAGGTCACTTTTTTAAACAACATTTCTCAAACAAACACAAGTGTTTGGGGCCTAAATAAGGCATTTTTTCATCATTTGAGACAACAAAAAGGGGGGGGTGAAAAAGGCGTGTATATGAAGTAATGGGTTAAGTTTTGTAGGGGCTGTCATTTAAAAAATCTTGAGATGCGTTCTAAAAATAAATTTATAGTGCATTGGTTGGAGAGATAACTTCGCCATTAAATCACATATTTTTTGCAATATCTTAACTATCTAAGTGTATATTTAAAATATTGACCAACAGATTGACCAGATTTTTTTGGATTATTTTATAGCCGTTATTGCCCCACCTATTGACCTAATCAAAGTTGGGTTCAAAGACTTTATGGTATAATTCAAAAATTAATTATGAAAGTCAAAACTGGTACTCTTTAAGGTTCTGAATGAGATATACAAAATAAGTTTAGGTAATTTGACACTTATTAAAAACTTAAAAACCAAAGTTTAAAGATGCTTGCCTTCAGGTATTAAAGCCAAATCAAACTTGGGAAGTGTACTAAGATATTAACTTATTGAGATTCAAATAATAACTTTCATGTTATGTGTAATTAATGATTGAATCGATACTGTTGTATATATCACTAAATTTCTACTGCATGACTTATTTGGTAGGGGCTTTTTTAACATAATTTCATTTTCACCTGTTTTTAGTAATTAACGTGGATTAAGCGTTGTTTGCAATGTGTTAATATTAATCATGTCATAATATTTTACTTTGAAAAACATTTTTAAAATTTTCATGGAAATTAGCATGAATCTGGAGTTGCTTTAAATCACCACAGCCTGCAGGGGAGATCATGTGCTTGTTTGTTGAAATGTCTGACAGGGTTATCTATGTGTCTGAGTTACCTCTCAAATCAGACAGCTAAGACAGTTTTAGTCAAATCAAAATATTCATACAAATAAAATTGTACTAAATGTTTTCAAATACATAATGATACATATACAACTACAATGGTTCTGTATCATCTATAGTATAAATTTTGTTCTTTTGATATTAAATAACAATTGACTATCCTGCCACAAGTAGCACCTTTATTTATGGTCTTCTTGGCATATTCATCTTAACAGAAGAAAATATATATACATGTATTCTCATATATTATAATTAACTTATAAATGATGACTGTATGTAGCAGGTCTAAACGGGTAAAAAATGTCAAATTCTATACAATTTGATTTACTCTTAAATTCTTACAAAATGACATTAACACTTACCGTGAAGAAAACACCTTTGAACAGCTCATGTGTTCTGAAATGTCACACAACGCACGAAAACTTGGGTCACTGTGAATATTTGTCTCTACATGATACGCGTATATTGATAATAAAATCCCCAAAACACAAGCTATAACTGTACTGACTATTACAGAACGTGGTGTTTTCAAAGTTGACTTCATCTTATTTCACTGTCACGCAAACAGTTGTTTGAAATCTCAGAATAAGTAGGCCAGTGTTGACACGTCTCTCAAACATTCATGGGAGCTGCCATATTGAATTTTTTTAAGCCGCTTCTAACATTTATTTTCTTTAAGAATAAATGATAAAAGGAAAATACGAAATATACAAACATAATAAACACATTTTTCAAATTACATTTAACATATTGAAAGGCACTCTTATTATTTATTTCAAGTAAAGTTATTTTACTTTTATTATTTTTGATGTCGTAAGCTACATCATAATTAACATGGTGGACAATGAACATCATGAATGAGCAAATGCGAAGACCAGAACAGATTTCCCCGAAGTCAAGCCCACGTGGCTCAGTATCGCCTGCTTATCAAAGACCAGATTCATCTGGTACTTTAAAGACTACAATAAGTTTGGGAAAAGTGCCATCAGTTCTTCATTCAGGACCTTTTTACCTCATGAAAGAAATGCCAATTTCAGGTAGTTTAATCATTAAACAGAAACCTGTTGAAAATTAAAATTTTGTCACTTCCGTTAAACGTCCAAATGTCAATACTTTCAGTCATTATATTTTTTTAAGAATTCCTATAATTTTTTCGTATAAAAAACTTCCATTTATTGTTTTATTAATATCATTTTTTGTATCAATGTTTGTCAGTAAATAAGGGAAGTAGATCTAGTCCATTTATCTCCTTAACCAAGGAGCAGGAGCACAGGTACTTAAAACAAACTATTTTTAATGTTCTATATAGGCTATATACTATAATATGACTAATTTGCAGGGAAAAACAAGTGTATTGAAGGTACATTATAATAATTATGTATACGTTGGTCAGATGATTTTTTATCCGAAACATGAGCTAAATATAAGATGGAGAAGAAACTGTGACATCACACAGTTACAGTCAGTATCGGTGGAATTTTGTTCCTGCAAGATATCATATGTCGCGAGATTTGATGCATTCTTGGTAAAAGTAGCCAAAATACCGCCATATATATTGAATTCCCGGAGGTACATCAACAAAAAAGACTAACAATTTTTACTTATATAAGCTAGAAGCAATAGTAATTTATTCTAAAACATTTAAAACATACTTTTCCACAAAAATATTTATCTAATGAAAATTCATGTTGGCAATGTAAACAATAATTCACGGATATCGCCGAAGTTAAACGATAGCGGGAAAATCGGAGACTAGCGGGTAAGCCTGATTATCACCAAAGCGCGCAAAAGATTGTGGGTCTGAATCGGACTGTCGTCTATTTTCGGAGCTTCCTATCCATTGTTTATATATCTGTGATCGGAAACGTATTTGGATTTAGCAAATGCAGGTCATAAAAATCAGCGCAAATTTCGTTAAATGTAACAAGGCATTGTGAACAGAAAATAGACTGATGAGTTCGATTTAATGTTTTCAAAGTGAAAATAAATTTTTCTGTATATGGTGTGCTTTGTAACTATGTCATTTTCATATTAAAGCAGTTTAACTAGAAAATAATTAATTGTAATTAATTTATTACAATGTGAAAATTCTTGTAATTATAATGTAATTTGGGATGTTTCCATTTTAATTATAATTAATTAATTACTTTTAAAAATAATGGTACCCATCCCTGCCGCGGACAATTGTGATATGTAGAAAGACTTTAGATGATATTTCCTGAACGATAGATATATGAACTATGTGAAAAACATTGGTTTTGATGATACATTGTGTGGAATCAAAATTGTTAACAGCAAATATTATGGACATGCATGGCAGCCCTTGTCTATCTTTAGTCTTATTATAGTATACATGTATAGCCTATATAAAACATTAAAAATAGTTGGTTTCAAGTACCTGTGAGCAGGGGTGTAATAAAGTCATCTAATAAAAACGATAATCTAAAATTAGGCAAAGCCTATGAACGGGGAAGCCGGTTAAAATGATAATTAATTTTTATTTTACATTTTCTGCTTTAAAAGTGCCATTCTGTATTTTATGCACTGCTTCCGTTAATTCTGGTTTCCTGTTCTATTAAATGTATGGTTCCCATCCAAGATGGCTGCCCATCTGTTTTCAATCAGAATTCCTCGGCTTTTATCATTACCTTGCAAGTCGGAAAGTTGCGATTAGTCGATTATCGAAATACTGTGTTATGGCACCCAACAAGAAATAACACTGAAAATTGTGCCGATGGGTATAAAATTCTACATATTTTTTCCTTTTTTTTCTTTTTAAATAAACACACATGTAGTCTATAGCCAGGCAGGCCAAAGCCCGGCTTTGACTTCCCCGTATTACACTAGTGCAATAAAGAAATAATATGGTCGGATCTCAGCGCTGTCTTTATCAGTAAAATTTTAGTGTCATATCTAGTTGGGTGCTGCCATTTTGAATGTAACTCAATGATGATAGGAGGGGTATTCTGATAACAATTATTACAACTTTTCGGATGAATAATAATCTTCCAGGTGTTCTGAGTGAAAACGGTCCATGAAATAAGGATGAAACCTTTAAAATGGAAATTGCATGTAAAATAAAAAATGAACGATTATTTTAACCGACTTTCCTGTACATAGGCTTTGCCTAATTTCTTATTACTTTGGTGTCAAAAGATGTGTTGAAGTATATACTGTGATGTAGCTTAGATCCAAAAGTTTTCCTTGATGTTATAAATTTTAAAATCGGACATTAAATCACAACAAACTAGTGGTTTAAAACGGCTTAATTTGTATTGTTTTAGCATAAGAGATATCGATTTTACTTGAAGATAAGGGAAACAACTTCTACTTTTTCTCTGGATTTACCTTGGTTATTTACTTAGTTCATATCGAAGGTGTATTGACCACTCACGCTTATGGCATGATTAATTTTTTTTGCAAGGATGTTCTGAAAGGATTTAAGACCTTTAATTGTAACCTATAGGAAAATTAATTATAAAATCAGACATTTTTATAAATGTGAAATCACATCAAGACTTTGTTATAATAACTTAAAAAAAAAAAAACAGAAAAAAGTGAGGGGCATTTTCTGCCCTGATAAAAATACTTGAGATAATTGTGTTGTGTGGGCTGTTAAAGAAAAGGGGAGGGAATTGTCTGCCGTGTAGAAATAACAGAATGGGTACTGGGTACTGTCTGGGAATTGGTCTTATTTCAAGATCTGATTTTGTCAGTTAGTAACAAATGTTACTTATTACAATGTAACTTACTAACTGCCATGATAACAAATTTACAATTGCATAAAATTAATTTAATTAAAGTACCAAGGTATAAGAATCCAAATGATGTTTTTTTTTTTCAATTTTGTAATTAGATCATACATTATGGTGATACGCTAAAGTTTGTGTTGCTTCTCTGATTGCATTCTTTTGTTTTGCAGAAAAGACAGAGATCACAGGCTGTACTAATCTTGTAGAGTTTAATGGCCTAGAGCACACTTATAACAAATTCTGTAATAAAAAGGGGAAAGAAGAACTGAGTGCCTTCCTGCCACACTTGCCTGGGTATATAGATGCTCCCGGTATACAAGATAACAGGTAACATTTTATTCTACACTCCCTTTGAAGTTCTTAGGTCTGTAACCTTCTGAATAATATTATAAGAGGGTAATGTTTACTTCTTTCGATTCTAAGTATGTAATTTCTAGAACTTGCTAAATTTTATAGGCCCATTATCCCTAAAAAAAATGCTATCATATTTATTTCTCAAAAACTTTTTATTTTTGGTATCTTGTTAAAGTTCAAAAAATACTCACTTGTCACATAGATGAACTGCTTTTGCTTTATTCGCACTGTAAGCAAGTGGTATAATTATAGTGAATTAGTATTTTGTACGGAAGTCTAATAGTAATACTATGTTGTTTACATTTTGTTACCTTTATGACACATAACTTCACATTCAGCGCTACTTTTTTCAGTTATAAAACATGTTACATGCTCTAAAATAAAATTCATTATAAACACATGTTTAACATTTTTATATATATAATATTACTGGATTTTTAAGGGATAATGTGCCTTTAAACTTTATAATACATGTATAATGTATGTATTAAGCAATGTTAACTATCCAATTAGAAAAAAATCCGACCTGCGTATGTTAATGAATGAAAAAAATACTATAAATTTGAATTGCTTATTTTGGCAGGAAGTTTATTTCTGCAATAACAAGGAAAAAAAACATACAAAAACACACACACACCAAGTTCACACTTTTAAAACCAACTTAATTATTCATGCATATCAAAAAAGGAAGATGCATTTGGGAGTGGGTGAAAGTGTTGGCAGGTTATATTTCTGCCACACTTTTTCATAGCCCCTTCATTAAAATGTGCAGATCAAAGATGCAGCATTAAAAAGCTTTTCGACTGTAATGTCCATGAAGTAAAGGTATTATTGACATCAGTAATGTAACTTTTGTTATTACTTTTCTTTTCAGCTCACTTCATTCTTTGATTGAGAAACCCCCAATTGTTGGAAAGGAAATTTTACCGCTTACAAATTCCGCATTGACCAGTTTTAGACTTCATCCTGGGCCAGTAAGTTGATAAATCTACAGTTCTAATATGGTTCAAGTTATTTCCTAAGTCAGTAATAACCAAGCTCTTCTTAAGTATGTAAATAAACAAAACATGTAAGGCCTTAACTTTGTGACCTTGTGGTTAAGCTGTCAAGTACAAAAATAAACAATACACAAGGATGTGGTGGCTTAGTGGTTAAGATGGTTGCCTCTTAACCCAGGGATTGTGGGATCGAGCTTTACTTTGGTCACAACCATGTTTCCTCATTTAACACTAGTACTGATTAATATCAGGAAGCAGACTTTAAAATTGTTCAAATATGCTGCAAGCTTTCATTATAAGCAGCCTCAATAAATAAATGATAAATTTTCATTTTTCAGATATTACAAAATGTTCTTTGGGTTTAAGTTACTTTTAATTTTATTACAAAAAATGCTTTCAATAAGGTTAATCAGATATAAAACTTAACATGCTTTACAAAAATTTTGTTTCAGTTACCGGAGCAGTACAGATTTATGAGTCAAATGCCGACAAAAAAGAAACATAAACATAAAAGAAAACGTGAATCTGGAACCAATGGAGCCTTACAAGAAACAACAGGTAAAAACTTGTAAATACCTGTAGCACTAATGTCACTATTGTCATTTTGGATTGGTTTGGGATTGAGGGGGTGGGGTTAGCTTTTTTTTAAGCTTGATAAGTCAAAGAAAATATAGATCAGTTGTACTCACCCAGGGGTCGGTGTCACACTTTTGTAAAGTTTTTGCGTGCAAGTTGGTATCATCAAAACTACTGAAGGGAATGGCTTGAAACTTCATTCCCCTATTTAAGAGCCTAATAGTTCACTATCCAATGCTTTGCTTGCATTTTAATTGTAAGTTACATGAGTTTTCTGGTTATCTGGAAAAGAAATATTACAACAGTGACAAGTAACATTGTCAATTTTGGAGTAACAGACTTTTGAATGTTAATGAATTTGAGCAAAGAAGCAGATTTTTAGACTTCAGACAACTTAACTTTGTACCTTTGAGTTATGATAGGTTTTGGTAGGAATGAATAATTTCTAAATGAACAAACAATATATAGATTGTAACAAGTTTTGTTTGTTTTTCATACAGAAAATGCATCAGATGCTCACGATAAACCAGCAAAACATAAAAAGACAGGTAAAACTGAAGAAAGTAGTGCTAAAGAACCATCAGGAAAGAAAGAAAGTGGTAGAAAGAGAAAGAAAAACAAGAAGAAGAAAGGCAAGGACAAAGATGAAGGTAACCTTACCATGCTAAAATATCTTAAATGGACTTGTCCATCTTTCAATCTGGATGAAACCATTCATCATATTTTGGTAAAATTTTAAAATGAGTCCTGAGCACAGACCATGATGAGATAGTATTGATGTGCTAGCTAATCTTGGTCTGCTATGTGCACATGGGTAGAAAAAATTGCTATTAGCAGATGTATAGTTCAGTAACCAAATAATCTCATTGGTATGAGCAGTATACATACAGATATTGTATTCACAATTAAAGTCATTGGCTTGGTAAGGGGCATGATATATTTTGATGCTTTGGTTGAATGCAGTATAATTACTACTTTAATGTCATTTTTCTGCTTTCATTATCTGCTATTCCACCCCTTAACACTAAACTCTCATCAGATACAAAGCTTAAACATTTCATTAAATTGGTTTATTGTATATACATGTACAAATAAATTTGATGCTGATATTTCACTCTTAACAGTTTTAAATGGGATTTAATTGTTTCACATCAAGTCTTTGATGAAATAATCATTGTTTATTTAGTTGTAATCCTTGTAAATACTTTTTGATTTGCTGTTAAGCCAAGCTGGCACTGTAATGGTCATAATATCATTAGGTCATATGGTCTTTTCAACTTTTCTGGTTGAGGAAGACTTGAGGTATCTATCAGTCATTATTTCAGACATAATGTCATCGATGTAGAATTATAAAACTTATGTAAGTTACCTGGATAGCTTTGACACATTAAATGATCTCAGTCCCTGGTGGGGTTTGAACCATTCAGTCCCTGGTGGGATTTGGACCAAAAATAATCAGGGTGAAGGCTGTGAAGTGATTGAAATCCAGGGACCTTAACCACCCTGCCCCTTCTGTTTTTACTACATGTATAATAAAAAAAAATGTTTAATGGTAAGTAATGAATATATTGTTTCTTTCCTATTTTTTATCTAGATCCGATGTCATGAAGTTGTTGAGACTGAGATTATAAGAATGTAAAGATCTCTATGGAGGAAGTATGCCATTGCTGTGAAGACATGTCTATCTTGTTTATATCTGATTTATACAGACAAGACAACTTCAGCCAGGCAATTAACTAATGTCATTCGTGCTAATACCTTACATGAGCAGACACGAAAATATGGTTTTGCAAAGTCTATGGGACTACAGCTTGTTTTTTTCAAGGATGGACATATTATGTTATCTTTGGGATTGCTAAGGGGCCAAGGGCAAAATGTACAAGATATATAGTGTATTAGAAGTAATTAAATTATTATATTATGAATTTTGTCATTCCAAAAGCTCCGTAAAAAATTTTTTCATGAAGAATAAACTTATTGTACTTTGTAACACCTTCATTTACAGACTGACGTCATAAATATTTGGTCTGTTGGTGCCTTTTATGGGGTGATACCCTTTGATGGGGTTTGAGGTTCAAGGTTCCCGCTGTCAGTTGTCAATGGCAACAACATATTAGACATGTCTCTTTATACAATTACTGGCTCCTGGCATCAACTGCGGAGCAAACTTTCTTCTTTTGGCGTGTTTACTGGCACAAATTTAGATCCATCTAGAAGGAACCTGGAGATTTATTTTTTGAAGGTCACCTTGTTATATATATAAATGTACCATTAAACCCTTACAGGGCCTTTCAAGCTATTTTGGGCTTAAATTAGGGGAAACTTTGGCATTGGAAATTTTAGAAATATTAAAAAGTTGAAAAACTACATTGTTAATACGATTACTTAAGTTTTAAAAATGTCATAATCTATTTCTCCTTTTAAGAAACTAGTCAGAGCAGGCAAGTTTCTCTCAGAAATTTTAACACTTAAATCATTTTGGCAGCTTTTTGGAGACAAGATTTTGATTTTGTTGATTTTTTTTAGAAATTTTGGGACTAATAATTATTGTTGTTGTAAATGGGTTAATGCTCAACAGAGATTTGCTGCAGGGATTGGACTGAATTTGTTTTCTTTTAAAATGGGGAGGAAAAGATTATTTAGATTTGGCAAAGGGGTTTGTATCATCCCGTGGAAATAGGACAAATTTATTTTTAGATTATTTGTCTCCCGGAAATGTCACCTTTGACCAGGATCAAACTAGCAACCCCGGGATTATAAACTCGATGCGCTCCCTATTGAGCTAAGAGTTTGGATAATGGAATGACTGTATAGGCCTTTTATATATGATGTAACATGAATTAGAGCATGTAACATTTGTACAATAACTCAATATACATGTATATTATTAGTTCTAAAGATTTTTGGCATGTTATATGGCCTTATATAAATGAACTTTTGGAAATATAACCCAAGCCACTAACAACCATTTATATACTGTCATATAACCTATCTGAAATGTTTATAATAAATTTATAATTCAGCAAGCATCATTTTTTAGAAATAAAAACTTAAAAGTAAGGTTTCTTCATAAATCAACAGCAGCCCTGTATATAAAACTTTAAAAACGTCATGATTATCCAATAAAAAGCGACCTTACAAATGTGCAGTATAATTAATTCTAATGTACTGTGACATGTAAGAGCAACCCTAATAGATAAAAACAAGTTTTTGTTTTCGTAATATTTTATTTGTAACTGTCGTAAAACATGCTAAAATTTATAAAAATTCTACATTTCATTACATATGCATAATAACAAAAGGTCTAAGACCATGTAGAATCACATTTATGACTGTAGGATAACAGTAAGACCATCAATTTTTTTTTCAATGAAAACACTAAATATATTAAAGCAGCACACCTCCAGATATGCACTAAATTTTAGAAAAATTTAAAGTGGCATGCCTACAGTTTCATGCTAATTTTTATGAAAATTAAGGAATTGTGTGAAATATTCAAACATAATGTCAAACGAACAAACAAAGTCATCAAAGTTAGCTTAAGGCACTTACAATTCACATAAATAAACCTAAAATTATGGCAAAATATGCAGGAAAATAGCCTGAAATCTTGAAATAAATGGGTATAAATGTGGTATGTAAGAAGTGAATCAGCTAAAAATTGAATGCAATATGTTTAATGCAAATTTCTACTTTTTTAAACAATGTTTGAAATTTGATTTTTTTTTTCAAATCAGTTTTGCTGACACATCTGGAGTTTATCCGCATATCAGGAGGCGTGCAGCTTTAATGTATATGTATGTTTTAAAGCAAATGGTAATGATTGAAACTGAATTTAAAAATAATCAAAGTATAATGATGTATATTGCCTGTTTATCTTTACATGAAATAGTTCATTGAAACCATTACTGCATCTTTTGTATATTTGCCATTTAATTCAACAATTATTTATACATTTTATTTTAAATATCTTTTTTTTATTTTTTATTTTTGTGAAATGTATTTGAATAAAACAATAAATAAAAATAATTAAAATTCAAAAGCAACATAATTCTTGAATTTTCATTGAATTGGACAATTTAAGCACCATTTTTCTAAAAAATTGGAATTAACACAGCTCACAGTGTATATACATGTATTAGTAACCAATCGTGGCACACCAGTTCCTATCAGGTATTTATGGGCAAAGAATCAGAAGTATTGGTTAAAAAATTATAAATGTACTCAAAAATCTTTAATACATTAAATTATTCACAAATTCTGCTGTACTGGCAAAGACCACTTGACCTTTAGATAACCTCTTTGTACTGGTTAGTGTGAGACTGTAGAAGTTGGCCTAGAGCTTTACTCATGTGTGGTTCCAGTTTCATTAAAATCAACATCTTAATTATAAATTAAGTGTTTAAATTATTTGGTCTAATGAGATCCTTTTTTTCAAATTCTTTGGTACATTTATTTCATTTAATTGGTACTAAATTGTCATTAATATTATTACCCCTCACTATTTTTGTGATGTTAATTTCCCATAGTCCAATAGGAGTTGTTCTTACTGTTAATTCAAGTGTACCATGTGACTAAAAATTTTCACAGTAAAAATCTGAAATATAAAAACCAATAGAAACAGTGTCCCAATGAAGTATTAATTTTGTTCTGGGTAATAAAATAAAGTACACATAGTTTTGTGAGTAAGAGCAAAAACAATATCCCTCGTAAAAATACTGTAGTTACAGTATTTTCCTCGGGATAATATTTTTACTGTTACACACAAACTATCCTGTTAAATCAGCATATCACACGGTGCAATGATTCAAAACACAATTTCAACCACAAATTAATTTAGTGTTTGGTCAATGGGCATTAATTCAATTCCAATTAAATCTGTTGAGTGCACAGCTGCTCATGACAGATTTAATTTCATTAGGTTGACTAGCAAACGCTACCCTGTACATACATACAGGTAAACACACAATATGTTCACTGTTAAACAGTTAAATTTAACAATGAAAACCTAAATGGAAGATGCACTAGCAACTGTTATACAGTTGTATCAGATTGGTAAAATGTTAAAACAATGTATAAAGTTCTAGTCATATACTTAACATTATAAACAATACACCCATTCTTAATTATAAACTTAATGCATGTAATAACAATACACCCTTAATCACAACTTAATTATCAAATACACCCATTCTTAATATTGAACATGTATAAACAATACACCCTTAATCATAAACTTTATTAACAATTCACTTATTCTTAATCATATAATACACTATACACATACTTTATACGCAATAAATCTTAAACAAAATAAACAATAATCTTAAACTAAATAAACAACACACTTATTCTAAATCATATACATTGTAAACAATTCACTTATTTTAAATCAATAACCTAATTGTGCTTTTAATCAGAAACCGTTTACTTAAGTTACAACACTAAAAACAAAACAAAAACTTCTTTACACATAAGAAAGTTGGATGAAAGGTTCATGAATAATCCAGGGAATATATTGAACAGTTGTTATCTGGTAAGTGTAAAAGAACTTTACCAAGGTCCAAAACCATAAAATTTGAATTTCTTACACAGATCAACTATGGCACTTAAATAAGAAATAAAAATTGTATTCTTATGCTCTTCTTCAAGCCCGATTTGAGTGAAAAGCATTGCAACGCTGTTCAATTTTGAGCCATTTGTCAAAAATAGTATAAATATTCTGAAAAATGGAATGAGCAAATGATCTAAAATTTTGCATTCAAGTTATTTGTCTATGTCACACCTACATAAAATAGAACATAAATCTCGAACAGTTTGGTCATGTTAAAAAAAAAATGAAATGTCAGAATTTCAACACTCGAGAACAATTCCTTCAATTAAGAAGAAAAATAATCACGCAGCAAATATCACATCCCAAAAAAAGTAAATTGGGAACTGTGGTCTAGTGGTTAAGGTGTCTCCCTCTCAACAAAGAGATTACAAGTTCAAGGCCAACTGGGGTCATGGCCATGCCTTCTCGTATGACACCAGTACTGGTTAGTTTCAGACAACTCTTCCAACGAAGTTCAAACGAACTACAAGAAATCTCCACAATCAAGCTTTTATACATGTATGTTTAAACAAAAATGGGTACGAAATGTATTCATTGATGAAAATGTTTGTAATAAAGAAACTAAATACAAACAAAATAAAACTCATCATCTAGAAAAAAGCAAACATTTTGATTATTGGCAAAAAATTACACAAAGTTATAAAACATAAATAAGAAGTGATTGACACTTTGTAAAAAAATCATTATGGCAACATTAAATATTCTTGACAGGTTGTATGGCCAGGTTGAAAAACAAAGTTGGAAGCTTATATAACCCTATCTGCTTGGCAAGGATTATATGGCCAACAACAATTATATGCAAAAGTCTTAATAACAAATTTACAAAATACTGCATGCACAACTCATTTTTATGAATTAAATAAATCAAAGATTATTAAATAAATTTGCAGCAGATGTAAACATAAAAATAAAGATAATAAAAGTGACAATTGTCCATTGAAAAAGTTCAATATAAAAACATAGGGTTCAATCAAACAATACCTTAACTTAATCAATTTTAAACCTTAATTATAACACAGGTGAGCTCTTTATGTATGAACATTGTACATGTATATGAAAACAAAAATTATCACAGACTTTAGCACTATATCAAAGCAGCACAGGTAAATTATTTAAAAGAAAATAAACTCGAGAAAATTTTAGGGAAGACTTTAAGTAGAAAGAGTTGATTATGTTTTTCTTTAAAGCTGCATGCCTCCAGACAAACCAAATATTATATGGAAAATGGTTAAATCCATCACATAAAATTAGTCAGGTAAAAGGTGAAAACATTTACATGGAGAATAAAAACCAACCTGCAACATCCCTATACATGTAATTTTTCAAGTGGGAAAATAAACATGTGTAAACATGCCTGAATTTACACTGATGCAATAGGCAATGAAATGATATTTTTTTTACCTATTTAATTAATTAAAAAAACAACCATTCAAGTAAACTGAAACTAGAGGACAAGGATGCACCAACATTCCACTGTCTTGTCAGGTTATGGGTGCACTACCAGACAGCTGGACAATGGCATATGAATACTACGCCCCTCCCTCCTCCACCCAAAATCGTGGTGGTGAAAAAAGCTTTGCTAACCTCTGTAGATACTTTGATACAGTATATCTAGACCAAAGATGAGCATAGGTATATGTCAGTTTTTCATGTTTTAATCTATTAAAAAACTAAAAGAAATACAAGAATTAAGATGGAAAAATTTCTAATAAAATATATCAATCCAACATCAAATTTTTGTTTAAAAATTTTAAGTCACATCAAAGTTGATCAATTATTATTATTATCATTCACAGAACTACTATCACAATGATTTTATAAATTACAAGAGCTGTCTTACAACCTCCATGCTCGGCTATTCTCAATGCCAGTAAAACAATTACTATGTACAAATTTTTTAATGTATACTAAGGGGGACAATATAGTAAAAAATCCATATTACTACAAGAGTTACACTTCTTGACCTACAATTATGACCCTATCTGAAATTTTACATCAATACCTATATAGTAGCTGTGGGCATGGATCTCTCATCAGGATATTTTTTTTATGTTTCACAAAGGGATTAACATGTAGTTCTCTTCTAATGCTGGAATCAAAAGTGATAAGTGTGAGCCTCTTGTATAGAGTCAGGCTAACCTGCACATCCTTGCAGTCCGACTAGGCTCTATACTGATGAATGACCATCTTAAAATTCTGATCTTGAGATCCCTTGAATTGATTACTGGCAGTCCCATAAATGGAAGTTGTACACATCTGACTTCTGAACTTTAGCAGTTCAAAATCTTTACTGGAGTTATTTACCTTGGTCAGAGACTTTAAAGTATGTCCTCAAAGACACATGTGAAGATTCCAAGATAATATCATCTGTGGTTTATAGGGATATTTATATAGATATCTATACATCACAACAGCAGGTGTCAAGTGCTGTGTGGCAGCTGTAAAAAGTTGCCCCATACTTCACTTCAGTGTCGTTATATTTTTTGGTCCTTCAGATCACTGAGTCAAGCACTTTTAAGTGTTAAGAATTGAGTACCACTCAAGCCGGTGCTAGGGGATGTGAGGGATGTTGCACTTTTTTATTATCCCTCATGCGAGTTTGCAATTTTCATGTTATTTTGCTGTTTTTAATGCTTCCCAAGGATCACTTTTTTACCAGATATTTTTACAAGAAATGGAGATGCATTCAAAATCTTAGCCTAGAGTTACATCATAACAAGGCCAGAGAGTGTAGGAAAGCCACTCTATGTTTTAAAATTAATTTTTCTTTCAATATACATGTACTTCTTTAATAATTTGTGACTGCATCTAAGACGGTGGTTCACCTGTAATGGAAAAAGAATAAGAATATTAAGTTCAGACCCTTTCCAGAATTCATTCACATAATGAATGCAAATGTAAAAAGTACACTGTAGAAACCCTATAGTCAGTACATTTTAATATGTGTTTCAAAGTGGCCTTTGAGGTTAGAACACTACAGTACAACAAGAGCTCTGCTTCGGCGGGGCAAAATATGCTCGATGGCAAATTCAAAAGGTCAGACACAAAAGTACGCAGTCAAGACAGACAGCAAATTTATTGTTGTAAATGGCACAAATGATGGCTTTTTCGTCAGAAGAGAAAGAAAATATACACAATCTAATACTTTTAAGACAATATATTTGTTTGCATAATTATAAAAGCACATACATGTAACTTTCTTAAACTTGAAAGTTGACCCATGACCTTTACAATGCCCATGAGACATAAAAGCCAACAAAACAAACAGCTCTTTTTCCGAAGTATATCGTAATTTGAAGGAAAAATATTTCAACAATTTAAACGGCATCAACTAACTCTATTAATTACTATATCATACAAAACAATTCAAGGTTTTGCTTTTATTGCTTAATCTATAAGAATATGGAACTCCAATCACTAATTGGTTAAGGTCAATGATTTTAAATTTCTTTGTTTCACCATTGTGCGTTCAAATTGGCCAGGGACATTGGACACTTTTTATGTAAGAAAGCCATCCAGCCAGGTTACAGGAGGTGGGTGGTTTTAATCGGGTGCCTCTATGTGCTTAAAACAATGCTCAGAGGATCATCTGTCACCTGAATCTTTGCCAGGAAACCCGGGAAGTCACTATATAAACTTATCAATTTGAGGTTTTCTGATTGTGCCAATCAAACATACTGACAGCTTGGTGTGAAAGGGTCTTAACTCCTTCTTTATTTTATATGAGTTACAACCTTTTGGCACCAATCCCTTGTGGTTAATACATGTACATGTATTATGTTTACAAGGTAAATTGAAACTTATATTAACTAACAAAGGGAATCAAATATATGTAATCCTATATCCTACATAACATACCTGGGGGTAAATCGTTTAGCATTCTGTTATATTCGCCTATTTGTATATGATGGTGGTGAACGTGGTTGTTCTGCACAAAGTTGTTTGTAATGTGTTGACAGCCTGGCCCGGCATTCCTACAATCACATCTTCCATTTGATGACTCTGTTGATATATTCAAAAACATTAATGAGCCTCTTCACAACAAAACCAACATAGTGGGTTTGCGACCAGCATGGATCCAGACCAGCCTGCGCATCCGCGCAGTCTGATCAGGATCCATGCTGTTCGCTATCAGTTTCTCTACTTGTGATAGAATTGGTAAGTGAACAGCATGGATCCTGATCAGACTGCGCAGATGCGCAGGCTGGTCTGGATCCATGCTGGTCGCAAACCCACTATGTTGGTTTTGTCATGACACGGCTCATTTCTGTGATCCTAAAAAAGCTTGAACCAACAACCAATCCTTATAAACCGCATCAGAGTTGTCCGGTTGGCTCAATAGGTGGAGAATTGGACTGTGAATCTGTGGGCCCGGTTTTGATTCCCGGACGGTGCAGGTCACTTTTGCTGTGATCATGAAATCCTTTCTATTGTCATTCGCACTATACCTCTGCTCTGGCATGTACAGAAGTTTCGATTCCTTGCGAAAGCGAAGGCAACTAGTACTGATAAACTGCTTGACAGCTTGCCCAGGAACAGTGTGGTGGCTGAACTGTGCTCTGGTAAATTCAATTTGGCTTTCTGTCATGATCCGCAGTGAAAACTGCCAATATCACCACCACCATTAACCACCTCATTTAACAGTTTATTCAGGATATTAAATAATAAATACTTCTTTGAAAAAAAATACCTTTTGTTCATGCTTTCAGATGTCATATCCTGATTTACTCTTATTTTCTCAGAAAATTGTCTAAAAAAGTCTAAGAAAGCAAAATTTTGCTACAATATTTAGAAATATAAAATAAATGAAAAAAATTCAAGTGTATAAAGTTATAACTGACCTATTTGTGAAGGATTTCCTTTTGGTTTACCACCTGGTTTTTTGGCCAATTGAGCAGCATAAATTTTGAGATCATCATCTTAAAATCAGGAAAATGTAATTTAATAATTGCTAAGCAAACAGTGACAATCATAATAACCGGTACCATTGGCCTAGTGTTGAAGGCGTCTGCCTTCGGATCGAAAGGTTGCAGGTTCGAGCCCAACAGGGAGCATTAATTTAAGAATGAATATTTCTCATGGGACTCGTTCCAAAATAGCTGTTTCGTGAGCAGTGAGGTAGTTAAAATGAATGGTTACCGATTTCTATCCACCTGGCGCCTGGCATAGTGGTTGGAGTTGGGAGGTACATGGTATGCATACAAAAGGTGTCTCATAAGTTAGAATTGGCTGGCCCTTTCAGTAGGGGTGACACTATGATAAACAGGACCTTTACCATAAAGAATTTGTTTGTTGCTTGGTACATTTATATGCATGCCTGTCTCTAGAAATATATATGTATGAGACTTAAATGGATGTTTCACACCTTTGACCTCCTGGACAAAAAGAGATTAACCTGTGTAAAAAGCTTAAAGCCAGACCAATTTATACGTCTGTACACCTGACCAGCCTCTAAACTGTAAGCTAACCAACTCCAAATTTTCATCTTGATATCTCAAAGTTGATAATTGACACTGGAAAAATCCTAAATATTCTTAATACCAGAGTAGGTCCATTAGCAATGTTTTCTGGGGTATAAATTTACTTAATATCTTATAAAACATACATACTTTGAAGTATAAACTGCAAATAATGAGAGGAAAAAACACTAAACAAGAGGGCCATGATGGCCCTGAGGTCGCTCACCTGTATATAGGCCCCCCACCCCCGGGCCAATTTTTACCCAAGGGCTTTTAATTTTTTTATTTGAACAGACTTGGTAGACACCCATAAGAAGATGTTTCATGCTAAACATCTAAGTTCTAGCTCATTGGCTTTTTTAAAAGAAGATTTTTAAAGTTTTTACTATACACATATAGTTAAAAACAATGTCACCCCTGGGGCAGGGCCAGTTTTGACCCCCGGGCGTTTTATTTTAACACAAACTTTGTAGATATTTACTTAAAGATGTTTCATGCTTAATATCTAAACTCTAGCTATTTGGGTTTTTCCAAAGAAGATTTTTTTAAGTTTTTGCTATACACATATAAGGAAAATCAATGACCCCCCCCCCCCCCAGGCTGGGCCAGTTTTGACCCCAGGGCTTTTATTTGAACATACTTGGTAGACACCCATTAGAACATGTTTCATGCTAAATATCTTAGCTCTAGCTTTTTGAGTTCTGTAAAAGAAGATTTTTTAAGTTTTTACTAAATGCATATAGGGAAAATCAATGACCCCCTGGGGCGGGGCCAATTTTGACCCCAGAGCTTTTATTTGAACAAACTTGGTAGACACTCATTAGAACATGTTTCATGCTATATATCTTAGCTCTAGCTCTTTGGGTTCTTTAAAAGAAGATTTTTTAAGTTTTTACTATATGCATATAGGGAAAATCTATGACCCCCTGGGGCAGGGTCAATTTTGACCCCAGGGCTTTCATTTGAACAAACTTGGTAGACATTCACTAGAAGATGTTTCATGCCAAATATCTAAGCTCTAGCTCTTATGGTTCTTTTAAAGATTTTTTTAAGTTTTTACCACAGCATATAGGGAAAATCAATGACCCCCGGGGCGGGCCAATTTTGACCCCAGGGCTTTAATTTGAACAAACTTGGTAGACACTCACAAGAAGATGTTTCATGCTTAATATTTTAGCTCTAGCTCTTTGGGTTCTTTAAGAGAAATTTTTTTAAGTTTTTACTATATGCATATAGGGAAAATCTATGACCCCCTGGGGCGGGGTCAATTTTGACCCCAGGGCTTTAATTTGAACAAACTTGGTAGACACTCACTAGAAGATGTTTCATGCTTAATATCTTAGCTCTAGCTCTTTGGGTTCTTTAAGAGAAATTTTTTTAAGTTTTTACTATATGCATATAGGGAAAATCAATGACCCCCGGGGCGGGGCCAATTTTGACCCCAGGGCTTTAATTTGAACAAACTTGGTAGACACTCACTAAAAGATGTTTCATGCTTAATATCTTAGCTCTAGCTCTTTGGGTTCTTTAAAAGAAGATTTTTTAAGTTTTTACTATATGCATATAGGGAAAATCAATGACCCCCAGGGGCGGGGCCAATTTTGACCCCAGGGCTTTTATTTGAACAAACTTGGTAGACACTCACTAGAAGATGTTTCATGCCAAATATCTAAGCTCTAGCTCTTATGGTTTTTTAAAAGAAGATATTTAAAGTTTTTTCTTTTGGTTGCATTGGCTGCCATTTGTCTGCCATTTATCTTTTTACAATTTTAGTAATGTGTTTTAAATCCTAGCTGTAAACAGGAGTATCATTAACTCAAGATTTGACTGTGATATACATTTTTATGATTTATTAGTATTTTTAAACATGATTATATTGAGGTTTGCCTCTCTATGTCATGCCGCCAATAAAAAGGACCACAATGGAAATAAGAGCTTGTTTGCCCTTTTTTGTGTTATCCTTGGTTTTGGTGAGCATGTCATAGTTTTACTCGTATGTGATATAGTATTTAATAATGCTTATTATTTTATCCTATGTTATATTGTCAACTATGTATATGCTTCCTTTGCCGAAATAAATCTAAATCTATCTATCTATGGCAACCAGAGTTCTGCATGGAATTAAATTCTTTGAACAATTTTTAAAGGTGACCACCAAAGGAACATTCCTGTGAAGTTTGGATGAAATTGGCTCAGTGGTTTATGAGGAGATGTCATTTAAATCAAGTTTACGGACGGACAGACGCCGGACGGACGCCGGACGAAAAGCGATCACAAAAGCTCACCCTGTCACTTTGTGACAGGTGAGCTAAAAACTAACCGGTAATTGTAACACCCTGAACATATGTCCATTCCGCTCTACCATTATCTTCTAAAATTTTGTTTTCTTTAAGAAAATACAAGTATCTATTCACATCACCTCTGGATTTTCCTAACCCTGTACCCTGTGCTATATCCTTAGCCTTTGTAGCATTAGAACGAGTTTTCAGAAATTCTATAATTCTACTAAATAAATCTGAAAAAACAAATTTACAAAAGCTAAAGCTATCAGTAAAGGTGATTCATACCCCCAGCCACCACCATTACTACATGAAGGTAGTCTGAAGTCAAATTTTACCTCAACCAGTATATCATTACGATAAAGTAACATTCATGTTTAAAAAGTCATCACAATCAATAGCCTCATTTCAATTCTTAATCTAGTTATCAGTAAGAAATCATTCTTCTGGGGGGCTCAAAAATAACCCTAAGCAAGGTCTCCACATAAGCTTGCTATATTATACAATGTTTGTTAACTTTATCACATTCCTTACTCTATTTGTCATCCAGAAATTAATTACAAAGACCATGACCCTAGGGGCCAAAAAACAATCCTAAGCAAGGTCTCTACATAAGCTTGCTTAATATACTAAGTTTAATTGCAATGACTCATTCCTAACTCTAGTTATTGTCCAGAAACCTTTCTTTAAATAACAGTTACAACTTCCTTGACCCTTGGGGGCCCAAAAGCAATCCAAGACAGAACTTTCTGCATACCAATTTTAGTATGAATTCCTTATTCCTAACTCTAGTTATCACCCAGAAACCATAAAGCTGATTTTATGGCCAGTTTTATGTTTCATTATTTCAGGTCTCTTTGATTCTGGAAATGGATGTGGAAGATACAGATTTGTTAAAGGTACACACATACAATGTTGTAAGTTCCCACATTAACGCACTTAGACTTAACCCTTAACATGCTGAATATTTTAAATGGACTTGTCCCACTTCCATTTTTGGGACTGTCCATTATCAATTTGAATATCTATAGTTTGTCAGCCAACAGTATAGACTCTGGTCAGACTGCACGGACGTGCAGGCTGGCCTTGCTCTTTACTGGTGGCAAAGGCTTAATGCTTTTGGTTCCAGCATTTTAAGGGTTAATAGCCAGTTTAATGTTTTGTTATTACAGGTCCCTGTGACTTTAACCTTTGACCTTCTGTCTGTAAATGGGTGTAGCTGGTAGAACTCATTAGGAGGCATCTACTTACAAAGTTTGAAGTTCAAAAGTAAATGTACTTATCTTAAATGGCCAATTTTATGTTTTGTTATTATTAGGGATGACAATGAGAACCGAATTCAGTACTCAAATACACAATGTACTTGATCTTTCCTCTGATTGAGTAGCCAGTAACAAGGAAGATTTCATAGGCCTTTTAAACCATAAGCTATCTTTGTTCCCTTTAATTAAATCCTTAATGAGGACAAAGAAAGTAATTCATAACAATGATCCAGTCCATAATAAACTCTGACCTTTTGACCTGAATGTAAGTGTAGCAGTAAGACCTCATTAAGATGCATCAACATAATAATGTTTAAATGCAATAGCTTTATTAGTACTGAAGTCAAAGGCACATTACATGTATGCTTCAGAAACAAATAAAATTTTTACAGGACAAACATGAATTTTATTATGTTTAAATATTGGTATTAGAGAATGTTAGATACTTGTTACCTGGAGAAAGTAGCGATAAATGTGAAATACTTTGTCATAAATGTAGCAAATTGTAAACAGAATAGTATTTTGACAGCTATTCACTATTACTGTACTTATTACCAAAAGGAACAGATGATAAAGATGGTGCAGGTATCAAAAATTGGTCAATGAGTGACTTTTTGGATACCGGTACTTGAAAGTACACCAAAATTAAAAAGCTTCAGAGAAATAAAAACAAAAGCATTTCTGTGGCATAAAGGTCCTTTAATTAATGACCAGAAACAAAAAAACGTCACCAAAATGGTCAACTATTGCAGATGGGAATAAGTAGGCCATGACAATAGTACATCTTTTTTTTCTGCAAATGGAACTAAAAACCTAACATTTCTCTTAAGCACAATTTTTATTAACCTTTTACCCCATGAGCATATTGTGAAAAATGGCCGTTTTAATTGAAAAGCCTCCTGTTACAAGTTCAAACTGCTGTGCAACTATGAAAAATGCTATAATACTGATGACAATTGGCACTAATTTTGACTGGACCATAACCTCTGTAACAGCATGCTCATTCGTAAATTTCTTGTTACCATAGTACCGGGGGACATCTCAAAATTGCGAAAAATTACTATTTTGCATTGTTTTTTCCATCAAAACTGATTTCAAAGTGCTACAACTTCTCAATGAATTGAGATAGAGTAAAAGGCTTTTCAGCATCAGTTACTAGTTATCCTGATATTGACCTGAGGCCATTTTTTGCCTTTCACATGTCCAAAATTTTCTTGGCGATGAGGGGGACAACCATCCCCCTTCAAACCTCCAAAACAGAAGGGGGCACATCCCCCTCCCCTGATGTACCTTTTTTTGATGGCGTTGGTGGGGGGGGGGGGGGGGGCAGCGTCAACAATAGGAAATTTTTTCACTGTTTGAGGTCTCCAAAGGGGGGGGGGGGGGGGGGGGGCAAAAAAGCTGTCAAAACACGTTTATATGAGGTAAAAGAAGCTTATGAAATTTTCAACTTGATTGCAGTAAGAAAATGATGTAGAAAATTACTATATTATTTTCCTTACATGTAGTATATTCATAATGTTATTCCAATAGTGTAAATATATGGCCAATAACATTTATCAACTGCCCCATTTCATATGAATTTTATTTAACATAAACACTATTTTTTATTTAATGAACTCATGCTTTTTAATCGCATCTTTGATTTATTTATTTCAGCATTGTTTTTATTTTATGGCTGATATTTTAGTACTTATTGTCAAGCATTTATGTACAATGAATGCCATTGAATAATGTTATAGACATAGGAGTTAAATTAAATAAAAAATTTCAAGTGCTATTAAAAATCTTACTAGCGTAATCTTCAACATTTCTATTATCACATGTGGCGACAGTAGATACACTAGACCTTTGGACTGTAGATTGCTGTACGGGCACTGAAATACAGAAACATATCCGTAGGTAACAGTCAGAAACATACCTGTAGATACCAGTCTAAAACATACTTATAGGTACCAGCCTGAAACATACTTCTACATACCAGTTTGAAACATACCCGTAGGTACCAGTCTGAAAGATACCCGTAGGTACCAGTCTGAAACAAATTTATAGGTACCAGTCTGAAACATACCTGTAGGTACCAGTCTGAAACACACTCGTAGGTACCAGTCTGAAACATACCCGTAGCCTACCAGTCTGAAACATACCTGTAGGTACCAGTCTGAAAACATACCTGTAGGTACCAGTCTGAAACATACCTGTGTATGGTACCAGTCTGAAACATACCTGTATGGTACCAGTCTGAAACATACCCGTAGGTACCAGTCTGAAACATACCTGTAGGTACCAGTCTGTGACATACCTATAGGTACCAGTCTGAAACATACCTGTAGGTACCAGACTGAAACATACCTGTAGGTACCAGTCTGAAACATACCTGTAGGTACAAGTATGAAACATACCTGTAGATACCAGTCTGAAACATACCTGTAGGTACCAGTCTGAAACAAACTCGTAGGTACCAGTCCAAAACATTCTAATAGGTACCAGTCTGAAACATACCTGTAGGTACCAGTCTGAAACATACCTGTAGGTACCAGTCTGAAACATACTAATAGGTACCAGTCTGAAACATACTCGCAGGTACCAGTCTGAAACATACTCGTAGGTACCAGTCCAAAACATACTCATAGGTACCAGTCGAAAACATACTCGTAGGTACCAGTCTGAAACATATTCATAGGTACCAGTCAGAAACAAACCTGTTGGTACCAGTCGAAAATATACTCATAGGTACCAGTAGGAAACATACCTGTAGGTGTCAGTCTGAAACATGCTCGTAGGTACCAGTCTTTTTTAAAACTAATAGATTCTTACTGATTCAATCATTTGTTACAATTTCAAGTGAATTTGAGGACAGAATTTTCAAAGACACAAAATGAAGGTTTTAAGACCTAAAACACTCCTACTTATGCTAAACTGAAAGGGTGTCATCTGAATGGTCTCATATTTTATATATTCAAGTTGATTGGTAGATCAAGTACTACATATATTCCATTCCTATTCTAAATGGGGTTTTATGCTGATGTGAACATGCGACACTCACTCTTTAATAATTCATTGAGAATGAATCTGTGATGTTTGGTCAAATTTCATTTATTTCACTAAGAATCAGTACTTTGAAGTCTAATAAAAATTCCAATAAAAATCATTTCTTTGAAGTCTGGTCAAAGTCCACTAAGGATCATTTCTGTGAAGTTTGGCCAATAAAGCTATATTTGATATTTGGCTGTTAGTCATCAGCAGAATACTAGAAAAATAAAATTCTAAATTCTGCAAAGTAATTGTTTCTAATATGACAAAAATCGTACCAAAGTACCTAAACTAAATGAGCAATGTTAGTAAATTTCTAAGAAAGCAAGTGGCTCACACACATGAAAACCTTCACCTAACCCAACTAATATATCAATGTAATAATTTCATTTATGATTTTTTTCATTCTTTTTACATGACAGTCTCAAGGGTTGACCCCGCAAAACTGCAGTAACTTATATGAAATAAAGAAAGACTGACAACAGTTTTGCGATCAACCCTCATTTATTATTGTATTTACATTAATCATTTGCATAAAACAATGAGACTCTCTTTGTTAAAATAATTTTTGGAAAAATGACCAAGCAGGTAAGCTTATACTGTGACAGAGTCTTTAAGCTAAATTCGCCACTTGTAGCTCTATCGCCATGAACTTAATGAAGAAGAAAAGAAGAATACTGGCGATATATAAACCTACCCATGGCACCTGTTTGAACATTGACTGGCATCGCTCTTGCACCTCCTAAAAATAATAGATATATTTATATCATATTCAAATTTAACATAAATAAAATTTAAGTACATTGTATGTATATAGAGTTTATTGAGTAAAAAATAAAACATAATTAAATTATTTATTCCAGGGGTGAATGTGAAGAAAGCTTGCAGCTTTAATATCTGAACAATTCTTGAGTTCGTTTTCTGGAACTTAATCAGTTCTGGTGCCATAATGATATGGCATATGAGGAAAAATAACTGTGACTCCAGTAGGGTTCAAACCTTTGATCCCTGGCTTAAGTGGCAGATACCTTAACCACTAGGCTTCTGCCCCCTTTAAAAAATCTTTAAAAGTATTACTGTATAAGTAATAACAAGCAAAATTTTCAAAGTATTTCAAGCAATACAAAAGTCATTTTCCAGTTATAACCCCCCAGGGAATATGTCAGCCATGTGCCATTAAAAAAAGTACAGTTACTTATTATTGTCCCTATTACCACAAATGTTAGCTTGGATAAACAGACGTCCTCGCAAGGAAATTTATTGGGTTCTTCTTTTGTTTAAAAGTACCCAAGAACCAATTAAGAACCGTACCTGTCATTTGGTTACTAGAACATGTAGTCCCATAAGTTGGACCATCACAGGTCAAACTGGAAAGATTTTCATCTGAAATGGAAATGGCCCCTAGTGATAAACCTCTTCTTATATATAGAAACCAATAAACTGGTTTGTTGTTTTGATTTACGACCTTTAGATTAAAGTTCGAGAATGGTGAATTCAGTTTTATTTTAATATTTAAAGCAGCACGCCTCCAGATTCATTCTAATTTTCATGAAAATGTTGAAAATGTATCTTAAAGTAAAATATTGTGAAATGAACAAAGAAAGTAATTGACCCATTGTAATCAGCACTTATAATCCATGTAAATTACCAAAAAGAAGTCAAAATATGCAAAAATAGGCCCTACTTCATTATTAACCATTAGAAATATGGTGATAAAATTTATCAGATAAATACTGCAAAAAACAGTCATTAATTGCATATAAGATAGAAAGTATCACTTTAATCTTTAACCTGTTTACTTTTCTTAATTCTTAAAATATTTTGGCTCATCTGGAGGCATGCAGCTTTAAGTTAGACATTAAATCAAGTCAGCAACCTGGAGTCTTTTATTTAGTTTTCTTATTATTTTTTATACAATGTCATGTACTTCAGATAGCCGCATAATATTTTGTTCTGGAGCAATTTATTCTGTTTATGTACAGTTTTCATATGTGTTTACAGAAACATTTCATATTACAACTCTTTCTATAATCGACCTTAAAATTACGGAAACAACTTAATTTTACAGAGTTTTTAAATTTACTAAATAGTATGTGTAAGAAAATTATGTAGGTGAAACAAAGCAAAATGCCCAGTTTAACTAATACAAAGATGTTGCACACCAAATTTGAAGAGTTTAAGAGAAATGAACATTTAATACTGATGCAAGACAAAAGATGCCGAATCATGCCCCCTACCATACTAACAGCTCACCCTGAACCTTGAACCTTCCGTCCTGATGAGCTAAAAATACACAGGGAATTGTACGAAAGAGGTTATGTTTTGATACTTCTTCATATACATTGTATCTCCTTTTTTCAAGTTATACTGATAAATTTGCAATGACTATATCATTTACTAACAAACCTGTATCAGATGTCATTTTCTCCTTCAATATGTACATTTTATTCACTTTTACTACCATTTCATTGTCACACATGGCCTGTAGCAGTCTAGTTACAGTTTCCTGTTTATGTCTCAATCCACGGACTTTATCACATATATCTGACGCATAACATGGCACTGACCGATCTAACAATTCTGTATAAATCACTCCGATAACATCTGCAGTAAGATACAGAAGTATTTTAGATGTCACATACAGATCTAGCTTTCAGAAAAAAACAAATTCTGCAATCAATCTTAACTAAGGAAAGGCCTACATGTTCCCAATTCCTAATATTTTAAATGCTGTCAGAATGACTTGTAATTTAAATAATACATGACATGTAGTTACTTAACATCAACTTCCAGGCCAGGGGTAGGCAGAATTGTTTTTTAAAGCAGCTGCAAGAGTTACTTTCCTTGTGTGACAATTAAGAAAATCATTTAAATCATTAATTTTAAAGTTAAAACCTAATGTAGCAATCCTGTGGGATTTCTTGTGTAATTTCAATCAGATCCACATGCAAATGTGGTGGAGAGAAACACATACTGTTCTTAGAATTCAAACTTACTACAGTAACTTAATAACTTACTGTATATATAAATGTAATAGATCTTACATATTGTGAAATTTCAGAAAATAAATATAGATGCACTGCTCTTTAATATAACATTTATAAGCAAAATTTGGCATACAATAAAACATAGAATACAAGGGGGAACAAAAATACAAAGTAAAATGTAGTTCAATCAAGTCAGAAGAAAAAGAAACCTAGTACATATATACCAAGAAGTTTCTATAAAAGAAGTTTAACAAGTAGTTTATCAGTAAGCTTTTGTAGATTTTCAAGTAAAGGAATAAACTCAACTGATTTATAACCATTGAGTTCTTTTCAGTGTAGTTTTTAAAGAGGTTTGAATTGGGCGGCATACATGTATCACACATTCCCAGTAATGAATAACATAGATTAATTAGCTGGTATTGGTTATTTTTTTTTCTAGGGTTTACATTTAGAAACAAAAGGGAAAGGGAAAAGCACTAAACATAGAAATTTTTTGATTTCTGTAACAAAAAATTATGAAATTGCGATAAAGCAGTTATAATATGAAACTTATCAGTTGCATGAGTATAACACTGGCTGGGTGACATCAATGGATGTTTCTGCCAAGAAAAATGTCAAGGCCAGTGTTATATCCTCATTATTAGCTAACTAGTTTCATATACTATAACTATTACTTATATTCCATTGATAGAACATGAACAGAGAAATGTTGTGTAGCTGAGACATGCAAAGGTCATGTAGAGAAAGACAATTTTACTTCCCAAGAAAATTGTCAACCCTCTACGATTTGAAACTTGTGAATTTTTATTTAACAATTTAGAAAAAAAGAAGATATTTCTTATTTTAAATCTTGTGATTGGGGTCCTATTTTGAGCCCAAAAACTGTTTTAAAAAACATGGATATCACTATTACATTATGAAAAGCAATAGCTAGAAATGCAGAGGTCATGTTGAGCAAGACGTATTTGCTTGGCGTAACAGTGCTTACTACTGATTAATGTTCCAAACTGACAGCTGTAATAATGAAAACAATTTGCTGATTAATTCTTTCTTATGAAGCAATATACTAAATTGACAAGGCATTGTATCAAAAATGCCAAGAAAAGATCATTCTGAAATACATGTAAAGACAGCCAATGACTTACATATGTGTATATAATGAAATATGACTTACACTTGAAAAAACTGAAAATTCAATATTTATTGTAAACCACTAAAGTTTCAATTGTAGTGTCACGGTTCAGAACTGTTCACTATTTAAAGGGAAAAGATGTGTAATTGGCCAAATACTTCAGCAGGTAGAGCAGCAGCAGAACGGTATTCCAAGGGTGCCTGGTTCGAGTCCTGGTGGGAGGCTGCGCATGTTTCTCACTTGTGAATTCTGGGGACCATGACTGAATATAGCTGACAATATTTGTATTTATACCAAAAACTGATATTTTTATGGACAGTCCCAATAAATTGAAGCTAGGCAAGTCCATTTAAGGTTAAGGGTTAATCATTTCATACATTATTGTAGTAATTCTTACCTTCATCTGTTGTGAAAGACATATTTACTCTGTTATGTTCACTTGCAATTATAATTCCTCTATAGGCCTCTAGCAAACATTCTGTAATATCAATAATATTGTCAAATGGTGAATTTTCGTATTATCAAGAAGAAAATTTAATGCTTTAAGTCATATCAGATACCAATGTATATCTAAAATAGGTTCCTCACCTAGAGACAGCTAATGAGATACAAGGGAATCCGGGAACCAGTCCCTAGCTCTTATTGAATAGATCCCTTGGTTCTTTTACATGCCCAGTGTATAGCACTGATACATGCGAGGATAACCTGGGTTTCGTACCAGTATACCTCTAGGTAGATGGGAAGCACTGATAGTGTTTCTGAAAAATCCCAAGGGTGTTACCCTGGATTGAACCCGGAACCTCATGAGTGACAGTCAGTGGTCTAACTAACTGAGCTATCTCTGTTAGCTTGTAAGAACATAATATAAATATGATACATGTGCCATACATCAGAAAGTGAGGAAATATGTGCAGCCAGACAAAGACACAGAACCTGATGATTTTCTGGTCTGCATTTACCAACTGGCTTACTCATTTATACTCCTGTTAGATCTATGTTCCAGGGATCTATTTTGGTTTATTCTTAGTCAAAATATATTGACGTGCCAAAGCTTGATTCTGAGATATTTTCGTTCTGGGGCAGAATCTCGCTTTAACGTAGAGGCGAGATATTGCCCAGACACGAAAATAGCACAATATCTCGTCGCGCAATACAATTAGTTGGACTAGTTTATTCTATACTTTTTTTTTTTTGCGAAATGGGTCCAATCTACGCACCGAACACCTGTGCGCTCAAAAAATCAAAATGTATTACTCATTATCATATGTTTACAATATTAATTATTATCTAGGGCAACAGGTAGATATTTATAATAAAACTTTTATATAAAAGGGTAATATTTTTCATAAATTTCACATTTTTGACAATTCATGTCAATTTCCCGGATTAGACCCCAGAGTATCGTTTCGCATCAATTTGTAGTACATTTCTGTATCAAGCTAGTGGTCAGAACTTCTGAAGATTGGCTTAAAATTGAACTGCATGTAGGCCTATACTATACTGTAGTCATAAAACTTCATTAAAAATAAAATGCATCTAAATTAAGTTTTAGAAATTTCGTGATAATTTTACAGTCAGTCACAAAAAATGTACAATCTAGCATTTCAACAAAACAAAACAAATCTCATCATACTTACAAATCTACTTTGCGGTGGAGTTTACCACAAAATACCAAATGATTCATTGATTTGTGGTTTTCCTACTTTTAGTATTTGTTTAGGTACAGACTAAACTAATGACTATTTTTTGTTTGTTTATTTTTAATTTGAATGAGAGTTGTAAATAGAATTATCTATATAATAGATGTAGGATACACGAGCTACACTTTTTTCTACATAAGTCTCATTTGTTGTCTTTATCAACTAGATCTAATCATCTATTAAATAACAAGATAGAAACCAAGATAACTTTCGAATAGAATTTAGCCTTAACCGGAAAAGAAAGAACAACTATCCTCAATCGAAGAAAAAAGTAAAAACTAAAATGAATATTCTTCCCCATAAGAGGTAAAGGCAAATAAAATTTAGAAGATATGGTTAAATCATATTATAAGACTTTATTTTAGAAAGTAAGGGGACAAATCTGTGTTAGGAATCCTAACACAAATGTTGACAGTGTTTATGATCATTCGTACTCAAAAATATGCGTAATCAATGTTAGAATAGAACTGCATAGACCAGTCCGTTCATTGATGACTTTCTTTCGGCTTAAAATTTATAATTTGAAGTAGTGTTCAGACTTCCCGAAATACGTCGGTCCGACGGACATGTCCGATAAATTTTGATCAGGTCCGACGAGTTTTTATTCCGAATCGGTCCGACTGTCCGGCTTTTATCCAAGCCGCATGTATACAAAATGGCGTCGCTAAAGGTGCCAAACCTCGGAAAAATAAAAAATCTACGTCAGAGGAACAGGCAAAACAGCAGTAAAAGGATAAAAAGAATAGACCTGAGACAAAATTTAATGAAAAGTAGAAGCAAGACAGTGAATCGTTGGTGTATGATAGGGAGGAGATGAAAATGCGCTGTAAGGAATGTGCCGATTTTTACGGCGAAAAAAATAAAAACAAAAAGTGTCTTAGAAATACAAACACAAGTCATTCTTTGATTTTGATCAATTTTATTTGGTCCGACAGATTTCGTTTCGGTCCGACAGATTTTCATGGTTTGTCAGACCGAATGTCTGACAGTTTTTTTCAACTTTCGGGAAGTCTGAGTGTTAATACTGCTGTTAGCGCATGACTACTCACTATTTCAATGTTTTGTTTTTATGCCCCGGAAGGGAGGCATAATATAATTGCACCATCTGTCTGTCCGTCTGTAACTTTGTCATACATAGAGGGATTTTTAAATAACTTGGCACAAATGTCTATTACATCAAGACGATGTGTCACGTCCAAGAATTACGTCCCTACCTCGTCCGTCTGTCTGTGCGTCCCCACTTAATTCGTATCCGGACTGTAACTTTGTCATTCATGGAGGGATTTTGAAATAACATGGCACAAATGTTTACCACATCAAGACGATGTGTTGTGTCCAAGAATTACATCCCTACCACAAAGGACAAGGTCACAATATCATTTTGAAGTTTCATATTATTGCAATTAGAGTTACTTAATTCGTGTCAGGACTGTAACTTTGTCATACATGGACGGATTTTACATCCAAGAATTACATCCCTACCTCATCCGTCTGTCTGTCAGTCTGTGCATCTGGACTGTAACTTTGTCATGCATTGAATGATTTTAAAATAACTAGGCATAAATCTCTACCACATCGAGACGATGTGTCGTGTCTAAGAATTACGTCCCTGCCTCAAAGGTCAAGGTCACACTATCATTTTGAAGTTTCACATTATCGCAGTTAGAGGAAATAGGTACACACATCAAGACAATGTGTCGTGTCAAAGAATTACATCCCTACCTCATCCGTCTGTCTGTCAGTCTGTGCATCCGGACTGTATCTTTGTCATGCATTGAATGATTTTAAAATAACTAGGCATAAATCTCTACCACATCGAGACGATGTGTCGTGTCTAAGAATTACGTCCCTGCCTCAAAGGTCAAGGTCACACTATCATTTTGAAGTTTCACATTATCGCAGTTGGAGGAAATAGGTATACACATTCGTGTCCGGACTGTAACTTTGTCATGCATTGAATGATTTCAAAATTACTAGGCATAAATGTCTACCACATCAAGACGATGTGTCGTGTCCAAGAATTACGTCTCTATCTCAAAGGTCAAGGTCACACTATCATTTTTGAAGTTTCACTTTATCACAATTAGAGTTTATAGGTACACACATTCGTGTCAGGACTGTAACTTTGTCATGCATGGAAGGATTTTAAAATAACTAGGCATAAATGTCTACCACATCAAGACTACCTTAAAGGTCACACTTATAGTTTGAAGGTACTCATTCTCTCGAGAAGAGTTTGAAAATACACATTCATGTCCGGGCTGTAACTATTTTTAGTAACAGTGACCTTGACCTTGATCACAGACATCTGGGTAGCAATCCCAAGCTGCCTTTTGATATAAGCTACCCACACATGCATGCTGACTTTGGCATTGCAAAACCTGGTTAAAAATCATGTTACCACTCCAGTTGCATATGTTTCAGTCCAAATTTCCTGGAAATTTGGAAGGAAGGTTGTATAGATGATTTCTAGCTCAAGTGCAAATATTTGTCATCTGGAGTCAAACGACACACAGCACAACTATGGAAAACCTTTTTAGCTCGACTATTCGATAAGAATAAGTAGAGCTATTGCAGTCACCCGAGCGTCGGCGTCAGTGTCGGCGTAACCACTTATGTTAAAGTTTTTGTAATAGTTCAAATATTTTCAAAGTCCATTGACATATGGCTTTGAAACTTTGCACACTTGTTCACCATCATGACCCCAACCTGTAGACAGGAGGAGGTAACTCTATCAAGCATTTTGACAGAATTAATGCCCCCTTTTTTCGACTTAGAATTTATGTTAAAGTTTTTGTAATACCTTAGATATTTTCCAAGTCCATTGACATATGGCTTTGAAACTTTGCACACTTGTTCACCATCATGACCCCAACTTGTAGACAGGAGGAGGTAACTCTATCAAGCATTTTGACAGAATTATGCCCCTTTTTCGACTTAGAATTTATGTTAAAGATTTTGTAATACCTTAAATATTTTTAAAGTTCATTGACATATGGCTTTGAAACTTTGCACACTTGTTCACCATCATTACCCCAACCTGTAAACAGGAGGAGGTAACTGTATCAAGCATTTTTTTTTACTATCAAGCACTAAGAATAGTCGAGCGTTGCTGTCCTACCGACAGCTCTTGTTTATATTTACACTATTTCAGATGTACATATGAATGTTGTGATATCAGTTTAAGAATAAGACGTTATACATGTATTTGCTTTTCATTCATAATTAATTGTTCCTACATTAAAAGCCTTAATTAGCAGGTGAGCAATATAAGGGCCATCGTGGCCTTTTTGTTTTTTTAGAATACTAAGGCAAAGACTTTAGTCTTAAAAAATAAATATATATATATAGATATATATGATTTCTTTCATTGAAATATGAAGTACAGTCTGTCCTGTCTATAGTGGTCAGCAAAGGGGACAGGGCTTAAATGGCCATTTAAGACAGGCGTCCACAATATCCAGGTTTTCATATATATCATATACATAAAGTATGACCGTGCTTGTATTACCATGATATGTTATTTTTTATGTCAAATGAAGCACTCCATTTAAGGTGTATACTATAGCATAATGTAATACACATATGAAGCAGTTACATCTATATTGAATATTTGAGTTGAATTAAATTACACAGGTAGTAAATGAGTGCATTATTAACATTAATCAGCCTGAGTTTATGCTTGTAAATGGAATGTTATAGCAAACTGACCAACAATTTTCCTTCAACTCTCCTTTAATTCAATAGAATTTGCACAATTTTAAACTCGTTTTTTATATGACATGGTAAAGTTTTATAAGGCCTTAAAGTGACCACTAATACAGTTAAGACTGTACAATTGTGCAAAATATTTGAGTGATGGTAGTCCTAGATAATCGGCACACTGACAAATTATATCGTAAGGTGCAATATATGGTCAGAGATATGTGAATTTTATTGACGATTTTTTTTTATGTGCGAATGTCATGATTTCATAAGCTGAAATCAGGAGAAGGGTCTCAATAATGAGATTTTTTAAAATCTTGTCAGGATATCACATGTATGACCTGGTAATGTTTTCTAAATTTTGACATTCTTCTTAATTTTGAACAAAACCCTTACGCATCAATAAAATTTCCAAAATTCTGAAATAAAACACTTCCATATATTTCAGTTGGCATGTCCGTACCAAGAAGAATATTGAGAGGGTGAGGAGAGATGAGGCCAAAGCTGCTGAGGAAGAAAAAGAAAAACAAAGAAGAATTGCTCTTGCTGTAAGTAGCACGGCTTTTTTCCCCACAGGTTGGGAAAGCAGCCCCAACCCTAATTGGGGGGGGGGGATATATATGCTATGTTTGCAAAACGGAAAGAAAAAACTTGATGTGAATTAAATATTTGGGGAGTCAGGTCTGAGTTCTGGTTTCTTTATTGGTGACATAGGCTCTCATCTATTACTGCTTGTACTCGTTAGCCTTTAGCTAGCTAAATTTCTTAAATAGACTTGTCCTGCTTCCAGTTTTGGAACTTTCCATTATAAGTTTTGGGGATATCAAGATGATAATTTAAAGTTTGCCAAAAGCCTAGTCAGACGGCATGGACGTTCAGGCTGTCCTGGCTCTAAACTGGTGTAAGGGTTAATCATTTTTGGTTCCAGCAGGGTTTTGAACCTTTTCTAAAATCAAATCTTCATGTAAAATCTTCATATAAAATATTATAATAATTGTATAGATTGGATGGGAAAAATTCAATGATTATTATCTTATCAATTGTCTGTAATTTATTTCTAGGAGCAAGAGTCACGGACAGATCTGTTAAGAAAACGGGCAAGGAACAGGCTTGATGAAGAGGAATTAGAACATTCTGCTCTTAAAGTACCTAGAGTAGAAGATAATGGTAGTTATTCTCAAATTTTGTATCTCAACTAGTATACATATTATATGCTTTTTGAGGTGTCCGTGGTAAAGTGGTTAAGGTTGTTAAATTTAAATCGCTTGCCCCTCACCTCTGTAGGTTTGATTTTGAATTCTTTTATGTGAGAAAGCTATCCAGCTAGCTTATGGAATGTCAGTGGTTCTAGTCCGGTGTCCGTATATAATGCATGGAAGGGTAAGTGAGGTCTTCCTCCACTAGTAAAGCTGACATGTCGCCATATGACCTATACTGTGTTAGTGTAACGTAAAGCCCAATCAGACACATGTTTTTTGGTATTTATCACACACCCTTGGCATTGGAAATTCTAGTGATCAGCTGTTTTGAAAAAGCTGTTTTGAAAAAACATATGCCCTAATCACTTAACCTTTCCTTTATACATGTAGATCAGTTTTGGGAAATGTTATCATATATGTACATGTTGACAGGTGCTCTTTCAAATCACAAAGTACTGTAATTGCCAAAAGAGGGAAAATTTAACTGGACACCCTTCAAGACAGATTTTTAGTTCAATACAGTCACGTTTGTGAAAACTATGGTTTGTATTATCATTAATACCAGAAATTTTTACCAGGAGTTTGGGAACATAACCCATACCTATAGAATTGGAAATTTCAGTGTTCCCATCATTGTTAAAATTGGGGAAAATTCATGACTGAAATTTTGCAATGATTAAATGAATGCAAAAAGTCACCGTCTAGGATGGCGTCTTCAAACATTTAGGCACTACAACAGTGAAGGAGCGCTTTTTCGAAAGTTTTAGAATTGTTTATTCAATATTTTAATTTTGTAACTTTCAATTGAGAATTTTTTTCTGTGGATTGGGAAATTAATATATTTTCAATTGGGAATATGACCGAATATCGGCTATTAAATAAGCCAAAAAAAAAATTATATCCCTGGATACTAGTGATACAAAAGGTATGTATTCTTACTGAATACAAAGTGTGTAAGGCTATGGTGAGACAGGTAATTATAAATATAATGTTTGGTTTACACATACAAAGATTGATGCATTCTGATTGTTTGAAGGCGAGGCATCATCATCAAAGAGTGTCGAAGAATCTGGGGCGACGTCTAAAGTCATAGATATATACACAAATACAGGTCACATAAATTTCTTCAAGGATATAGAGGCAGGGGTAAGCTTTTTGTTAGTTTAATTTCTGTATTTCTTTAACCTGATTGTAACCATGTGACCACAGGTGAGTGTAGATTACCTGAAAAAGATGGGTTAGTTAAGAATTACCTCCCTTGACTGGGGATAATGACAATTTTGTGATGGGCAGTAATGTACAGATTGGCTTACTTATCATGAGGAAGGCATGCCCCTGGCCAAGCAATTATGGTAAATAGTCACAGTATTGATACAACTGTAACTGTATAGTATGTTTTTCCAATACATTTATACATTTTTAATACATTTATAAACAACTGAATTATACTATACTAGAATATTTTTTATTTTACTTAACTGAAGTTTTTGAATAATTTAGCATATTTTGATAACAGGAAGTGAAACACGGCAAAAATAAAGAACATGAAGATGAGAAAAAAGCGGAGAAAGAAAAATGGGAGAAAGACATCGGTCTGTTAACATACCTTGGACAGAGTTCAGTGGAGTCATCAGGTACATGACATTTCCTTTACAGTTTGCTTTAACCCTGCTTGAATAGAAAGTGATAAGCTTTTGTCACTAGTATAGAGCCAGGCCAGCCTACATATCCCTGCAGTCTGACCAGGCTCTCTACTGTTGGCAATCCAAATTAATAATATATTTCTAGATACTTTATTTCCAAAATTGATAATGACAGTATTTCCAAAATTGATAATGACTGTTTCAAAGATGGAAGCTTGGAAAATTTACTTAACAGATATAACAGGTTCAAGGGTTTAAATTATTGAAAGGGTAATGAGATTCTCACTTTGAACATTTTATACAGACAATGTTTCTTCAGTTTCCATAAATTGATTTTTTGTTGTATTAATTTGTCTGTCGACCATAGACAGATAACCATAATACTCAGTGTATGCAATGTTTTAAATGTTAGACATATATAACATTGTACTATGTTAGGCATATAACATTGTACTGTACTATATATATAAATTGATAGGCACAATGTATAAATTTGTTGACATGTAACTGTGTACAATACACAATGTTTGGTATACATTTCATTACAGAACAAGCTCCCTGGTATTTATCTGGGAAGAAAAGAGAGAAGGACCCTTTAGATCCGTAAGTACTTTAGTATACATTATAACTCGCCAGGGCTAGTGAAAAATGTAATAGATCTAGGTATATTAAATGGAAAAAGAAATAACAAATATAGGACGAGCTCGGACATAAGCAAATCAAAGACATATTAAAACCTTCATAAAATGCTGCTATGAAAGTAATCAATAATTGACACCTTGGTATGTAATAAGTATGTAATTCTTATCAGTTGTGTGAAGCTGTCAAACTGCTCTGGATAAACTTGTGCTTCAGTGCACAGGCTATAAACATGCTGTGTGTAAAGTACTTTATACCAGGTAGCCGTCTGGTTAGCTCAATAAGTAGAGCATTGGACTGTGGATCGGGCAACCTAGGTTAGATTCCCGGATGGCACAGGTCACTTTCGTTGTGATTAATCATGAAATCCTTTCTACAATCATTTGCACTGTACCTTTGCTCTTGCATGTACAGAAGTAATCAGTTCCTTGCAAAAATGAAGGCATTTAGTACTGGTAAACTACGTGACAGCCTGCCCAGGAACGATGCGGCGGCTGAACTTTGGTCTGGTAAATTTAATGTGGCTGACTGCTGTGATTCAAAGTGAAAACTACCAACACCACCACACACTTTATACACAAATTAAACTGCCTATTGACATTTTTGTTGAGTGTGATTTGAACCTATGCAGGATTTGATACATGTAGGTAACTAGGAGTGGATTGAAGGTTATAATAAATGCGAAACTGAAAATTTCCATGTGGCAAATTGATTCTCGTGCAGATTTGATCATGTGTCAAATATGTGCATTTCCTGATTTTTGCGATTCAAAACTTAACTCGGATACCTGTGTCAATTGAGGCCCTAACTAGCCAGTAATGGCAGTCTCAGTTTCCAGTTGATAGTGGTAGCTATATATAATTAAATGACGTGGCTGGTTGTAACTGTGTTAAACCAGCATACCCGTGGATTCATGTAGAGTTGTATGAAAATTTTTAAATAGTTCTAATTAGTAAATTGTAATGTCTGCCATATTATAGTTGTTGGGCAGTATGGGTAGAGAGATTAAACAATGCAGCCTATTATTTCTTAATCTATTTACTAATAATACTACAGAGAGGTGATGCCAGGTGAATTTAGGCAGAGCTTATCAGCTAGTGGCTAATACTAGCTGACCAATAGCGAGTCAATATATTACATAAATAATGTTGACAAGTGTCAAAGTACAATAATTAAACTTAACCTACAGCACATGTAACCATTGAAAGGAAGTTTAACATGTCTTAATTTGCAGATATTCTAAAAGAAAAAACATACCTCAAGAAATGTTAATTTGGGGATAAAAATAGTAATTTTTATCATAATGTTATAAATTAATGTAATAGTTTTGTTCTAAAGATAGCTTGTAACTTTCTAGAACCACTTTTTGAGTCCACTCTAGTATTAACCAGTCCATAGCCCAGTAGTTAAGGTCGTTGACTCCAAACCACTTGCCTCTAACTGTTGTAGGTTTGAGCTGCACAAGTGCCATCAGATTCTACATGTAAGAAAGCTGTCCAGATAGCTTAAAGAATGTAGAGGTTCTACTCTGGTCTGGTGCTTGTTTGTGCAGCTGAGGTATTCCTCCGCCAGTAAAGCTGGAAAGTTGCAATATGACCTATACTGTGTTTGTGTGATGTAAAACCCAATCAACCCCCACCCCAATACCACCCCCCCCCCCCCCCCCCCCCAAAAAAAAAAAAAAAAAAAAAAAAAAATAAATAAATAAAAAAAAATAGAAAAATAAAATTAACAAGTAATGGTATAATATGATTAAACATGGTCAATGACAGCAGTAGGGCTCAAACCTACGATCCCTATGTTGAGAAGCAGACACCTAAACCTGTAGGCCACCACTTGTCCACTTCCATGGATAGGATAAGTAAATTAAACTTTATGATTTTAGGAAATGCTTTTATTTTCTTTACTTGATTTGACTGTAACTTTAAATCTTGCTGATTTTGTCATGTTTTGCAACCTTTAAGATTTCTTTGTTAACTGTTTAAGAAAATAACTGTGATTGATGTTGAAATTTCAGTGTGGTGAAAGACCGAAAACTAAAGAACAGATTAGACCCTTTGAATGAAATGAAATCATATATACACAAGAGCAAGCATAAACATAAACTTGGTGATAAGGTAAGTCGAACCTCGTAACATGCCCTAGGAAAGTGAACGTTGGTGAATGGGAGTTAACAATTATACCTTTGTGCAACTCTTTGCTACATTATTCAAGGGATTTCAATTCAGCTTCACAATTTTCGTAGCACTATAATCATTGTTTACTCTTTGTTTGGTATATTGTCAAGGTTTTGTGAATTAATCATTATGATGGTAATACTTGGTTTTAGGACAATTTCAACAATTTCTGTCACTTTTTTCATAGACATTACATCCTTATAATTTGTGTGTTTTCCTAATGCAAGCTGATAAAACATCACATTTTATATTTTAAGGAAAAGCATCATAAACATAAGCACAAGAAGAAAATTAGAGAGAAGGAGCCGAAAAAACATGAAAAACATGTGTCCGCAACAAAAACTATTGAACAGTTACGTGCAGAAAGGATAGAGCGGGAAAAACAAGAAAGACAAAAAGCTCTTGACCTTCTATCTGGAGGTCAAGGTCAAAAGTCAAAGGTCATTGAAGAACCTGTTGATGAACGACAGAGAGGGTATAATTCAGTGTTTAATCCAGAGCTGGCGAGGAAACCGAAGCATCGGCATTCTTATGAAGAACGTTACGGAAATTTTTAAAAATTCAATGATTTTATATATATATTTCTATGGGTATACCATGTATGTTAATGTAGTAAATTGTAATAAGTATTATTTATAAATTGTTACAACTAGTTTGTCTGTATATTCATATTTTTTAACTGTTTTATAATTATTTTACCTATAACCTGGTTGTCCTGAAAGAGATTAGCCTATGTCACCAGTATAAAGCCAGGCCAGCCTGAACATATACGCAGTCTGATAGTAATAACCAGGCCCCATACTGTTGGTAGCTCAACTCTTTAAAATTTTGTTATTGAAAATCAATTAAGTTATATACTGTACTTCAGTTTTAAATGCCCATTACAAATGTATGTCTTGGAAATGCTTTTATTTTTATTTTGCCAAAGCTTTTAAATATTGGTTACCAAATAGTTACTCATTGTCCATTTAGCTGAACCATTGAGTTCTCATTTCACCTGATGCTTGTTGGCAAAAAGTACAGTTACATGGGTGCAAGTTTTCAGGCATATGCCTGAAGTTCAGGTTTTTTGTGGCAAATTCCATCATGTTTTACTATTAGATTATGTAGGGAAATGATTATGAATAAAGGATTTCAGGTTTTTCCAAATTTTCAACTTGCACCCATGCAGTTAAAGTGAATGAGTATTTTGTATTGAGGTCAAAATACCACTTTGTTTACATTTTGCTTCATGAATGACAAATTATTTCACATTTACCACTCCTTTCTTCAAGTAACAATTCTCTAATATTCTCTTAAACAATTATTTAAACATAAAATTCCTGTTTGCTCTTTCTAAAGACATAAAAATCTATTTATTTCTGAGGCATAATCTGCCTTTAAGTAATTAGTCTCAATTTAGATATCTACCTCCACGTTCTGTTATTTCCAACACATTAAGTTATACACTGTGACTTCAAGTTATATCCTCTCAAATTATATTAATAAAATAGAGAGTTCAAGTAAGTCAGGAAGACATTTTGATTGATTTAACAAACTAACTGAATTTTTAACATAAACAAAATTTCAGTGAGAAGAATGATTTATACAACCAAATTTTCATATACAAAATATTTTTTTAGGATGTTTTTTGGCATGAGTTTGTGTCTGTCAGTATAACAATAGATGTTACTCGGAACTCGGTAAATGTGGATTTTCCCCAGCTAATCAGTAGGTACAAACATATTTTACTGTGATAGCTTCATGGTGCACTACCTGTCACAATAGATTAGTCAACCTCTTGTGCTTATTTTTTCGAAGCTGTTACTGTGAAAGTCTGTTTATACCAACGGCTTAGCTGGGGAAAAAATCCCAAAATATTCTTAATTTCGTAGTTATTCTATTCATTGTTGCACAAATTACTTTCAAAGTTTTTCATTCATTGGTTTCTCATTTATATCTTAATATCAAAACACAGGTCACCTTGGTCACAATACACTGGTTATTAGGATCGTTTGGATTCTCCCTGGTCCACATTTAGAAGTTTGTAACACATTATAGGTTGTAAATTTGCAGTTCTCTTGGTTGTTTATCAACTGTCAGAATGTTTGTCTCAATATAAAAGTTCAAACCTGGCTTGGCATCTCTGTTTAAGATGAATTGCTTGCCCATATTGAATCGTATCGGTGGCCAGGGTAAACAAACCCAAACACACATAAAAAGGTGAATGTTACAAGTTGATTGACAATCAATCAGGGGAAACCCAGTTATTACCCTTATGTTGTATTTTATATCATTTCTTAATGCAACATGCTTAGTGTCTTCATGATTTCTAGGTAAAAGTTGAATATTGGTCAGACTTTGGTTAGAAATGGATCACTGGGTCAAATCAATGGAAATCTTTAAGCATTCAAGATACTAAAATGTTTATCTAATCAACTAGGTCAAATAATTATTAAGGCCATCTTAAAACCATTTCAAGTCACAACTTTACACTATAATGGCCTTAGTTTTCATCTTTAACCATTGTCAAAATCTAGGTCATTAGGTCAAATCAAAAGAAAACTGTTACCACACTGAAGAAGATGACGTTTGTGGCCAAATCTTATTCAAACAGGCTTAAAGCATGAGTTTTGATTACATGTATTTCTAGGTCATGTCCCAAGATAGGTCATCTGTGGCCAAATTTAGGTCAGCAGGTCAAATCATTGTTTCTTGGGACTACATTCATTTATGACAAAGCCTCTTTGAATCTTTTCATATTTTGTGTTCAATTATCATAAAAAGTTACTGTGGAATATTTTATTCAATTATCATCAAACTTTGTCTAAATATTGTTGTTGTTGTTTTTGTTTTATCTTGGGAATACTGGAACCTTGATCATTTTGGGTCAAAATTTAGGTGATCAATTCAAGAAAACACCTTGCTAATGGTATTGAGTCCTCTAAAATGGAGTTATGAAATGTGTTGTCTTGTATTATCTTTATGACTCAATAAGACAAATAACTTTGCTTTTCAATTCATACTCTCTTGCAGTTGCAGGTAGAGTCGTCTTTTCTTGGCAATTTATTTACGAAATGTTATAACTTTTGTAACATTTTTTAGTCTATTTAAAATTTTTATAGAAACGTACCAAACCGAGAGAACATTTTATTTTGGTAACAGGCCGGTAATATTTTTGACAAGAGTTACGTGCCCTTTCATGTCAAATTGTATTAATGTCATCATAGCAATCCTTTAATCTTTTGAATTGCTTCATGTATACAGTTTGCAGCACAAATGTTTCAGCATACACTTCCACGGATTGCTAATTGGTCACCGACTTTTGAATCGTATCTTATAAAGAAGAAAAATAAGATAACCAAATATGCGCTAATTTCATATATTGCACATATGTAAAACAAAACTTCGTTGCAATAACAGAGTAGGTGAGCGCTTAGGCTTTTTACGCACGTGCCGTTTCGCATAGATAATTTTGAACGCGAATACATAAAATTAGTTTATTTGATTCATTAGAAAGTACTAAAATAACCATACCTTAGATTTATTGATTAAGAAGTTTTATATAGTGATAAATTAGAAATCCGTTGAGGTGTACATAAGTATATATTAAAATATTATAAAACCAACAATTTGTTTCCTGTTACAACTTATTCAAGTGATGTGCCTTTTTATGTTGTGGAAGGCATCGGCATGCATTCACTGGGCAAACATTTTGCAAAATGGCTACCCCCACCAGCGAAATAATCAATGTTTAAAGTGGTTTATTTAAAAAATATATATATGAAATTGCATAGCATGTATAATTTACTACGTGTAGTATATTTGTAAAATGATAATTATTATAGCACTTCATTTAAAATTTAAGACTTTGCAACTTGAGCCCGTCTGTTTTTATACAGCACAATTTGTTCTCTTTGTTTGAATGGTTGTCCTCTTATCCCGAGATGGTTGACATCTAGCGTTATTGCACGAGATCTTACACGTGGTACATACGCTTCCCGGAAGTCCACTGCAGTGGCAGTTCTTACAGGTTGTGACGGCCTCTCGGAGTTTGTCGCTGCATGCGTGTAAATAAATTTACCTCGGTCTTTGCTTTCTTTACCAGTGAGTTCCGTTACACGTTCACACGCTTTTAACTTTTGTCCTGATATTTGCTGCGGCGGTGTGGAAGGGCTTTTTAAATGTTCTCTCTGAAATTGTACATACGGGGAACTTCTGCCGCCACTTTTAGCGCGTGCCGTATTCGGAGGCACCGGTGACGTCACTGTGCTACCTACAATTAGATTACCAGGCACGGAGCTAGTTGCGTTTAAAGACGACCTATGTAATCCACGTTTTTCAGCATTCCATTTTAAAATGGAGTCGGGCATACCTGGTTTGACGAATTCAGCACTGCCTAACCTCAACGTTCTCCCAGCTTTACGCGAATTCGACGCCGGAAACATGTTGTTTTCATTGGCGCTGTTATACACTTTAGTCTTCACATCATCTAGATTGAACTGTATACAATTGTTTGGAACTGGTGGCGTTGACAGATTCAGATATTTATTTAATTGCATAATGTCAATTTTATCTGTAGCTCTTAGATTAGGCACCGTACACTCCCGGACAGGTGCGAGGTTTAAAGCCTTGCCTCGGTCACGCATTGAGTACGGTCTAGCGTCACAGCTACTGTCTTCAATACTGTCATCATCCGAACGAGGCCGGTCGTGGTGGCTACCTCTGCTAGAAGCTGAACTGAAATAATTGGTAACAATGAATCAAATTAGAAAATGGCACGGAATCCTTATTGTTATGTAAACGATTCAAGTGGAAACAAACAGGCCAATTATAAGCGGAGTTTTCTAGATGATGGCAACAATTAAAATGCCAGTTAGAGAACTATTTTTTTTGCGCGAAGTAATTTATGGCTGGCACTAATTCTAGTTCTTCTCATTAAGTCGACCGTCCGGTTTCCGGTATTCGACGGAGCATACGACATTGAGCTGTTTTATTTGTAACTTATAATTGAGTGTATTATAGCTGAATGATCAAATACCCAACAATTACAGATTATGACATGACAACAAAACAAGGCTTATCTGTTTGATTTGATTTACAAATAAATCCTGGCCATATGTTTTTTTAGAAAGACGTTATGTGTCATTGAGAAAGAAATGTAATCGTTGTGTTTAAATTCTCTATATGAATATATAAAACAATGTTGTATAAAAAATATTGTATAAGAAATATTTTCAAAATAATTTTGACCATGTTATTTCTCTACAGTACGTCTTTTGGATAAATTTGATTAATACATACCCATTTTTGTCCTCCAGAAGCTGTGAGGCCAGTCCGTAGAATGGACCGTTTATGGCACTGAAATGGTGAAAGGAATTTTCATATATAATAAAAAACAACTTATAAACATGTATACAGAACATAAACACAAGTGAACGAGTAAGTTTTTTTTAAAAGAAATCTATTGATATGTGAATGATAAGAGGTGATACATGTGTATGTGAATAGTAAGAGAAAAGCACGTGCCGAAAACCAGTTTGAATATTTTTAATTGTTCCCTTAAAGAACCCGTTACTCAATTTATATTATGGTTTTATATCATAAGTATAATGCTAAAATGAAGATTTATCCCAAAAGGCATTATTAAACATGACTGTCAAAATCCAAGATGGCCACCATATAAAAAATTTCAGATTATTTTAGTTTACAAGCTGTAATCATTTTCAAAATAGTATGAAATAGCACAAGTACATTATATTACACGCATTTTAAAAATATTAGCATGAAGATAATCTGCATTGATTTTTTTACTTTTTTCGCAAAAAACCCATACCCCTGGAATTGTGATTTTTTAGCGCGATAATCTGTCAAATTGTGAAAAATTTAACAAAAATAAATCATCACCTGTAGTCACTTTATTCATACATTTAATAATTGTGCTCATAGTTTAAGCTTTCTAGTTTTTATTCCGTCAAATATATCAATCAAATTCTCAAGATTGTCATTTGTTTTGTACTGAAAAGCAATCCTGCCTATTGTGAATTTTTTAAACATTTTTGTGAATATTTTATGGGTTTTTTTTGTAAAGAGGCTTTATTTCGGGGTCAAAATCAAGAGGCTTTATTTCGGGGTCAAAATCAACAAAAAAAATACACTGTTATTTATGAAATATATCAACATTGGTGCCAAAGTTAAATGTGGCCGCATAACCTAACATATTTATGAAACTGTTTTAAAACATCCGTTTCATATTGAAACAAACTCATAATTAAACTGTCTCAGATTTATTTATTAAAAGCATTTTTACTTGATAAAAGAAAAAAAAATGGGGGTTTAACCGTCTCATAATTTCATTATCTGCCCTTGAATAAGTATCTCTTTCCTAGTTTTAGATAATTCCAAGGGTAAGTAACTTGCAATCAAACTAAGCTTAGCCATATTCCAATGATTTAATATGTAGCTGGTCTCCTATTGGGTCATTGTGAATTGTTAAAGGAATGGTATAGAACCTTTTGTATATTCTTACCAACAGCTTTGCAATTTTCCCTAAAAAAATTCATAATAATTTCATAGGATTCTAGGCTATGAAATTTGTATTTGAGTAAAACGTAACCCAAAACTTTCTATTTTTTGTTCAATATTATTCTGATTTTCTAATTTATTCACAAGACCTTGCCAAAATGATGCAATTATATAAAGAGCCTGATTCGTTATCTTTGCTACAAAATATGCTGCTCAAATTACTTAAGAATAAAAGAACTCGCAGCTGCAGTAAAACGGTCACAAGGATGCTGCAAACTACATTTATTAAAAAGAATTTACATGAGAAGAAACCCATACGTCTTCCGCCACTTACTAGTATAATTCATACTGAATATTTGGTTCGAATAAGCTAAGGAATTATGTGCACTTAAATATACAATACAATAGAAGATTAATTCACCCTTTTCATGCATTAACATATACAGAAGCGCGAGGACCCATTTAAAGCCCTCATCCTATGGGCTCATGATTTAACTTCTGCAGATGTGGATGCACAAAAAATGTATTAGAGTCATTCTTGTATATAAGGATATGACTGTTTTGGTGATTTCTTAGTGTGTACTGTTTTGATAATAGGTAACTGGGGCCATTGTTAAAATAAGCGGTTAGCATGGTGTAAAAATCATCCACATTAACAAGAGGTATCAGTAGGACATCATAGAGTGCTCGACTGTTCTCAATGCTTGATAGCTAAACAAGAACCTAGATAATTAAGAATTCTCTATATTTAAAAGGGCCATTATTCTGTCAAAATCCATTATAGAGTTATTGGCCTTTAATAGTGACCTTCTATTATGCTCATAAATAAGTGTATTAGGTTTATAACTATTCCTTTATGTAATTTTTACAAAACCAATTTGCATGCAAAGCCTTAGCCAAACTGAAAAACTGACGTCTTTTGTGTACAATATCGCTCCCTATTCTTTGAAATATCAAGCTAAATAATGTGCTCTCATAGTTTTATCCATAGATGGAAGTTTTTTTATCTGTGAATGTACACATGTACATACAGTTTTTTGTGCAGAATGGCCAGTTTATTAGTGTGTTATATGTTTGAAGAGTGTTGATCATACAAATTATCCATATCATAGAAATTGTCCAAAAATCATTATTTAATGGCGGCCATCTTGGATTTGGAGGCCATATTTTGAATCTTCTACCCATGCTACTAAAGCATTTTTCCAAGGTATTACTATTTTTGACATACAATGTCAATTTATATCATTTTCATGATGTAAATAACTTCATTTTGTCATGTCCCATGTAAATTAAACATTTTGGCGGCCACCTTGGATTTGGCGGCCATCTTGGATTTCTAAAAAGTGGATCCCAGGCTGAAATGAATTGAAATACTATTTCCTGCCACCATGCCAAGTTTCATGCTTTTCACAAGAGGTGCACAATTATTTCACTGATTTCTTGGACTAATATAGATATTACCGAAATTACATTTCATGTTAACAAAGGGAGGTAATTACAAATTTATTTTCTATATAAAGTCCTAGTCAAATTTTTCAATAAGAAATGAATGCAAATATTTTAATGATGGACAAATATTTGTAATATTCTACGATCTTTGGAAATTGTTTTAGATGCATAATTATATACATATATACAATTTCACTTAATCACAACCTTATTTACAACATACAGGATCTTTAACAACTGCGATCAGTGCAGAACAAGATCAGCCGACATAATATGTGTCGTCTGCAGATATTTTGAAATTTTCCCTAAAAGTGATGAATGGTTTTGTCTAATTTGGAAAATAGTTGAGTCCATTTAAGTCATTTAGCGAGGAATGGGTCAAATCTGTAAGTGTGCTGATTTATAGGGGTCTCGTTTTTGTAAACGCTACCCAGGTATGGCAAGATTAATGTATATCAACTATTGAAGTAGATTGTTTAGCTTTTTTGATAGGTTTCAATATGTTGTACCATCTCCAAACATTGACAAATTTCATTTTAAGCAAATAGGGCACATTTATAGCAAACGTATGCATACACGTTGATATATGACGTCTAATGGCGATATTTTAAATATTTTACAGTCTTATATTTCAAAGTAATCTTTTAAACATTTTTATTATCTTAAGTTACTCAAACTTTTAGCACACACAAACTTGATCTTTTTATTTATTTTATTAATATCTATTATTATTTTATTATTATCAATACTACTATTATTATTATTATTAATACTACTGCTACTATTATTATTACTGTTATTACTATTGTTGTTGTTGTTGTTATTATCATCATCATCATGCGAGTCACCACTAAGAGTTCGAATCTAGACATGGGTTACCAAAAGTTCGAATCCAGGCATGGGTTACCAAGACTTCGAATCTCGGCATGGGTTACCAAGAGTTCAACTATCGGGAGTTCTAATCTGGACATGTACCCGACTATTTTGCGAAAGTTAGGCGGACTTTATACGGAGAACCACTATATTTATTAATTAAATACATGGAGGGGTCTCTTTTGTCTCAGCCCATGACAGTAATCGTGATATTGCCCCCTATATGTCTTGCCTAAATCAGTAATCTCGGTGGATTTTGACATGCAGAAAAATTTAAATGTCAATAACAAGAATCGAAATCAGTATATTGAATACACTGTACTTTTGTTTTACACACCACGCTGTTATAAACCACTACTACGGAAATATGTATCACAATTTTCAGTAGAATTTTTTAATAAAGTTTCTGTATCACCTTGAAAATCGATTAGTGTCGTCATGCCAGCTAGGTTTGGTATATTTTATTGACCACAGATTTTTCCACTGAATCACTGGGCAGAATAATTGGCATTTGATCGCATGTCAAATAAAGCATGATGATATCCATTTAATTATACCGAGAGATCTTGATTCGAGTTGAATTTATCATACATTGTCTTAAAGGAAAGAAAAATTGCACTGATTTTATTTAGTTTAAAGGGACTCCACTGTATTCTTTTGGCATGATAGCATGCTCGAAAATATTTTTCCGATATTTGTGTTCCATTTGATCTAGGTCTTGATCTTGCCATTCCCTCATCACGTTTTTTTTCAGAATAATCATTTTTATTGTCCAAAATAACCCCAATGCAACGTTATCATACAAATCTGACTAAGCATTGCACAAAAATATGGATATTCAATTTCTTTTTAGTATTCAATTATTTCGTTATCATCCTTTGCAGATTTCTCCATTATAGGTGCTTTCTTGATCTTTGTAAGAATTTCAAATTTTATGTTTTCAGGCCTTTTTTTACCTCAGCAGAGCCCCTTTAACGTTAAATGCATCACAAAACAACAAGCTTTCTCCAAAATTAGGTGAAAGGCCACGTGTTAACATGGAAAAACTAGATTTTTGGTAGATCTAATTCCAAGGTTTTTCATCATTTTTTAAAGGGTTAAGTAAAAGACGGAATGTACTGGCGTGCCCTTTTTAAGTCGACGGTTTCTGTTACATCGTCTGTATTTTAATTATGTGTTGTATTTTTTCATATCTTTGTTAAAGTGAAGAAACAAATAAATTTCAAGTGAACAAAACTACCTTAATATTTCACAGGTATCGAATTAAAAAAAAAAAATAGAAATATATATATATATATATATCTAAAAGTTTTGTAATTTTATCTGGTTCAACCTGAAACTCTTATAACAAAAGAAGTAAACATTTACTGAACCAAATGAATACCTCTGTTCGAATTATTTCAGTTTTGTTACGTACATAACTGACATTATCGGCTTAAGCTAGTCTTTGACAATCAAATTAAACACTGTCAAGTTTTATCCCGTATTTATATAAGAATTATAACAAACGCATCAAAACATATTTTAATAGCCCATCTCTTGTTTGATAAATGAGCCGCGTCACGACAAAACCAACATAATGGGTTTGCGACCAGCATAGATCCAGACCAGCCTGCGCATCCGCGCAGTCTGATCAGGATCCATGCTGTTCGCTTACAAACCCTATAACAAGTAGAGAAACTGACAGCGAACAGCATGGATCCTGATCAGACTGCGCGGATGCGTAGGCTGGTCTGGATCCATGCTGGTCGCAAACCCATTATGTTGGTTTTGTCGTGACGCGGCTCAAATGTATATTACTACTATATACATAGTAAACGTTATCTTAATCTTAAATTCTCCGTGGTGGAATGAGCGGATAAAGAAATTCAATATTTTGCAAGGTTTTAACTTTCTAATTAGATTAGGTTTGCTTATTTATGTTTCGTATTACAAATGTAATCTTGTTCTATGAAAGATTTAAAGGGACTCCACTGAGGGTTTGACATGACGGGACTGGACACAATGTTTCGAGTTTAATGTTCCATTTTATGAAGGGGTAGAACAATAACTTGTGTGCAAAATTTCTATTCATTCGAGTACTCCGTTTTTCCGAAATAATCATACTTATAGTGAAAATTGACCGAAAATTGAAAAGCGTTGCAACGCTTTTCACTCAAATCGGGTTTAGAATAACGCAAAAATAAGATTAACAAATTATTTCTGAGTAGATTTCTTAATTATCTTTTGCATATCGTTAAGTGTTAAGTGCCCCAACGGATCTATGTAAGAAAATCATATTTCATGCTTTAGGCTTTTAAACCTCAGTGGAGTTCCTTTAAGTTGTTCGGAAAAAAATCTCAAACACTTCTCATACAATACGTGAGGATAAGAGAAAGTCTGACGTAATTTATGTGACAGGCCCATTATGCCTCAGAAAGGCTCTCTAAAGCCTTTTCATTTTGGTTACTTTCAAAATATATTTAAAATTACTCATTGGCCAATTACTTGAACCATCTTTTCCATCTGTTTTTTTTTTGGCAATAAGTACTGTTAGAATTGTTATAATGACCTAGTATTTTGTATGGAAGTCAAAATATTACTTTGATAAAATTTTCCTACTTTTATGACAAATCATTTCACATATATTTCATGTAGGTATTGAGCATCTCACTTGCTCTGAAACCATTATTTAAACATTATATATACCTGTTTTAACACCACCAGACAATACCATATATACTTAAAATGTTAATTTTACTGCTATTATTTACTGCTATTTCTAAATTATAATAAAGAGAGAAAAAATGATTTTAGTTACCTTGAAAGATTTGACTTCAGTTTGCTGTAATATGGGTCCGTGTCTACTCCCTTTTCCGCGTACTTTGTATAGGATAAAGGCCGCCCGACGTTCCCAACCGTGTGGTAAAACCGATACCGTTCTATGTACTTTGAATTGTCTTTGTAGTGTTGAAATATCACCGGGTCTTTGCCCATGGTATTTGTTAGTCTATTGAAAGCTACCTCTGAAGACCCTGGCTTGACGTATTTTTTGCGACGAAACATTTTCCCCCTATTTCCTTTCTGTGGTGCCTCCCAGCCCATAAAACTCGTATCGCACGACTGGTATATTGAACACAGGCATACAGGTTGCGAGTCTTTGATAGGATCAGATAAAAGTGTTTCTTTTGCTTCGTTCTTTTTATTTTCATCAAAACTACATAACACAGTCTCCCCGGCAAGAAGAAATTTAAGTGAGACTGGTCTGGAAGAGTAGGAACTGGTGCATCTGGGAAATTCTGGTATCTCTTCCGGTGGTGGAGGAGACATAAGTGCCACGTGCAAAAGCTCCTGCGACTGTCCAGGTGAAATGATTTCAAAGAAACTTTCGTTAAATGGAGGAGATTCACTGTCAAAATAATCAGATATCTCATGATTTTCATGTTCAAGTTGTATTTTGCCATGCACATGTTTTACGTGATGTCCCTTTCCATCATGGTGATGGTTATGTGGATGATGACGATGATGATGATTGTGATGATGACTATGATGACTGCTACGGTGCTTTTCCTGAGAATTTTGGCGGGAAATAGAATGAGAATGTACTTCTTTGTGATCATGTGATGTCACGTGATGCGACTTGCCTTGATTATGATTATGATGATGATGCGTGGAACCAGTATGAGCCTTGTTCTGCTTGTGTGTATTGTCATGATGAGTTAAACTATGCCTTATATTTTCATCATTGTTTTGAGTCTCCGCCTTACTATGTGTGGTACCAGTGGATTTCGGACGAACATGCAAATGTTTGTCATGTTTTTCTTCTGTTTTCTTATTTTTGTAAACTTTTAAAGGAACACGGCGTTCAAACAATTCATTCTTTAATCCCAATGTGTGTAACAAACGTTTTTCTGTCTCAATAACTTCTTGCGTTCTCTTGGAAATAGGTTGGTAAGACGGGTCCTCGTTTTCAAAACTTTCATCACTATCACTAAACCCGTCTGGCATCAATTCGGCACTGTCCATACATTCGGCTAATGCTTTAATGTGATTGGTTACATCCGCCGAGCACGTGACGGTAGATTCGACATGAGTCATCACAACTTCCGGCATGTGGGCTCGTGAAAATGTTATCCTTCACTTATTGGATATATTGTCCGTAAAAGTTATCCCGGTTACTTTTTATATCATTTCTAATTCAAAATTCTCGTTGGCTTTATGTAACATCTTTTGGTTTAATTTTCCTGAAATGAAATTGAGGAAATTACACATTTTTGTGTGTAGAACGAAACATAAAGGCATGCATAAAAGTCCTAAATATACATTAGAAAGATTTTGGAAAATAAATGTTTAAGAATTCAAAAAGTATAAATTATTCATAGTTTTTTAGATTCATAAAACAATATGACCAATATGGTGCAAGTACCTATGTGAAATGTTTCGTTTAATTTTTATATTAAAAAAGAAAATTGTTTCTTGTGAAGCTCTAGAATTATTTATGAAAAATATATAAAGAAAATACGTTATAATTTATCATATATTTAGAATCAAACCTTTTAATTCCTATCATCCACGTAAAGCCACATATATTTCTTGTCTAGTTTCTACACTTTTTGAAGATAAGAATACAAATATATACACATAACGAAATATTTCACAACAATTCCATTAGCACTTAGACTGATTTTCTGTTAGTTTACATGCAACTAACAACATGATCTCTAGGAGCTCAAGTAATGTTATATCCTCCAAAATTTCTCCCCTTGTCATTTATAACAAAACACTTTTCTTTCCAGAACATAAGTCTCTATATATCATGAAAGAAGATACAACCGGTTTTCTTAATTTTAATTAACAACGCTTAGTTTAAATCAATACGCAAAATGACTTTTATCAGTGCGTATTGTTCCTGTGAATATAAAATTTCACTTCAACGCGTTTAGTTTTAACATTGCCGACATAATGGGGATATAGGCAGAATTTTTTTGACGTTTGAATAAATAAACTATAGAGAAAAAGGGGTAACAATAATCGGTTTTATTCACTGACTCGTGTTTCATTTCTCACAATAAAAGGAAACATATTATAAACATATTTCAAGTGCAAATGTAATTTTCTGCTATTCAATTGTAAGGACCACTTTCACGTAAATTGTTATTAATTCAAATGTTTAAACGATAAAGTAACGCGATGACTTCATTTACAATAAGGATTGACTCCAAGGTGAACCGACGATTTGAAATCCCGCGTTGAATTCTAAAAGCTACTTTCTCTGCATTTTTAAACATAATTAAGTTTTTTCTCTTATTCAGTTTTGTTTTTTCTTTAACTGAAATTGAACTTTTACTCGACGGCTTCATTTGTATATATCAGTCTTAAAGTAACGCATATTCTGGTGTTAAACCTATATCAAGGTCAGCGGTTGTCTATTGCTTGTTTATTGTGCCTGCCTTTCAACCCGTGGATCATGGGTTCGAGCCTAATTATGTCACAATTTCGTTTTCTCATGAAGCCAGTATGTCTTAGTTTCAGGGTGCTTAGTCGGAGAACTTTTAAAATAAATTAAACAAATTCTTAAAATTGTAATCATAAGAAAAATCTATTTAGAGTAACAGGCATGTTTAAATATTTACAATTGCAAGATTTTTGTTTGTTTTGTTTTTGTTGGTATTGTTTTTGTTGTTGTTTTGTTTGTTTGTTTTGTTTTAAGTTTCTTTTTAATGACTAGATCTTCTATTTGTTACCATCATATCTATACCTAATAATAAACTATACGCAGTGTTTGAAACAGGATTAATAGTTTTAAATTTGCACACATGATTTGAAACTTTATTCGTCGTTATTAACCAGGTTTTCAATTTTGAAAATCCTGGTTATTAGATTGGGGTATGGCGGGCGGATGGGCGGATGGGCGGATGGGCGGGCGTCAAACGAAATTGTGTCCGCTCTGTAACTCTTCAACCCTTTGAAGAATTTTGATGAAACTTCAGACAAATGTTTACCACATCAAGATGACGTGCAGAACGCATGTTCCGCATGGCTGGCTCCAAGGTCAAGGTCACAGTGACATTAACATTGAAAATCCTGTCCGCTCTGTAACTCTTCAACCTTTGAAGAATTTTGATGAAACTTCAGACAAATGTTTACCACATCAAGATGACGTGCAGAACGCATGTTCCGCATGGCTGGCTCCAAGGTCAAGGTCACAGTGACATTAACATTGAAAATCCTGTCCGCTCTGTAACTCTTCAACCCTTTGAAGAATTTGATGAAACTTCAGACAAATGTTTTACCACATCAAGATGACGTGCAGAACGCATGTTCCGCATGGCTGGCTCCAAGGTCAAGGTCACAGTGACATTAACATTGAAAATCCTGTCCGCTCTGTAACTCTTCAACCCTTTGAAGAATTTTGATGAAACTTCAGACAAATGTTTACCACATCAAGATGACGTGCAGAACGCATGTTCCGCATGGCTGGCTCCAAGGTCAAGGTCACAGTGACATTAACATTGAAAATCCTGTTTACATGATTTTAACTTGATTTGGCAGTCAAAGGTCATATCATCTTTGGAGGTAATTTAAAAAAGATATGATATATAATTTCATGTCTTCTTTGTAACTTGTTTTTCATTATACAGAATTATCAATATAATTATAGTGAACAAATTCTTCTGTGCTGAACTCGTCCTACATTTCTCAACGGATTTTGTTCAAACTTTCACAGAAGCTTTGTCATCAAGCACCCTTGCACATATTGTCGGGGTTTTGTGATTGGATAGTTTTTGACCTAATTATGGCCCTTTGTTTTTTTCCTTATACATAATATTATAGTGAACACTTCTCCAGTGGCAATTCCTCCTACATTATTCATGTTTTACATTGCACATAGTTACATTGTTTGTTGCTTGTATTTGTATTTCAAATACAACATATTTATCTACAATGGTGATAATTGAAAACCTTGTTTCATGGCATTGCCATGTTTCTTGTTTATATATATAACCGTGCATGATTTGAAACTTTATTGATACTCGTGATAACCAGACAGTGTTTGAAACTGTATGTATAATAATTATAACTATGTGTGTATGATTTAAAACGTTATTTATCGTGATATCTATGCAGGATTTTAACCATTATAGCCAGGAATGATATTTGAGTTTATAAAAACGCTTTCATCTTGATAACCATACACTGTATATTTTCCATTGTGAAATCACTTATCGGTTAAAATATTTTACATTAACATCACAGGCACCGTCCAGTTAGCTCAACAGGTAGAGCGTTTGACTGTGAATCGGGCGACCTGGGTTCGATTCCATACGAAGTGAATCTACCACCACAACCACCACCACACCACATTCACATCACATGTGCACATTGAACTTAATAGATATGATACGTCATGTTATCGTTTGAAAATTGAAGAACTATCAATGCACGTGTTTACAGTTACGCGTATCCATGAAGACATTTATTGCATCAAAAAATTAATGTGATATGGACTTGGAGGGTATATAGCTATATGTTATAAAATATTTCTATAAAATTGATCAACAGTAAAATTGTACGTATTGTTTCCATAATCTTGTGGTTGATTTTCGGAAAGAAAAGTTGCAACATAGAATATTTATGTTATTTAACACACATGAATAGTGTACGTCATCAGAATAAAATGTTACGGAACAAAATATTACTATTATTTTAAGAAGTGTTTAAACAATTCAGCAATGATTTCGTGCATGCTCTATTCACTTTAAAAAAATACATCTATACTTTCATTTTTCTTTCCTACAATCATTTAAAATTCAAACAATAATTTTTCCAGCAGATATGATTATAGCTTTAATTACACTCCAATGCGGTTAAAGTCGGAAAATAAAAGTGAAACTATAAGTTTCAAGGATGCACTAGATATTTCACATTTTCTCCATACGAAGCAGACTAAAATTGAATCTGTAACATGCAATTCATCAAATAAACCACTTACCCATTTTTTTCCAAGTTTCAATTTATTTTATCTAGTTAAAAAACTTGCAAAAAATCCTTTTTTTTCGTGCACCGCAAGTAATTATTAACAATATCCATGATATAAGTGGCAGCTTTATTGCACTTCAAACATCGATCACTACTTTCAGATACGATATGTTTGTTTAAATATTGTCCAAAGTTAAAATGATCGATTCTTCGGCAACATTTCAGTATACGCCTATCTCTCGAGAAATAGCGCGGACTTGTTTATATACAAATAATTCTAATTCCAATAAATCGTTATTAATTGAGTTTAGAGCCGCACATTTAAAACGAACTGATAGTAATAAAAGGCAGATATTTCGCGGATTACTGGCGATTAGACGAAAACTGTGAAAGGGATTTTAGCCTTCTTTACAAAAATACAAAAACGTGGCATTTTGACCACTTTAAAAATGACCATGTTTAACTAAAGCTGCCAAAAACAAGACTGTTATATTGCAAAACAGAAGAGATTGCTGATATAGGAAATGGTCAATGACTTAGATTAAAGGTGATTGTAAAAATGAACAATTTATTTCATTATAAAGTTACATATCATGAGGTCATTATACATTGTTGAGAATAATACTGATTTGCATTGGACTTTAACACAGCTGTCAAACCTATATTGGACGATTCGCTAGCTTGTAGGTTTTGCAGCTGAGTTAAAGTCCAATAGAATCAGTACTTTCTTCAAAATGCATAATAACCTCTTTATTTCACATCAACATTTTTGACATTTCTACATTAAGGATTTGATATGGTTGAAAATGAAATGAAAACGAGGCTAGATGGAGTATGATCTGCATTTGATATAGATATTTTGGACTCTGAAAATGGACAGGTGGCTTAATTGGGTACGATATGCATTGGATATGCACTTTTGGGACTCCAGAAATGAAAACGAGGATAAATTGGTTAGATTGGGTATAATAATCATATGTATTAGAAAATCACGTGTTGCAAACGCTTAAAGTTCATATTTTATATGATGTGAACATGTATATTTTTTTGCAAGACAATACCGGAATGAACTTTACAAAGATCCTGTAAATATCGTGCTACACTGCAATGTGTGTATGCTTTTGTGTGGTAAATCTATGGCAAATGGTCAAGTCCGGTGTGTGGGAGCATTTCCGACAGTTTCATAGAAGTTGAAGACAAGTAATTGAACGAGAGTTACTTTAAAAACTCTAAAATTAGTTTGAAGGGAACCAAAGACATAACCTAGAGCTTCATCTGATGATTATGAGATCATATCATCATGCGTTTTGTTTTAATTTTTTAGTAAGAATACAATGTTGAAAAGTGGCATGTTGAACACCTTTTCAGTCTTTCACTGTAAATAATGGCCAAAACTTTCGGGGACTCAGTGGCCGAGTATTTAATATTGTTTACTTCAAAACACTTTCCCCTTCACGTTGTAGGTTCGAAGTGAGCCAGGAACTTTGGATATTTTACATCGGTGGTTCTACTCAGATGCTTGTTCGTGTTTGAAATAATTCACGTGGGCATCTGAGGTCTTCTTCCACTTCTAAAGCTGGAATGTCTCCATACAACTTATACTGTGTTGTTGCAACCTAAAACCCAACTAAATATATATTAAAAAATATAACCAAAACTTACTCCGACACCCATGGAATATTATGGCCGTCCTTATTTGTACCTGCAATGTGCTGGTTGCTGAGTGTAGACATTTAAGTAGCAACGTGATGTAAATAACAATATTATTTAATAACATTACAGCAAAAATAACGAAATGTTTCCGGTTCTACTCAAGTGCCCGCACTTATCAACCAATACAACGAAAGAGCACGCACATGAGATCTTTCTCCACCAGAAAAGCTGAAAAGTCTCTACATGCAGGACTCTGACATTGTCGGCGTAATTTCAACACCCTTTCAAACAGATGACTTATATTTGAAATCAAATTTCAACTGTAATTTATCGAGTGACACCTCGTTCGTTTGATTTGTACCATTTAACATTATAATTAAAGATACTTGCTGCTGCACTGAGGATCGAATGATTATCTCTTGGCTTTTGGTTTCCATGTTTTAGACTTATATTAGTCTATTAAGGTCATCCAAACTGTAAATAAATCATTGCTTCTTTAGTCTGAATTTTGGTATTTGGTGAAAATTTAATCCATTTGTCTATAGTGATAATACACCGAAAAAATATGTTTGGATTTTCACTTCGTAATAAATCAATATCAATAAATCAAGTTGCACACGTGCGGGTAATTCTAAAGTAAAAATCCTTATAAGTTGTTTCCGTTTCTATAACAATATTCATTCTTTATTCGTTACGAGATGTAGTCTGTTGTAATGAAGTTTAGAAATTTTAATAAGATGACATGTTAAAGCAGTCTTAAGAAGTTCAATGTTCCTTAAAAAATCTTTACTGAATAGAGGTCTTACTATAAAAGCTTTGTATCGGTTTACTTAAATCGTGGCTAATAAAGTTTCACTTTAAACCTGCGACCCACTAAAATACCGTGTCATAGTTCTAGGACTGAGGTACCGGACTGCTTACACATCTTCTGCTAGGAAAGTAATACTTCAGCCTTGATAATGGTAAAGTTGATACTAGTATTCCACACTCATTCTCACTTAAGTACGACATTTCATAAATTCTAGAACTGAAAAATGAATTTTCTTGTGTATCAAAATTTTATTGCATTCCAAAATTATAAGTATCTCGACATCTTAAATATAAAATGTTACCAGTACAGATGTCCTAGATTTTTCCCAATGACAGGTTTTCTAGATAGAACCAGAACATAAATTTCGTCATTTTCGAGACACTGGTCCTTAAATTTGTGCATATGGTATGGCGATTTTATTTTGTCTCTTTAAATAAACTTTCTATCATCTTTTTATATGAACATCTGGAAATGAGAAACAATCATTGAACTGACAAAAAATACATTTTTTTAAAACAACTCATGGAAATTCATTTCATATCGCATATGCTTAAATCTCATTTTCAAAATGAATAACCTTACAAAATCCACAGATCCATACAATGGACGAGTAAGAAAATGTGAAAATTACTGACGAATTCTTGGAAGTACCTACTTATTTATTATTCAATTGTCAAATGTGAAATAATTTACGTCATCTCATATATTGACAATTTATTAAGGACTCGTAAATGATTTTTCAATTGTCCCGTAAGTGACCCAGTCTCCAGATGCTATGGATTGACAGAAAAAAATGAAAATACTTTGAATTATATATTTATAATGATTGAAGATTAACTAAAATTTATTTATGAACTTGAGCAGATATTCTTTTGGCAATGTGGGCCATGTTAACAATATTTAAATATTGAACTGAAAATAGTAAAAAAATTAGTATAAAGGTCGTATAAATGGTCTTAGAAGTTCAACAAAATTGCTAGATTTGCATAAAATACTAGTTAGTGTAAACGAAAACAATAGTACGTATCAAAACAAATATTTTTTCTCATAGAAATATCACTTTCATTGAGAAAATCACTGTTTTATTATTTTCTTTCGCTCTGGTCATTTACGGGACAAGTCAATCTTATTACTATTATCTTATAATTGATCTGCAAAACAATGTACAGTATGTTTGTTTAAACAGATATTAAGTATCTAGATAAACTAAATTATTTTATATCAAGATGCATGGAAAGTCATTGTCCATTTAACCTAAACATCTATGAAAATGTTATAAAATTTTCAGAATGTATTTCATTAAAGACAAATACTAGTTAGTTCTCATATTCAAAAATTAATTTAACCAGTTACGGGACAGTTCAGCCAGATACGGGACACGCCTGTTTTCACGTTTTCTTGATTTTTGTGATTGAAGTATAAGTTTGAATGTATTCGTATATGAAAGTAAGTATCCATTGAACTCTAAAATAGTCAAAACGCCTGAATACCAATTTCAATATCAAAATTATGATTTTAGAAGCTATCTGCAAGTGAAAAACACATTTCAGATGCGTATGTTTAAAAAACATGGATACTTCTTTGTTTTCGTGGAAGAATACTATTCCAACAATACCAACGTCCATTAACAAGTTGAAATAATTCAACAAATCTAGCAGAATAAATCACAAGGGAATGTGGAAGAGAGGGAGTCCCGTAAATGATAGGCTCGTAAATGTTGAAAATTTCTGTTTGACAAGGGAATTTTATGAGAAATTGTGGAATGGTTTACTTGAATGACAGAATATAAGCTAGACAAATATCCGCTCTACATATCTGAAGTATTATAACATTGAAATAATTGAAAATATATTGCAAAACGCATGGTATTGATGAGCCTCGTAAATGGTTTTCTAAAAATTACGCTTGTAAAATCCAAATTAACGTTTTTTTAACGATTTATTTTCGTTATATCAAAAACAGTTTTATATGTTAAAATCTGCAATAGAATAACGGAAATAAGCTTTGTTTACTGTTAACCACGACTTTCTGAACGAAGATACGTGCAATGAAACATATTTCGATTTAGTTGAAGACATGCTGTTTTTCGTACCCCTTTCTTGCAAAAGCGATTGTCACTAGCAAAATCAAACCGATAGGCTAGTAAACTTGCGCTCAAATTAAATCTTTGATGTAGTACCAATTGTTAAAACATTTTACAAGAATGTTCGGGCTTATATATCTTCACAAATTTTCATAGAACATTGAAGACATGGAATGTCGTACTTAAGTGAGAATGGGTGTCCAACGGATGTTAAAATGTCGATTAGCAGGCTGACGGACGCACGAACAATGTACACCATCCTGTTAATGTAACTTCGAGTTACACATAAAAATGAAAATTTGAGATATTGATTAAGATGCATGTACAATGTATTTTATATGTGAATATAAAAGCGATAATATTTTCATTTAAAGAAGGAAACACGTGAAGATACTGCATTGTACAAAAAAAACCATATCGATCTTATTTACCAAACTTCATCGAGTATATCCAGTAACGCAGGAATGTGAAAATAGCAGGCATTGTGCAAAAATAACGTCGAATTTGTGCATATCTATGACGGAAACAAACGACTTAACAATCAAACTGAAAGAAATAATTTAGCGCATACGGCTGCTAAGAGATCGTATTTTAACCAGCATTATACCAGAGACAATCTCATAATATGTACATGTATATGTCTCTGATTAATGATTATACATATTTACCAATCGGAACGGACCGCATATTTAAACTTTTTTTTTAAAGATTATTTGTGAGAAATGACGATCTGGCTACCGTTCGGGCGGCGACTTTTGTGTTCCGTGGTTGTTTATAAGTGCAATAAAAGTTGCTTTCGATTTTCGGTGTTCCTAACTTACTCACTGAATTACTAGTGTCATATTATTTTGAAAGGAAGCAGATAAAATGTGAATGCGATTCAAACAGCTTTTATGAGGTAACCAGCGTTGCCTCGGTGCATCGTTCACAAAATCAGCGGTACCTCATAAAAAAGAGCTTTTATCACATTTTATGTGCAAATATCAGTTAATTTGGAACGAGTAATTTGGCAAATGTCGTATATGTATACTGGATAAAAAAAAACAAAGTTTAAAAGATATAAATATATATGCGTCATTATATAAATAAATATCGAAGAAACACAAAAGTTGCCTTCAGTACGGTATAGCCAGGTCACCATTCTCAAAAATGATCCTGAAAAGTAAAAAAAAAATACTGAAATATTTTAATGAGGTTTAAAATATGATGTTTTAGCAGCCGTACACACTAAATCCTTTCTTTTCAATTTTACATACATTGTATATATATATAATGTACTTGCAAAATGTATTGACCGTCGGCATGGACATAGATTTGCATAATTCAATGTTACTATTGCACAATTAACGCGTTATTTTCACATTCCAGCTTTTCTGGATATATATACACGATAATTTACATTATTTCCATTATCTTTAACATCGCGTTCAGTACACGGTTTAAAATTGCACACGACACCTTTACTAAAAAAAAAAGAAAAAAAAAAAGAAAACGAAAACAAAATACAGAAAAAGAGGTCAACAATTTATTACATGTTTATTTCACAGCTTTGCAACCACAGCAGACGTAACAACAAATTTACAAGTATTCAATAATGGGCGCCAGTGCCAACCTGGCTTTTCAGCCCTTTCCGTCAATCTTCGGATGAATAATAGCCGAGGATGTTCCGATTGCGCCAGTGCTAAACAAGAAAACCGGAACATAATGTGTATCTGTATAAGGTAACCGCGGCAAGAATTGTTTGATCAATTACTTTGCAATATTTTGCAAAATAAAGTAAAGTTCCCAACAAAATGGTAATCTCTGAGACGCACGTTCCAGCGTGCAGTTTATATAAATAGTTTTCATTGATGTTGCTTTCTGATATTGTAACAGAAAATATAATTATTGTACAAAAGAATTGCAATCGTAAAAATGTCCCCAATATGAGAAAACATTGCTATGAAAATTGTAATCAAATCAGAGAGCACGAGACTTGTGTTTATGAGGGTGATAGCACACAAGCAATTGGAATGACGTCCCTTATAACGTAGCCTCACAAATATACGGATGTTTCGAAAGTGATCGATCTCCCCAGCTTACATAAATTTCGTACTTCCCTGGATGCGCAACTTCGTAGGAAATTTCATACAAGTTGTCGCCCGTGTATATAACAGACGTTTCCGTGACTGAATAAGATCGAGGTCCGGATATAGTTACCGCTAATGAACCGGGAGTAGGGTTTTCAACCCAGACCTGGAATCAAGAATAAATATACTAGAATATGTAAATAAAAACAAAATAAACACCGTCAAAAAATGACAAAAAATGTTCATAAATTTATTACATTTAACGGTTTTAAACGATTAAAAGCTTTAAGGTTTATGAGGCATATCATTGGGGATGGGGTTGGAGTATTTTGTAAGAATTTAGGTGGGATTTAGGTCAACGTCACTATTTATACTACCTGAAATGAGTTAGTTCCCCCAACCGTGCCATACCGAAGTCCCGCCCCCGCAAGACGGAATATCGTCTGCTCACCGGTATTTGTCCCCAAAGAAATGACGTCACCTAACATCGCGACATTGTTAGGTTCCACGTCATCGTGTAAATGTGAATGGTCAAAACTTGAAAACATGTCGAAATATGTTGACGATCTAATAGTACCGTCAAGTGTTGAGTGAACAGAAACGTTGTTGATAGGTTCTTTTAGACTTTTTTCAAATTTATCAATTTCAAAGTTAGAAAACCCATCAACAATTGCTTGTTCTTCTTTGGTTTCTTTTGTTCCTCTATCTCTTTGAGTGTCATTTATTTCGTCGCAAGACAGTCCGCTTAAATCACTGTCAATAAAATCGTTGTCGTCTTGTGACTCAACATTTTCATCGCTAATTGATATGACGACATTTTCATCTTGCCAATGTGTTATCTTTGCTGCCGGTGTTTCCTCGGACATATCATCGGATGTTTCATCCGTGGGGCACAGATTTTGAAAAATACCAATCTGTGATAAAAAGTCGTTTCTTGATGACTTTGAAACACCAAATCCACAATAGTTGCTGTCAACGCTGGTAAGAGTGCCAACCTGATTTTTCCACATCTTAGTGGTATATCGTGTGGGACATTTTTCAACAGTCCCCTCATTGAAATCAACAGGTTCGGTACCTGCAGTTGATTTATCGTTTTCTTTAGAGTTCAAGGATTGGTCCGTTGATTTTTCATCCTGCAACTTTGCTTTTGAAAATTTATGTTTACGCGACAATATTTCCTTAATTATTTCTTTGAATTCTTTGCGAGCTTCGGAAATTCCATCTTCGTCCTCAGTTTTAGATACCGTCAAGTCAAAGGTAAAATTTTTCCTTTGCAATCGTTTCCTTCTATCGTGTAACTCTGAATCGGACAAGCTAAAAGAATCCTCTCTGTTAATACGCCTATGCCGTCGTTTCGTCTGCTGTTTGTTGGTATCGTTAGGCACGTGCAACTCATCGTCTGCGTCATTTCCGGTTTCTTTATGTTCAAGAGATACACTCTGACTGCTGTTACTATTTACTAAACTCGGCTCAAACGCAATTTGAGGACCGCGATATTGTCGCCTGTAGAGACGAACGTGGCCATTGCCTGTAAAATAACAAACATAAGAAAATTTCTAACCCAAGTTTCAATAAGACATATTAATATTAATAAATATATTCATTTTAAAATATATAACGTAAACAACGGATTTCTAGCGAGTCCAAACAGTGCCTAGGAAATCCATATTGGACTACGTTAAGCCGAATTTTTATTTTTTTAGTCCAAACAATCGGAAACTTGAAAATAAAAACATACTGTATATACAAAATATAGCAGTATGTATCTATATGTTACATATGGCACATTTGTTATGGAAGACTTTATCATCGTTAATCACTTACCAGACAGAACATTTGGCAGACTAAATCGACCATGTCTGTTAAAATTTGCCGGAATCTGGCTGTCGTCGAATCCACTGTCGACCGTTTCCATGGTGTATTGTCGAACAGGAGCCAGTCTGTTTGGACTGTTTAATAAATTGTTCCTCTCAAACCAAGCGTTCACATTTCTAAAGTTTTCATTATTCAACTGTTCCAACTGACCATGTAGTTCAAGGTCACTTGAAACCCTCTTGTTGTTTAATGAAAGATACGGTCGTCTCGGATAATCTCGGTCGTCACGTGGGCTTAATGGAACTTGCAGACGATTGCAGTCTGGTTCTGTGTCATCTTTTGTCATGTTTACGCGCGGATGAATTCTATCCATGCCTTCAACAGGTTTTGATACTAACTTATTAGCTGGACTGGTGACATTACTTTCAGATGGTATCTTTATACTTATCTTGCGTAGAAGCAAGTAAACGCCTTCTAAAAGATCCCATCCCGTTTCTTTGGTGATTTCACTGTGTGACACTTGTGTGAATTTGTCAATTTTAGCCTTTGGTATAACAATAGTTACTTCATTTTTGTTTTCAGTGTTGTTTTCTGCATCAGAATGAACGTAGATACTTCTAAAAGCACGAAACTGACCACTGGTATTAGAACTTGAGCTCTGCAGATCAGAGCTTTTCTTATCATCCGAGGAGTGATCTGTCTTTACCGATGAAGAATCAGCACTGCTCTTTTGACAAAAGATTGTCGTCTGCCGTGTTAAACTGCCGCGTTGACTCAAACCAGAAGGTGTTTCCGGGACTTGGCAATCCGCGATATTTACTTCCTTCTTTGCCGAAATTCCGGCTAATGTACCGGGCAATTTGGCGCATTTTTCATAGTCATTCAGATCTAAAATACCAAAGCTAAATCTTGTATCATTTTCTTTCACCGGTTTCGCTATTTCAGAAATGGTGCCAACTGGTTCACCTTCATTTTGTTGGACTGGACTCGCTTCTTTGTCGTATTCGGGCACAGGGATAGCACAATCAACATTCTGACACGTATTCAAAAATTCGTTTAAACTTTTAGGTTCATCGAAATCTTTATCCATACCTTCAAAACTTTTAATCGAATTTATCTTCTGAAGACTTTTAATGAGACCTTTGATCGAATCTTCACTGGTAAGATCTCGTTTCCAATACTTGCGCATGATCGGAAGTGACTGAGACGCTCGCAGCTTTATTTTCCCCGGAAGTGCTTGATCACCAAAATCTTCGCTAAACGCTTCACTGTCCAAGGAAGTGCTGGTTTGATTTACGGCTTTTTCACTGATGTACATGCACGCCTTCTTCAAACTGCTAGAGTGAAGTAACTTGAGATTTGGACTCGATGGTTCTGCTTGCAATGAAATACAAAAGATATTAATAATAATTTCCATTAATTCAAAAAATGTAAATTTAAGTTGATTGCACGAATGTAAGACAGTGTTTATATGAAATTCATTTTGATCTTATTTTCCACTAAGAATGAAAATCAAAACTGAAATATTTTTCAGACCTAAAAATAAAAAGTACAAAACAGCATGTTACATATATTCATGTATATCAGACTAGTGCTATTTTAGCAAAAAATCAGCACAAGTACTATTGTGCTGAAACGGAATTATAACTGAACATACCACACTCATCATTATTTTGCTTATCTTCAGAGGAAAACTCGGAGCTCGTGTCGGAAAGGTCACACGTTGCCATGGATACCATACCCCGGCGAAGTTTGTATATTGGTCCATCTGATGTTGTTCTTTTAGCGACAGCTTTGTAAGGATGGTGTATCGAAGTTGTCCTTGAAAAGAGATTAAATCATTTTTGTCATTTTTGTTTTTTATTTAGTATCTTGGGGCCTAGGACTTAGCTGTTTTGTTTACTTAAATACATGTTTTACTTACACATCATTTGAATCTATATTTTGTTTTTGCTTTACTCGCAAAAGAATTATTAAGTACCAGTTTGTTACAAGTTATGTGACGGACAAACGTACAGACAGACAGACAGACGACGGGGAAATGATCCTTAAATTGTATGTTGCTGCCTCTCTAGCTGTACATAGCAGGCGACACAAAAAGTGTCACGCAATTTAGAATAAAAGCTTACGTCAAAACTTAGCTATACAAATAATCAGAATGTAATTGGGAAAAAACCATCAAGAAGGAATGTCCGAACATCAAATATGATATTGAATACTTACCTTTTTAAAGCTGAACGCTTTGCAACTCTGTCGGCGTTATATACACCTTGTTCAAAAAGCGTCAACTTTTGATCTGGCGCATGCTCCGTGATATTATTCACTTCCGGTCGTTTTTCATTGGTCGGACTGCTCTGATCATCACGGTCATCCAGACGATTGAATTCATCCAGTTCTGTACATTTATACTTTATAATTTGCGGTGATTCTGTAGGTGACCGGTCTTTGCTTCCAGCATGGTCACTGTCTTTAGAACCTTGTCGCTCCTCTGGCACAGTGTTTAATACTGAAGAATGGGACTTTCCAATCGAAGAAGTTTGTGTATTTGTCACCGTTTCGTCTTTTTCATTTCGGTGGTGCCTGGAATATACAAAGAAGAAGATTTGTCGCATTAATGAGTTTCTTTTCTTTCTTTTGTTTGTTTGTTTCTTTGTTTAAATCTTTCATGTCGCCTTTCCAGTAAAAAGAAATCAATGAAATAAAAGTAATATGTATAAATCAGTATTTGTCATGTATGGACCTGCATATAAGATTAAATCGAAGATGAAAATAGCATGTCTTGAGCTTAAATAAGTTGTTTGATATCAGCTAGAATGCATGCTAATTAAATATATATTGATTTCAGCTTAACACGTGCACTATATTAGAAAACGTATCGTAGATAAAATAAAATTAGTGAGACTGATTTATTCTGTTTCTATAACGGTGCATTGTCATTTGTGATTTAACCTTTAGGTACCGATGCCTTGTGCTAATCAATGATAAAAATCGTATGGCACAATGAGATATTTCGGATCTTACTGTCATACTCCTGTAAAGATTTTGGGTGAAATAAGAGGTATTCTAAAATTACTTAATAAGAATTAAAATTCGGAACATCTCGTCTATTGTCCAGGCCCCTAAGTTTTATATTCACGACTGCTGTCAATTTATGAAGATATTTCACTTCTTTCTCTAAAAAAGGAAGTTTGCTGTTTCATAAATTCGTTATAAATGTCTTTGACAGGTTACATGGACGTATATCAACGGTTGTTTGCAATATAACCCTCGCCTAGCGGCTGTGGTTATATTTACAAACAATCTTTTATATAGGGGCATATATAACCCATAAAAAAAATATTTGCAACTGATAAATTATGTAATGATACCGGATATATTCTTCATATCCCACGTCCCACACTCCCCTACCACAACTAACTAAACATAAACTAAACAAAACAAACGACAACAAAACAAAAGGAACAAAGGACAACGAAACAAACAACAAAACAAAACAAAACAAAAGTTTTCCTTGTTATATACAACAATATATACCTCACATCTTCGTCAGAATTATCCGTAATACTTGATTGTCGAGATAGTGAAGGCGATATCGCCTCTTCAATTACAATATCTTCACCATTTCTAGTTATAATCCGTCTTAAAACCCTTCGTCTGGTGACAGTGAGTTGTCGCCCCTGAAAATTATTTCAATTAAGTTATCTCATCATTATAGTTATCTCATCATTATAGTTATCTCATCATTATAGTTATCTCACGAATTTTGTATATACTTCTTTCCATTTTTCTATCATGACGAAACAATACAATCATATATCGTTATTTCTAACTTTAGGTGCATTAAGGTGTAAATACAATACAACATGGGCATATACTTTATCCAGATACAACAAGACTTGACAAACTCCCGGTAGCACTTGGTATTAGTGGGGAGTCAATAATAGAAAATTTCACGTAGCTGCATTATAGTCCTCATACATGCTTTGTTTCATTTACATAAAAAAGTTTCATTCTAAAATGATATACATCTACATGTATTCATTTATTGATTTTAGAGATCAGTAAAATATATTTAATCTTCAGAAACAAGTGTATGGAAAATGTAAACAGGTCTGTTTCACGGATTATATAAGACTAAATATTTACCTGAGTTATTTTGACAGAACGTATTTATCACGAATAATGAGACTGATTGTCTCCGTCACGAAAAGTATGACTGAATGCCTTTATCACGAAAAGTAAGAACAAATGTCTACGTCACAAAATATCAGTCGGAATGTCTACGTCTTGTTAAAGAGTTATAGACCCTTTCATTTAAGACCGTATTCAAGTTGTCGCCCTTGGATGACGTCATTGGGGGATACGGTGGACAATGCCGATACGATTAAGTACAATAATAGAGATATAAAGATCTTAATCCTTTCTCTTATAAGATTGGCAGATTGAAATTGCCAAAATTTTGTGTAATTGAATAAAGGATATACATAAAAAGGATGGTGAAATGAAATAAATATGTTTACTATAATTTGTTTTAATAGTAGACCATATTCCTGGGTAACTGCATGATCATGATTACCATTTTCGTTAAAGATTCTTAATAATAAAATTTTACCAGGCGGTTAAATCGTACTAACTTGCTTATACCAGAGATATAGATAATGTATCTATGTCTCTGCTAATATACAATACCCAAAAAGTATTTTCAGTTCAAAAATGTAAGGATTCTGTATTTCGAAAAACGGCTGCGTAATAATTAATTGCAGATACTGGTTTATTAAAAATTATTTTGATTTAACATTACTAAGACAAAGAGAAGAAAACAATATAAATCTATGTAATTTCAAAAAAAAAATGTTAAAGGCATAAAAAGTAAAAATTCTTTTGAATGTACATGACTGTATACTATTTGTGTCCGCAAAAAATGCCACTCTCGGAAAAAATCGACATCACACCAATATATTTAAGCTGTAAAGTAATTATTTTCAACTTGAAACCTTTTAATTCATACTCTGCTTATTAAATATAAAAAAAAACAACAAAAAAAAAAACCAAATTGTGAAACACATTCACAGAAATTCGTTATTAAAACTGAATTATAATTTTAACGTATTTTTTTTGACCTGTGCCAGTTGGTAGGACTCTGGACTCGAGTATCAAATCAGTAAGGCCATGACCAATAAAGTCCCTAGGATGATCCATAACCAAAAATTCGGACCATAAATATTTTTGACAACTAACAAAAGTGACGTAATCTGATGTAATGTTATAACTCTAAAAAAATGCACCCTGGTGATTTATGATATCACAGCCAAGTGCCGCTTGTATATACAACATATGCACCCTGTTAATTAATATGTTACGGCCCAGGGGTCAGTATCTCGAAGCTATCGTTAGCATAACGACTGTCGTAAGCCTCTCGTTAAGGTTTTTACTGGTATCTCGAAACATCTCGTAATTAACGAATAATCGTTAAAATGCCCAATTATTAACGGTTTGCGTTGAAGGTGTCGTATAGCTCTCGTTCTATCACTTTGGCACAAAAGGAAGAATACTTCGAATTTAAAATACACAAAAAAATAGAGAATTATATCACCTTATTGATAAAATGATGAACCTACATAAATATGATATTTTATTTCCTTTTCTCACATATCAAACATATGTAAGAGCTCTTTTAGTTTACATGAAGATGTATATTTAAATGCAGATGAAAAAAAATCATATAATAACTGAAACATCGAAAGGAATAAACTCTGAATGTGTAATTTTGCACAAGACAATATAAATAAATATTTGCATGTACATAATGTTAAAAATGTAACAAAATTCAGTACTTTTTACAGAATTATATTTCGAAAAGTTACCTGTGATGTAATTGATTTAATGACATGAACAAAAATGCATTACGTTACGCTAGGCAAAAATCAGTACAACAGATAGGCATGAAATATATGAAATTTTGTTTGTTTAACGTAACAGATTGAAAAATTTTGCTCTTGCCAAACACCAGCGTTAAATATTTTTACTTGCTATATTTTAAATTTGTAATACATAATACTTTCTTAATCCTTTGTTAAAGACAAAATGAAAATTTATCCATAAAATTAACAGAAGGTTTATATAAAAATCTGGAAACAAAATGATCCCTCGCGAAGCATTAATCACAACAAAATTACAAGAGAACTGCTGACTCGGTTTGATTGAGTCTGTACATGAGGGATAATGAATACGTGCAACATCCCTCACGTCCCCTAGCACCGGCTTGAGCGGTACTCAATTCTCAAACACTTAATAGTGCTGGCATCAATGATCCCGAAGGACCAGAAAAATATAACAACACTGAAGTGAAACATAGTGAAATCCACTGAAAATAATATTTTTTTAATATTAGACAGGTTGCGTGACCTTATATAAACGGTTGTTTGTAAATATAACCCGAGCCGTCAGGCGAGGTTTATATTGCAACAACCGTTTTTATACGGCCATATAACTTGTCAGGAATATTTATAACGAATTTATAAAGCTTCGAAATCGGAAGTTTCTTTTAAAGAGTAAAATTTAAGATTTCCAGCTCGTGAAAATATATGGAAATTTATCATGTTTCGTGAACATATTCTATATTTCACTCAAACGAAAAACATCTTAATATTTCTTTTAAAACTTAACCCATTCTCGCTGTCGTCGTTGTATCATCATCATTTATCATAGAAATAATCATTGTCACCGGTATATCACGATCGTTTTTTAACTTACATAAGAAAAAAGAATTCTAGATTAATTATGGTGAGATAAAGCGTTTACATTGTATACTAAGCCGAGTTATGGACTAACTTGAATCTTAATTTATTGTCCTGATATGTGTTTTTAAATGTTTGTTTGTTTCAATTTACGCCTTTTCCCAACAGTATTTCAGTCATATAGGCGGGTAGTTTCCTAACCATCGTTCCTGGAGAGTTACACCAGTACTAGACTACCTTCCTCCGCGCTAAACTACCAAAGCATCTCCCGGGGATCGAACCTACGCCAGAGAGGTAACTGGATTAGAAGTCATCGACTTTAACCCCACGACCACGGAGGTGTTTTTAAATAAACAGACTGCTAGTATTCAAAATAGACATTATGACGACTGAATGTTTGCTATTTACATTCATTTAGATATTTGCAATTCAAATATTTCATCCATGAAAGCAACATTTTTCAAGTTTGAATCTTGAGAGTATACTTACACCATGAAACATGTTAATTTCTGTAGCCTGAAAAAAATGAGGGAGAGTATTGAGAAGAAGCTCGGCCAGAATATTTGTTTTGACTTAGTAAAATGTTTAAAATGTCTAATTTCCACTTGCAGCCTTTACTGCACAATCGTCAGTCTACAGTCGTTTTCCCTCAGTTACTAGTCTTGCTGTTTCTATTTTAAGTTTTTACCTTTCAATAGTAATCACGTCAGTTTCATAGGAATTTTAAACATTTGCAATTTTTCTTGGTTTACGTTTTGTTACGACCATTCCTTCCTGCTTTAACACACTGTTCGCGGTATTCAAATGTTTACATAATTCAATCGTTAATAACTAACGAGTAAGGAACGAACGATTGCTTAACTATCGCTTTCGAGATACCCGCGCTAGTCTCTCGTTAACCAACCTTCCGTCAATCGTTAGTACGTTCGTAAACGCAAATATAACGATAGCTTCGAGATACTAACCCCAGTGTCGCTTAAATATACACATCTATTTATCTATGAAATAAGTTACTTGGAGAAGGTCTTTAAAGAATAGATTTTTATTATCAAAATTATCTTATTATCGTCTGTTGCGAATCTAATATTATAAAAGTCAATGCCACATGGTTTTCTTTCTTTATATTTATAAAATTATATCCTTCACTGCATGGTTCTTTGAAATATTTTTCATACGGCATAATGAAGTATTGACAGAATGCATTCTGCTTTTGTTCTATTAAAGCTTGAAAAACAATCGTTAAAAGACATTGGCAATCTTATTTTCAGGTTTGTCACAAATACGCCGGAATTTTTTAAATGATAGAAAATAACACAGAAAACTAGAAAATGGCCATTTAAATTTATAATAGGCAATTTCAGTGTGTATGGGTGTTTATAAACTATTAAAATTTGATTTAGTTCCTGGCATTAGAATAAATCTAGAGCCAATAGATATATTCACTTTGAAATTTCGCTGTTTCACTCCGTAGCGAGAATTAATCTCAATCTTTGTTTTTGTATTTTTTTCTATTGTCTTGATATTAAATTTATGTATGCATGCGTAAATTTTTACATGTTATAATCATAACTGAACGATCAGTATTTACGTATTTAACTTTTCGATAAGCTATCTTTCTATGCGGCATGCATAGTTTTATCCCCCATTTACGTCACATCCGGTAAGGGAAGTAACTCTTCACTGACTGTTATCGCTTAAATGAAAGGGTCTATAAGACTGGACCTACGGTATACGTCATGAATAATAAGGCTAAATATCTACGTCAAGAACAATGATACTGAATGTCTACATCACGAATAATGAGCACGAATGTCTACGTCAAAGACAATGAGACTTAATGTTTACATCACGAAAAATATGAGACAAAATTTCTTCATCACAAATAATAAATCTGAATATCTACATCACGAATAATAATTTTGAATATCTACGGCACGAATGATTTACATGTACTTTACGTCACGATTAATGCGACAGAATGTCTTTCCACAAATAACGAGACTGAACGTCTATGTCATAAAAAGTGAAACAGAATGTTTTCGTCACGAATGATATGGCCAAGAATTATTACGTCAGGTATAATGAGGGTGAATGTCTACCTCACTTATAATGAGATTGAATGCTGCATGAATGCTCCGTCACATTTTAACGGGACCTAATGTTTATGTTACATTAAATGGGACAGAATGTCTACGACACTAATAAACATACTTAATCTTCATGTCACGAATAATGGGAAACAATATCTACGTCACTAATAATGATACTGAATGTCTACGTCACAAATAATGAAATTGAATGTCTACGTCACGAATAACGAGACTGAATGTCTACGTCACGAATAACGAGACTGGATGTCTACGTCACGAATAATGAGACTGGATGTCTACGTCACAAATAATGATAAAAAATATCTACGCCATTAATAATTAGACGTAAGTTACCTTGCTGTAAGCCTTTGCTTTAGCCATCGCTGAAAGGGATCGGTTAGCTTCGTGTCCATTATGCGACACGAACTCTTCAGGGACATCTGGATGGTCTAGGGCGTCGGCACTGTGGCTTGAGAACGACAGTGAGTCATAAATGACTCGTTTCTCCTGGGCACCTTTCAAGTTTTTCGTAGAGACGTTCGATGCTTTATATACCTAAAATATGAAACATGCATTTGATGCAATGACTTCCGAATTACATCATTATTACATACTGCAATGGTACTCAGAATGCAAAAACATGCAAGTGGAATTGTTTTCATTGTTGAATGTATATGTTATATTGTCATGTAATATTATATGAGCCGCGTCACGACAAAAACCAACATAGTGCGTTTGCAACCAGCATGGATCCAGACCAGCCTGCGCATCCGCGCAGTCTGATCAGGATCCATGATGTTCGCTATCAGTTTCTCTACATGTAATAGGGTTGGTAAGCGAACAGCATGGATCCTGATCAGACTGCGCGGATGCGCAGGCTGGTCTGGATTCATGCTGGTCGCAAACCCATTATGTTGGTTTTGTCGTGACACGGCTCATATCATTTATGTTTGTATGTTAACGTGAACTTCGTTACAGTAGACACTTCTCAAAAATAACACAATTGTTCGTCTTGCCATGCCTTTTGCAAAACTGTTTTGTCGAGTTTTGTGCAAATTAAGGTCAAGACTGACTACCTTTATTCTGAAGGGACTATTTTCTACGTGGTGGTTTTGCCACTTTACAGCCACTGCATGCATTCCCGCCATCCGCGGCACAAACGTCACGTAAAAAGTTCCCTCTTCTCCGCACTGAATATCAAAATAAATGGGCTCGGTGGTTTCAGCGTCGTAACGAGCGGGGATCTTTTTCCTCACAAATGTATTACCTGCAGATTAACGAATAACACGGTAAATGACCATGGCCAAGAATAAGTGATATTTTATTTTATTTTGAGTAGTTTTGTCTTCAAACTGTATAAGATGTTCACAATAATATGCCATATCTATCTCAACTCTTGGAGCGTGAATATGAATGCCCTTTGAATAACATCGCTGAATATGTACAACGAAACGGTTATATTTTTCATAACTTTACATTTAATTATAACCTAAGCTCAAATCTTATTCACAGACAAATTTTATTAGAATTTAATTGTGGTTGAAAGAATCTTTCATGTTTTTCTCTATAAGCACTTCAGATTCAATGAAAATGTGATTCATTTGGTAGTCTTTGCTGTTCCGCACAAACACCAATGAAACCAGTTTTCAACAATCGGTTATACATCTTTCTCTAGGGCTATCCGAACAACACTATCCGACTAGCGTAAAGAACGCCGGTAGTTCTAAGGCACACCTTGGCTAGTCTGAAACAATGCATATGCAGGAGGGAGGGCACCAATTGTCTTCTTACACCAGGAACTTTATTTGTCGTCGTGCAAGCTTAACAATGATAATAAAAAAAATCCTACCAATCAATCGCTACATTGTAGAAACTTTGTGTTTATATATCTTTATTCATAAAAACATAATACATGTACATGTAATGTCTCTTATAAAAATGGACTATCGGTCGGAGGACTGAATTGGAAAAAAAGAAAAATAAAGAACGATGCATCAAGCTACCAACCTGCACAGTCTTCTAAATATTTGATATTTTCAGACTGAGGAACGTCAAAATCGAAGGATTTGTCCAGTAAAGCTTTTGCCTGGTGGAGTGATACTATCCTCTCGCAACAGAACTCATGATTTGGTCCTCGCACTTCAATAAGAAGGTTGAACACCCCTATTGTATCTGACACAAGCACAGTGAACTTTGACCTTTTATCCACAATGCCGCTCTTCAAACCGGAACCTTTCGCAAAGCACCTTCCGGTTTTAGCAGCAATTAAACTTTCGTGCAGGGACGACCATTTTTCTTTGATGTTTTGTGATGCCCATTTCACCATTGATATGTACTGTATTATTTTGTTTTCTGTAGTCTTATTTGCAATAGCCAGTTCCTCGGCGGATATAAGATCCTGTTTAATATATATCAATAACAAAATAAGTGAAATATAAATTTCTAAATAATGTAAATAAGTATCATTTGATTTCTCTGTCTGTTTTATGTCACTTTATGATTTCTCTATCAGTTATATGTCATTTTATGATTTCTCTGTCTGTTATATGTCACTTAATAATTTCTCTATCAAGTATATGTCATTTTATGATGTCTCTATCTGTTATATGTCACTTTATGATTTCTCTGTCTGTTATATGTCACTTACTAATTTCTCTATCAAGTATATGTCATTTTATGATGTCTCTGTCTGTTATATGTCACTTAATAATTTCTCTATCAAGTATATGTCATTTTATGATGTCTCTGTCTTTTATATGTCACTTAATAATTTCTCTATCAAGTATATGTCATTTTATGATGTCTCTATCTGTTATATGTCACTTAATGATTTCTCTATCAGTTATGCCACTTAATGATTTCTCTATCAGTTACATGTCACTTAATGATTTCTCTATCTGTTATATGTCACTTTATAATTTCTCTGTCTGTTATATGTCACCTTATGATTTCTCTGCCTGTTAAATGACACTCTATAATATCTCTATCTATTATAAGTTTTTATGTTATATCTCACTTTATGATTTCCCTATCAGTTACATGTCACTTAATGATTTCTCTATCTGTTATATGTCACTTTATGATTTCTCTGCCTGTTATATGACACTCTATAATATCTATATCTGTTATAAGTTACTATGATTGTTATATGCCACTTTATATGATTTCTCTTTCTGTTTTAAATCAATTTAAATTAAATGTCACTATTTATATCGTATCATTATAATTTCCAGAAATGTTTTGTATTATAATTTCTATATCTGTTTAATTTGTATTATTATAATGTTTAAGTTAGACGCGACGAATGACGATAGACACTGTGATTTACTAAGACACGACAATTGGAGACATGTGAATTGTAAAGACACGACGAATGGCGTTAACGACAATGTGATTTAGTAAGACACGACGAATGGCGTTAACGACAATGTGATTTAGTAAGACACGACAATTGGAGACAGTGTGTATTGTAAAGACACGACGAATGGCGTTAACGACAATGTGATTTAGTAAGACACGACGAATGGCGTTGACGACAGTGTGATTTAGTAAGACACGACGAATGGCGTTGACGACAATGTGATTTAGTAAGACACGACGAATGGCGTTGACGACAATGTGTTTTAGTAAGACACGACGAATGACGTTGAAGACTATGTGATTTTAGTAAGACACGACGAATGGCGTTGACGACAATGTGATTTAGTAAGACACGACGAATGGCGTTGACTACAATGTGTTTTAGTAAGACACGACGAATGACGTTGAAGACTATGTGATTTTAGTAAGACACGACGAATGGCGTTGACGACAATGTGTTTTAGTAAGACACGACGAATGACGTTAAGAGACTATGTGATTTTAGTAAGACACGACGAATGACGTTGACGACAATGTGTTTTAGTAAGACACGACGAATGACGTTGAAGACAATGTGATTTTAGTAAGACACGGCGAATGGCGTTGACGACAATGTGTTTTAGTAAGACACGACGAATGGCATTGACGACAATGTGTTTTAGTAAGACACGACGAATGACGTTGAAGACTATGTGATTTTAGTAAGACACGACGAATGACGTTGAAGACAATGTGTTTTAGTAAGACACGACGAATGACGTTGAAGACTATGTGATTTTAGTAAGACACGACGAATGGCGTTGACGACAATGTGTTTTAGTAAGACACGACGAATGGCATTGACGACAATGTGTTTTAGTAAGACACGACGAATGACGTTGAAGACTATGTGATTTTAGTAAGACACGACGAATGACGTTGAAGACAATATGTTTTACTAAGACACGACGAATGACGTTGAAGACAATGTGTTTTACTATGACACGACGAATGGCATTGACGACAATGTGTTTTAGTAAGACACGACGAATGGCATTGAAGACAATGTGTTTTAGTAAGACACGACGAATGACGTTGAAGACAATGTGATTTAGTAAGACACGACGAATGACGTTGAAGACAATGTGTTTTACTAAGACACGACGAATGGCATTGACGACAATGTGTTTAAGTAAGACACGACGAATGACGTTGAAGACAATGTGTTTTAGTAAGACACGACGAATGACGTTGAAGACAATGTGTTTTACTAAGACACGACGAATGGCATTGACGACAATGTGTTTTAGTAAGACACGACGAATGACGTTGAAGACTATGTGATTTTAGTAAGACACAACGAATGACGTTTGACGACAATGTGTTTTAGTAAGACACGACGAATGACGTTGAAGACTATGTGATTTACTAAGACACGACGAATGGCTTTGACGACAATGTGTTTTAGTAAGACACGACGAATGACGTTGAAGACTATGTGATTTTAGTAAGACACGACGAATGACGTTGAAGACAATGTGTTTTAGTAAGACACGACGAATGACGTTGAAGACAATGTGTTTTACTAAGACACGACGAATGGCATTGACGACAATGTGTTTTAGTAAGACACGACGAATGGCGTTGAAGACAATGTGATTTTAGTAAGCCACGACGAATGGCGTTGACAACAATGTGTTTTAGTAAGACACGACGAATGACGTTGAAGACAATGTGTTTTAGTAAGACACGACGAATGACGTTGAAGACAATGTGTGTTTTAGTAAGACACGACGAATGGCATTGACGACAATGTGATTTAGTAAGACACGACGAATGACGTTAAAGACAATGTGATTTAGTAAGATACGACGAATGGCGTTGAAGACAATGTGTTTTAGTAAGACACGACGAATGACGTTTGAAGACAATGTGTTTTAGTAAGACACGACGAATGGCATTGACGACAATGTGATTTAATAAGACACGACGAATGACGTTAAAGACAATGTGATTTAGTAAGACAAGACGAATGGCATTGACGACAATGTGTTTTAGTAAGACACGACGAATGACGTTGAAGACAATGTGTTTTAGTAAGACACGACGAATGACGTTGAAGACTATGTGATTTTAGTAAGACACGACGAATGACGTTGAAGACTATGTGATTTTAGTAAGACACGACGAATGGCATTGACGACAATGTGTTTTAGTAAGACAAGACGAATGACGTTGAAGACAATGTGTTTTAGTAAGACACGACGAATGACGTTGAAGACTATGTGATTTTAGTAAGACACGACGAATGACGTTGAAGACAATGTGTTTTAGTAAGACACGACGAATGACGTTGAAGACAATGTGTTTTACTAAGACACGACGAATGGCATTGACGACAATGTGTTTTAGTAAGACACGACGAATGACGTTGAAGACTATGTGATTTTAGTAAGACACGACGAATGGCGTTGACGACAATGTGTTTTAGTAAGACACGACGAATGACGTTGAAGACAATGTGTTTTAGAAAGACACGGACGAATGGCGTTGAAGACAATGTGTTTTAGTAAGACACGACGAATGGCATTGACGACAATGTGATTTAGTAAGACACGACGAATGACGTTAAAGACAATGTGATTCAGTAAGATTCGACGAATGGCGTTGAAGACAATGTGTTTTAGTAAGACACGACGAATGACGTTGACGACAATGTGTTTTACTAAGACACGACGAATGGCGTTGAAAGACAAAGTGATTTAGTGAGACACGACGAATGGCGTTAAGGACAATGTGATTCAGAAAGACACGACAATTTGCGTTGAAGACAATGTGATTTAGTAAGACACGACGAATGACGTTGAAGACAATGTGATTTAGTAAGACACGACAATTGGCGTTGAAGACAATGTGATTTAATAAGACACGACGAATGGCGTTAACGACAATGTGATTTAGTAAAACAGGACGAATGGCGTTGACGACAATGTGTTTTAGTAAGACACGACGAATGGCGTTGAAAACAATGTGTTTTGGTAAGGCACGTCGAATGACGTTGAAGACAAATTGATTTAATAAGACACGACGAATGGCGTTAACGACACAGTGATTTAGCAAGACACGACGAATGGCGTTGAAGACAATGTGATTTCGTAAGACGCGACAAATATCGTTGAAGACATATTTAGTGTCAAGCTTTATTTAGCCTTATTATCATTCACTTTATTACACTATGAAGTGCTATGAAAAATAGAAGTCGACTATGGACGGAATTCGATATAGTATCAACTTTTGTTCTTCTACAGCGTTTTCACTGGATGGCAAATAAAGTTGGACACTAATGAAACGATACAGAAGATGATTAAACCTAATACATGTAATAATTTATTATGGCCGGGTGTACCTTAAAATTCGATACATTTGATATGAAGAGAAAGCACCAATAATGATAAAGGTTGCATTAAGATATCTGAATAGATGGTGCACATTGATCAAGGATAGCTTTGTAATTACACGTGCGAACCTTTTATTTCATTTGTGTCACTGTCAACCTTTTCTGGTGTAATATATTATATATACGACTCATCACACAATACTGAGGTTTTTCATCCAGTGCCATATCATACACGGACAAAGAGAAACCTCAACAATGCTGAAGTTTTATGTTCGCTTCTGATGTTACTTAGCAACGCCTAGTGTTATTTTACAATCCATAGAAATTTAACAAGAAATATAATCCAGGATAATAATATATACATTTTTAAATACCGAAACTTAATACATCTTCTGCATTGTTATTATCGTGAAGTAAATCACTGTGGCAACCAGATGACATTTTATTGTTAGAAAGTAACTTACTCGTAAAATTGAAAAATTTTATGTTTATTATATTCTACGGAAGCATAAACAAGCCTCCTCTTGACAACCAATTTTCATGAAGAATTATGACGGTTTTAAACGCTTTTACTGAGAAAAATAACGCGATTCGACAGGTATAAATTCTAGAATTCTCCGGTAACAATTTATTCAAAACCATACTATTGCACCATTATCATATGCAAAATCTTAAAAAGTTATCATTGTATGGCCGTGCGTAAGTGGTTTTATCACATAAACCGCGGCGCAGGAGTGTAATAAAGCCATTTAATAAAAACGATATTACACTAGTGTAATAACACTTTGACGTGACGTCATTTGCGCTATATAGTCATAGCGTTATTAAAAGCGCGCTAATGTGAGCGTTACAATATAGGCGCGTCGTTGAAAAATTACTCATTTTTACAGTTTATTGTTCTTATTTTATATTATGTGATAAATAGAATATTATATTCGTGTAAATTCAATACTAAATTTATTGAACTCGTTGAATAAAACAATATTATGCTCGCCAGAGGCTCGCATAATATGATTTTATTCAACTCGTTCAATAAATTTAGTATTAAACTACACTCATTCAATATCCTCTATATATGCTTATATAACGCAGAATGTAAAGTGGGGTTCAGATGGCAAAGAAGCGTTTATAAACGGTCATACAACTAAACGAAATGTTTTAAAAATAACAATAGTATACATTGTATTATGTACATGTAATTGTAGTTCATGTATATGTCGAAATAATGGAATTCACGACTATATAATTTGTAAGACACGACGAATGGCGTTAACGATAATGTGTTTTAGAAATACACAGCGAATGGCGTTGAGGACAATATGATTTGGTAAGCCACGACGAATGGCGTTGACGCTAATGTAATTTAGTAAACACGCCAAATGGCGTTGACGACACTGTGATTTAAAAAGACACGGCAAATGGCGTTGACGCTAATGTAATTTTGTAAACACGCCCAATGGCGATGACGACACTGTGATTTAGTAAGACACAAAGAATGGCGTTGATGACAATGTGATTTATGAAGACACGACGAATGAATGTCAAAACAATGTGATATAGTAAGACATTTAGTAATGGCCTTTACGACTCTATTTTTATGTGACACACGGCGAATGGCGTCATGACGACTTACAAGATGGTTGACGTATTTAAATCATTAACACGACAAAAAAACGAAACATATCATTATTTTACGAAGTTCTATTGATTGTGTAGTCAGATCGGCAAATACGTGTGTTCCATGAACAGTGTTAAAGTAACTACAGGTCATTTGGTAATTGGAAAGTAATTTACTCGTGATAATATACATTGTTATATCTAAATTATCAGTTCATTGAAGCAATGTATGAGTACATGTATCTCTATTAACCTTCACTTATTACCGCTGAAGTTACTTTGTTTGCAAAAAAAAACAAAAACAACAACAACAACAACAACAAAAAAACCCCAAAAAACAACAACATATTTTGTTCGGTATGGTGTGGGTGGGATGTGGGTAGGTAGGTAACTCAAAGGTTCTGACAGCCTTTAATGAGGCTAGATTCAAGTTCAAAATGTATTCTAAATCTGATATACATATACAGTAAAACCTGTGAACAAAGTCCTATCAAGGGAGAGATCGAACACGGTCTTTATAGACAAGTGGACTTTATTAAGAGGTTAATTTGTTCTTCTTAATCAATAAAGGATTGTCAGAGAGTGACTTTTATTAACAGGGTGGTCTTTATTCGTAGATGGTCTTTAACACAGGTTTCACTGTATAATCATTTATGATAATTTTATTGATGTGAGTCTGTCACTGCTTTAATTATAAGCATTATTAATTGATCATTCAATGTTTTGGTGAAACTACTAGTATTAGGTTTATGGTTATGATATTAAAGAAACTAATTTCTAAGAATAAAAAAAAATCTTTTCTTGAAAATATAATCCTGTAATTTCTCCATGAGACGTTAGAATAGTGTAGTTTTTATTCATCAAAGCTTCACATATTAAGATGAATACATAAAATCTTAAAGAATCTTTCTTTTGCATAATTTGTTAAATATGACTGATAAAAATGATATCAATATTTTAACACTAAATTTCTTCCCCGTTAGTTACGTACGAAATAAGTGCTATTTCAGCATATTTGTTCTGCATATTTGGACATGTTCAAACTATTTTTGTGTATAGTTCATGTTACAAGCCACTGTGGTTTAATACCACACAGTCTGTAGGCGGCAACTGAAACTACCCGAGCGACCAGTGCAGACCAAAATCAGCCCGGCACATCGGTGCAGTCTCATCATGGTCTGCACTGTAAATAATGAAATGGTCTTGTCCAGATTTAAACATAGACAAGTTCATTTAAGATATTAGGTATGGTAAGAATTTTACATTTTTTTAACTCTATAAAATTTGTTTACATGTTAAAACTATCTTTGAATTAATTTAAAGGGTATAAATCTATATTTTATGAAATATTTAAATAAAATTTATCAACAGTAAAACTATTTTGATTCCATTATTATACGGTTGATTCCCGAAAAAGTTGTAACATAGAATGCCTGTTATTTAATTACGTATATAAACAGAATAAAATGTTTCGCAACAAAATATTATTTTGCTATTTTAAGTAAGGTTCTATCCGTTTAGCAATGATTTTGTGCATGCGCCATTCGCTTTTAAGGCAATAAATTACCATATTTATTTTATACAAGCATTTTGGAAGTATATATACCTTCTTAAATTCAAACAATAATTTTTGTATCAGATATACACTTTAAATACACATGAAACAAAAAGCTTGTTGCTTTAAATTGCAGTAAGTAATTTACCATAGGTACATAGAGGTATTTGTTGGCCAACTTTAGACCTAGTCGGCAGTTCTTCACTCTGTTATGTCCCGACAGGAGATGGTAACTTGGACAAACACCCGGGCATATCGACTCGAGGAGAGCACACAGGGCGGTGCCATCTTGCCAGCTGGTGCAGAAATCGTGCACGACAACGTGAGACCTAAGTCGGCTATGGACCCAGTTCAGTAAACGCTGTCGTCGTCGGTAATCTATGAAACAAAATATGAAACGTGTTGTTTCGGACAAAAATAACGTTCGGATGAAAAATAACGTTAATGAACCGTAAGCAAAACAATGGCATAGCAATAATGTCAAAGGGCTTGGTTCACTTATTGTCTAATTCCTTTTTTTCCCCAAAATTTTAGAAAACTTTTATCGGGTAAATGAACCAAACCCTTCACGAAATATATACAATTAAAATTGGAATTTGCGTATTCTTTAACGAAGATTTTAATTATTCCATGAAATTTGCATATTATGCCAATGCTTATGTTTGTTTGTTTGTTTTTTTGACAAAAAGAGTAAATGTATCATGGTTTACCGCTGAGCAGGAGGTCAAGCATTCGTTCGCCAAACTTTGGTTTGATCATAATCTCGCCATAGTTCTCTACAAAATACAGCCGACGATGCCGCCGGGAAAGGACCTTAAGTGGATTATGGTCCCAAATATAGTGCGCGTACTGGCACAGGCACTCGAACACGGTCTTCAGTGTCATCCATACCAGGCGAATCCTTAACTCTAGAAAGAGAAGAAAAATGGTTAAGTGTTTTTTATTCGGCTTATGAATATACTTGTCAATTCATTTTTTTACCTGCATCGGATACAATACACACGTTTTCTGAGAATGAAAAATAATCCATTATCATGCATGTATTTATTTCACTTCAAATATTTATAGGGGTGGTTAATCTTGTTGACTTCAAACTACTTGCCCCTTCCTGCCATGAGTTTATATTCTCTTATGTGAGGAAGCATCCAGCTATCTTACGGAAAGTCGGTGGCTCTACACTGGTGTCTTTTCGTGCCTAGAATAATGCACGGAGGGGTGCATGAGGTCTTCCTCCAAGAAGTATTGTGGAACTTAAAGGTATACTAGTAGTATTTTTTACTCCCAAATCAACAAAACTGTTTACTGATTCCCCTTTCTGATAGGAATACTTTTTTTTCAAAGACTTAACTGTTAGTGCTTATGCATCAAACTCATTACGGCAAAGCTTCCAGAGGCGGCTTCGATCTAAACAGCTCCTGATTTCAAAACAACTAATCGTCGTCTCAAACTGAAAACTTTTGGTTCTGGTGATGAAATAATCACAGTATTGTAACGACGTTGGCAGTACGTCATAATACTGATAATGAGGAAAATAATATGCAAACACTAACGTTTGCGAATTAACATAAGGGAATGTTGACACAAACCCCACTTTCCGGTGCGACAGGGTGTGTGTGCCTTAAAACGTTACATTTGATGGCAGCGGTAGGATGAAGACAACTGTCAGACTGGAGTTGCCGTATCCTATGATTTCCCTGGCCAATTGAGTCTCGTCCTCTCAGAGGGGAAAGTAATGTATCTACGTTGCATGGTAGTACGTCATAATACTGATAATGAGCATAATAATATGCAAAAACTAACGTTGGTGAATTAACGTAAGGGAATGTTTCCCAAGGACAAAAACCACTCTCGGTGGTGAGCTAGCTTTTCACCGTCAGGGTTTGTGTGCCTGAAAACGTTACAGTATAGCCTATGCAGAGCCTCACTCAAAGACAAATATTTTAGTTGTTGCTAAGAGATGTTGCACTTCTATGAATGGTTACTTTGGCAAGATACACTTCATTAGCTGTAGAGGTATTTGCTCTGCAGGGGACCGGTCTGTGCAGAGGGCCGGTATGTAGAGGTAACACTGTAATTGTATGAAATTCTTACCCGCTTTTGTCTGACGATAGACTGGTACCTTCTTTCCGTTTTTATGGACAACCATCTTGTTGCTAGAGCGTCATTAGCTTATCCCTGAAACCAAAACACGTTTTCATAAAATATCAAACTCCTCACAGTAATTACCTCCCTTGCTAGATTGTATTGATAAGGGGAGATCACTGCGTATGAGATTGATAAAATACATCTGTATCAAATATGTATAGCGGTCTGATATTTATAAATTTCTACGTCATAACAAATATATTCCATTAGAGACGATAAATTATTTAGCAAACAATACGAAATTCCCGTTACTTTATTTTTCAGAATGTTAATTAACCGTCCGAATCAATAATGTAAGCAACCTTTATTTCAAAATATGTAAAAAATAAATTGGAAAATAAGATAATATATAAGATAATAAGCATTAAAAGATTGGCCAGGAGGTCTTTATAATGCTTTTTCATCGTCTAAGTATAGGTAAGCATTTACAAAATAAAATTGGCCAATTTAATTTAGTGTTTGAAATTAGTTCATTTGTTTGAAATTATTTTTTTTATATATAAAATTGTCGATTTACAAGACTGATAAAAAATTTAGGCGATTAACCTAAGTAGATATGCTATGATTGGTTTGAAATGTTGGAATTCTTTCGGGCAAAATAATTTCAAACACTAATGAATTTTGATTCCTGAACAGGAACATCACTCCATCAGTTTTGTATGTCTTTTTCGGTACAATTAAGTTGTTTTTCTTTTTACTTAGCGGGGAGGAAAGTTTTCAAAGATTCTGTAATTGATATAACTTTTGGAGCTTATGTAGACTTCACGAGTTCCTGTAACATCTTACATACGTAACATGTATATGTGAAATTTTTCAACGTAAAATTGGAACTCGACAAGAAATGTCTTTTTATTTAATGGAGTTTAGTTAATTAAATTTATTATTAACTTTGCTTTCATATTGTATTTTGTTTTCAGAAACCATCTTTTTAGAGTCCAATTTTATGTTCGGCTTCTGACTTAAAATCCAGTTTTGAAGAAAAATTACAAATTCACTGCAATCGTATATAAACCTTTTTCATTGGCTAATCTGTTTCTTTGTTATAATTATGCAGTTAATCACAATAATTGAGCAAGTTAAAATACAAAGTCGCTATCATAATTTATACGCGTCGGATTTTTCAAAGTTCGATTTCAATAATCAAAATATCGTCCATTTAAGAAACGATAATGCCATTGGATTTAGCTATATCAATCGCGAAATTGTACATTTGCAGTCAATGTTAATCGTATCGTCAAAGTATCTTATATTGCAAAAAATATGGTACTTTAACGTGGTGATTAGATTTATTACAGATAATAGCATATTTGTCACTGGTTTCCGGTTTTCGAATGTTTTTCATTGCGTCTAAGTTACTATGTTAAGATGTAAAATACAAATTAGAGCATTTATTTACGGTAAATAGTTCATAGAAATTCAATTATTTGTTTCTGAATACAAACTATCGATTTTTGTAGGGGCAAGACTGTAATATATAAGATTAGAATTAGCACCTAAAGAATATCGCCTCTTTGGTAAAAGAAATTCTTTAACGAACTTTTCTAAATATATATAGAAAATTCCGTCCTTTAACGTTTTTGAACTCCTCCATCAGTTGTCATTTATTTTAGTACTCCAATACTCTTTTGTACCTTCCTCCCGTTAGCGGACTGGAAATAGTTTTTCAAGATTTGTGTACCATTCGATAAAGATCTTGACAAAAAGAGCAGTGTAAAATGTCAGATCATTTTCTCATTCAAATTTTCCATGATAATCATTCTTACATAGCAAAATGTAATAAAATTGAAAGTTTTTCAACGCTAAAAAATAACAAAGAATCGTTTTTTTTTATTTATTTTTTATTTAATTTTATGTTTTACTATTTTTTGCATAGTTTTTTTTCTGTTTTAAATGCCTCGATTTGTCTATGAAAGAGTTCTAAACTTTATATGTTCGGCTTCTGGAGCTCCAGTTGAAGAAAATGTAGAAAATGGTCACAAATCATATTAAACCTTTTTGTCTATAATGCTAACATAAATCCTAGATTTTTTTTGTTATGAAATTAATGGCAGTGTATTCACACAATACTTGTACACTACCTTATATATAATACAAAGAGTCAATATCCAGTATTTGCGGCAGTACGGAAGATTTTTTCCCAAAGAAATTCAAATAAAATCCAGAAATACTAAATCCGTATCACATATAGATGAATAATAATGTCTCATTATTAGTATATCCAAATCTGCAAATTGTACATTTGCGCTCATGCTTACTCTGATCGTCCTTTAAATATCTAATTACGGAATAAAAACGGATCGACTCTTACGTACAGGTGTTAGATTTATCGACATTATGCTTTTGTCAACTGGTTTGAGTTTCGCCAAAAGATAAATAATTCCATTACCTTCAATAATAACTCCAATTTACAGATTTATTGTAAATATCAATTAAACTGAGAATATATGTTCCGAATAGTTATTATAGGCATTTCCCCATTATTATTTGCAGCATTGTCATGCATGCCACCACGCCTGGATCGATTTATTCTCAGAGTTACCTGTGCGCATGAGCAGTGGATACTGTGGTAACGGTTATATATAGATATCGGAATTGTCATTCTTAAAAGGGAATGATGATACGGCCTCTCTGCGTGACACGAAATTGACGTTTAAATCAACTTTAATGCTAATGAATAATGGAATATGAAAACATTCGATGTCACATTTAGAGCGCTTTTTGTAACACTCCTTTTTCTCTAATACTAGTTGTATTTATTTTAGTTCTAATTAAAAATACATAACTTTTTCCCCATTACGTCATCACTAGCACTAAAACTATCATGTATCTTAATTTCTTTGTTATATTTGTTTGTTATACGGTTCTTTTAATTACGTATATTGTCAATAGCTGTGCAATACATTTTAACCAGAAACAAACATTTTGCTGAATATGCTTCATTTAAATGAAAGACTGGTACCATATGGTATATTTGATTAAGCTGAGACAGTACATTTTTCTCGTCATTTTTGTTGGTTTGTTTATTTCTTCTTCCAATACAAGAATAATAATATTGTCAATTTGCGTTGTAGAATCGTCGAGGACCCGCATGCGTGTACCGAGACTGGATATTCCGACCGTACGAAATATTAAGTTGTTTTTCTATTACATTCAGTCATCCATTATTTATATTATTCAACAGCGTTTCTTCGTTTTCAGCTTATTTAAAATACTCAAACGTCAACAGGGACATCTGAACCCTAATAAACAGTAACACGGCGCAGTCAATACAAAATATTTATTCGATGCTAAATGTTCATTAGCAACAAAATCAACGGAACGGTTCAAGACGGCGAGGTCGAACAAATATCATCACAACACGACACAAAATAATTGGCGAAGTCAACACTAGTTAACGGCGGTTGTCGGCACAAATAAACGACGAAGGCAAATGCATGTTTACGAAAGACTGCATGCAATCAAACGGCCGAAGACAACAGACGGTGGAGGATAACAATAACAAAATAAATAAACAAATCGCAAATGAACGGCTGAGGATATTTCTTTGTTAATTTATAAAGTTTTTTTTCTTCTTCAAGTCAAATAATGTTGGTGTTTTTGTTTTATGATACATTGTACTAATAAACTTTGGATTATGTGACAGTGTATATAAACACAGATATATATTTAGCTCCATGATATAACCGAGTGTGTGCAATTTTGATCAATTGGGAATAATTGTGTAAAACAATGGTTTCACGCACAGGTTACGAGAGGGTAGTGACCGACCAACCGGATTTTTGCATAGATACTACTTACTTGACATATCGTTGCAATTGGAACGTCCTCGGATATTATTCATAATACCATTATAGTAATGTTCATAATAGTCCAAAACCGAAGAATGACGGAAAGGGCCGAAAAGTTGTGATTGACAAGTTTTCCAGCTAAGGTACACACATACATGTATGATGTTGTCGAAATCATCCTTTCTGCGTTTGTTTCTTAGGGTGATTCAGTTCTTTTTAGGCGGAAAACGACTTACTCAAAGTTGTATTTTGATTGACATACTGAGGAAATATGCAATTACACTTGACTTTCAACAACTGGATATGAAACACGAGAAGTTTATAAGGAGTAGTACGGACAAGTTTTGTGACGGACGGGCAGACAGACAGACTGACGACAGAGAAGTGATCCCTATATGTCGCCACTAATCCATAGAGGCGACACAAAAATGTAACCGGGAGCGTATGTGACCGAGTGGTTAATGGCGCCGACTTCAAACCACTTGCCCCTTACCACTGTGGGTTCGAAATCCGCCAGGACTTGGGATTCTGTCATGGGCGGAACCTATCCAGCTACCTAACGGAACGTTGGTGGTTCTATTGAGATGCCAGTTCGTGACTGAAATAATGCAAGGTTGGGCACATCAGGTCTTCCCCCAGTACGATGTAAAACCGACAAAAAACACAAGACTGCATCATGTTGAACCATAATGTCCTTATACTGTATCATTATATATCTGCAATATCCTGCAAACTTGAGTTCATGACCTCTAGTCATTTCATAAATATTTCTCAAAACAAACATTTCTCTTGCTAGAGGTCATGACTTTTATACTTTCTCCCAGCTATTGAATCTTTTTACAGAAAAAGCGCATAACTTGTATAAGACATTCCAATATAAGTTGTCTCCCTTGTCACAAGAAAGATTTTTCAAGGTTTTACTTTATATACATAATGAAAATCAATGACCCCCGAGGCAGGGTCAATTTTGACCCGACGACTATAATTTTAACAATCTTGGTAGAGGTACAATAGGCATTGCCTTATGCAAAATATCTAAGCTCTATAAGGGCCATAATTTGAACAATCTTACTATATACATATAAGGAAAACCTATGAACCCGGAGCTCAGCCAATTTGGACATTAGGGGCAAAATTTGAATAACTTTGGTAGAGGACCTATAGGCGACATTAAATACAATATATCAAAGCTCTAAGCCTTGTACCTTCAGACAAGAAGATTTTTAAGTTTTAACTATATGAACATAGTGAAATCAAGTACCCCCAGGCAGGGCCAATTGACCTGAGGACTATAATTTGAACAATCTAAGTAGAGGTTCAATAGGCAAAGCCTTAGGCAAAATATCTAAGCTCTATGCCTTGTGGGTCTTTACAAGAAGATGTTTTTAATGTTTCATATACCTTTTTTTGGGTTGCCATGGTAACCAGATTTCTGCATAGAATAAAATATAATTCTTTTAATAATTTGGAAGCCCTTCGCCCAATGATCAATACGTCCAAGTTTGGAACTTTTGGACGTACTGTTTTTTAGGAAAAGATTTTTTAAGTTCACTATATAATCTTTATAACAGACAAACACACACACTGGTGAACTACTATATGCCACCGCATTGCAGATGTTGCGGTGGCATAAAAAAACAATACCAACTCCTGTCAGATCCTATACATGCATGTATTTATTTGACTTAATAAAAATTCCATTAATGAAATATGTGTAATTTGCTCAATGTCTCTTAACTTTGTGATTTACATACATTCACTATCACTTTTTCCTTTGGTAGTATATAAATAAACGCCTTACACAATAAATGCTAACTAAAATGTTTCAGTTGTCATTTGTAACAATGTTTAATATTCTAATTATTCAAGTACAGAACGCGACAAGCGCGGCAAGAGTGATAACTGAATGTATACAATAACATGCAATACAATCAAACCTTGTATGTACAATACAGTCAAACCTTGAATTATCATAACATTATGTACAATACAGTCAAATCTTGAAATATCATAACATAATTAATATACAATACAATACAGTCAAACCTTGAAATAACAAAACATTATATGTGATACAGTCAAACCATGAACTATCATAACATAAATTCAATACAGCCATACCTTGAATTATCATAACATACTATATAAAACAGTCAAACCTTGAAATAACAAAACATTATATGTGATACAGTCAAACCATGAACTATCATAACATAAATTTAAAACAGTCAAACCTTGAATTATCATAACATAATATACAATACAACCAAACCTTAAACTATCAAAACATAATATACATTACAGTCAAACATTGAATTATCATAACATAATATACAATACAGTCAAACCTTGAATTATCATAATTTTTTTTTTTAAAAATTCAAAATAGTCAAACCAAATTTCAGGGTTGTAGGAAAGTTATGATTTTACCTTAATGTGAAATTGATTTGCCCTTACAACTTTTCTAAAATTTAACAGATTTCAATATCAAAATACAAAAATTTGAGCAACAATGTACCACACATATAGCGAACACATCATGGCCTGGCTCTATAATGGTAGCAAGGGCTAATCCTGTTAGACCAAGAAGGCTACTGTCTTACAAATACAATCAATTTTATCTGAAGCGTGCTCATTTCACCCCTCCAACTCTATAAATGAATAACTGGACTTTGCCCCACCCCCATTCTATAAATGAATCACAGGACATTTGCTCCCCCACCCACACACATCAGTGAAAATGCAAATTTGGACAATTGCCCCCTCTCCCATATAATTGGAACTTCACTAGGTTGTAGTAAGAACATGACACTGAGGCAGTAATAAACAACTAAATGAGATCTTATGAAATTCCTGTATGTGGTAGTGTTTTTGATTTTATTCACTAATTTCAAAATCTAATGAACTCTTAACCTTTCTTTATCAGACTCATCATATGTTTGGCTCCCTATTTTAACTGATATACTTTGATATCTTGAGATGCACTCATCACAAAGAGGAGATTTTCTTGTTTAAAATACATTACAGAAATAGGGTCCCATATTCCATCTAAGCTACCTAAGATCTCTTCCATTTTGTTATTCTTTCTATCTACCAGAAATATATTGTTTGAGTCCTGACCACAAACAAAGTATTGACCATTTCTTCCCTCACAAACACAATAAGCATTCTGAAGTCTCTTGTGTGTAACCTCTGACAATGTCTTGTTAATTGTGTCAAAGACTAAGAGACCCTTTTTCCTGGTAGAAATGTACATGCAAGAGTTATAAGGACTGAAAGTTGCATGATTGATTTCTATATCAGCTTTTTCATCAGACAGGAATATATGTGTTTCAATATGACAACCTTTCAGATCATAAACTGAAACACCAAACTTATAATTGTATTCATAAAAACCAGAAAACCTTAAAAAATTCCGGCATGTCAATATACCACACACAAATAGTTTTTCATTTGAAACTGTTAAACCACAACATCGTACACCATTAAATTTCCATGGTGGATTTACTGGGTACCGCTTATAAATATCATCATTATCCCTATACATACTTAAAGACCGACTGATTAATAATGATTTTCCAGCATCAACAAATGTAAATTTGTTTTGACTATCCAAAACAGCTATCTCAGTTGGTCCGACCTGGCATAAATTAATAGCCCCACTCAAATTACATTCATCTAATAATTTATAAGTTTTATCAAGTCTTATGAGACCTTCATTTACAAGAATAATAATCTGGCCATTATCTAATATACAACTGTCACTTCCTTTAACAGAAACTTGCTTAACAATTGATGCTTCTGAGAATAAGACGCTACTGTACTGCCTATTTTCCTATCTCCATCACCTCTGACATTACCAAAAGCATCTATCTTACCTACAAAGGAAGCAATATCTTGATTGACTACAAAATCAATTTTGTCATACTCCCCTTTACCATTCTCATCAATGAAACTACTACTACTTACTTCTACCTCATGTGCTTTATTCAGAACTACAAACAATTTAGCTTCATTGTCTCCCTTGAATGCATTGACCTTTTCAATATTGCTCTGAACAGCATTCAGTTTCACATCAATTGAGTCTATGTCAGTCTTTATAGCTCTAACGATTTTGTCATGTTTCTTCTGGACTTGTTGGACAGAATTTCGTTCAATCTCTTCCACTCTGGCAATGATCTGTTCCTTCATCTTGACAATTTCTTTCAGGTTTTCATCTTTTTCTTCACCCACATCTTTTATCTGCTGTAATTTTTTAGCCTTCATGGAGTTCAGCTGTTTCCGAATCCCTTCTAGCGATGTCTTTACATCATTTCTGTCCCGTCCATTCAAGATTTCTTTTGCCAGCTTTGGGATGAAGTCAGCACTTTTGCACAATCTAAATGAAAAGAATTATTTGATACAAACTTTTTGAAAACATTTGTGACACCTAACTCTATCACAGAATATACTTTAAAGTTTGTTATGTTTACTATAAACAATGAAAGTATCTAAAGATAAGGATACTTGTAATTTCAAAGTCATTTGAGGAATGACAGTGTTTTGGCTGGTGATGATTTTAATAAATGAGTTTTGGTTCAATACTCAATTTATCAATCAAGCTGAATAAAAAACAATCGACAAATGGTTGAAAACCTAGTGAAATAAAATTTAAAGTACAAAATATACACATATACCATAAGTAAGAAATGTTCTACTTGAGTAATAAAGAAATCAAAATTTTATTTTATTTATTTTAGCTAATGAAGAGAATATTAATAAGTTAAAGCACACTCCTCATAACTTTTTACAGACTTTGTATCTAATTTGCCTGTACTAAAATAAACCCATTTTATATATTCAGAAATACATGTATAATAAATATATTAAAATTAAACTCTCACCTGTGATCAACAGCTATACAAACAGCACAACAGACAGTATCATGTTCTCTACAGTACATTTGAATCAGGTTTCCGGCATGTTTATCACAAGCTAAACCGCTTTGTGTCTGCTCAAACTGCAGCTTGCCTGATTTCACTCCAGATTTATTGTAGATTGTGTGAGTTTTGAAGCATTTGTTGTGGAACTGCACACATGCTTGGCAGAAGTAAGTCTGGCACTCGGCACAGAAATTCACACCGTCGATGTTTTTGTCATCATCAGAACAAGGTTTACATGCAAACTCGTGAACGATGTCTGATGATTCACTAACATCAGTACTTGAAGTTGCCATTCTTTTCCAAACAGGACAAATTAAGACAAAAAATCTGAAAATTTAAATTAAATATATTAAAACCTTTTTGGTTACATCTGAAATTGAATCTTTTAGAAATAAGTCACTATGTGTAATAAGTATAATTTATTTTCATTAAAATATTATTTAATTTCGGACTTGAAAATAATTATATCAATAAAACGTAATTAAGCAGTTTTTGAGAGGAAAAACATATTTCAACGTATATATTACGTGTATACATTACTAGGGGACGTTGAATTAAGCCGGTAATGTCTAATACATGTATTATTGGTTAGGGTTATGTGTGTGGCTCCCCTTCCTGATCCTCATGCTAGACTTGCACAGCGTCAAAATAAAAGCGACATATATTTAAAAGTTATGGAAGCCAGAACTACCGTTTACCATCAAGTCTCAATAAAGATGGCAAAATATGAATTAACATTAATATGAATTAACATGAAATAAGATATGAATTAACATTCATTTAAACGTGAACGGTCACGTTAAAGATATTTGCATTATGATAACTAAGGCTCCCACGTTTACAATTTTTTGTAAACGTTTACACGACTGCTAAGAACCGAAACGATACCGTTTAAACGGTGGTACCTCTATGTACTATACATACCATGTATTTGAGTCGCCAAATGATGTATTTCTTTCTATTTTTAATACATGTACAAGAAAAGCATTGATGCAAAGCATCAAAGGGCGTCCAAACAAGAAATGCAGCAGGTGCAGATGAACTAGTAGATATATATGATGACAAGATATTCTTATAAACTGTTCAATGGTTCATTGGTTTTTACCAGAATTGTATATCACTTATGAATGAACGAACGAAAGACATTGTTCATTATTTATAACTTTGATTGGCATGCTAGAAATTAGAATATTACTTGTTATTTCTTAATGATCATGGTTATTAATAGCAACGGATATACATGTATACAATCATTTATAATCCATATGAGTAACGCATAATCAACACCACACTTGTGTAATTGTCCCTTATTATGTTATCGCTATTAGCGAAGACCCCCACACTTAGTAACAATATGACACTAGTTATATTACCATGTTGATCATGTTGAGCATAAATGTTTATTATACACTAATTGTAATATATTTTTTTATAAAAAAAAATACAGATTTTATGAATATTGTTTTATTTTCATTTTTGTGTTTTATGCACTATCTTAATACTGAGTTTTTACGTTTACTATTATTTTAAGAATTCAATTGTCATAATGACCGACGATTATAAGTCAAAACTTAACTGGAAAAAGTCAGTAAATTATGGTTAATCTTTCAATATATAATAGTGTTAATTCTTAAACCATATACATGTACATTTGTATTTTTCTTTATCATTTTTTAAATTATCAATCAATTGAATAATTCATAAAATCTGATTTGTAACTTTGAATAATTCCTCGGCATCTTTACTAAACACGAAAAACAAATTAAATAAATTGTTTCAAAGTTGATAGTGTCATATTAATGCCATAAAAATGTACATTTTTCTCAATTATTGTACACATTATTGTTTTTATCTCATATAGATAAAATAAAACATGCGATTTGTGTTGTTGGTTTTATTTTTCGAATTGTATGTTTATGTATAATAATAATAATCAATAAATTTGAGAGTTGATCAGTGTTTATTAATCATTGTAACCAAACTAAGTGACAAACATTCATTTTGAAAAAAGCTTATTTATCTGTAAAATATTAATAATTTGTTCTGTTCTGTAACGATATCAAACATCTACTCCAAAACCGGGAGAGACCGGACAATAAACGTGTGGTACTATTCGCCGGTCGACAAAATAGACCAGGAGAGACCGGGAATTACCGACAGGAGTACATCCCTCTATAAATAGATTTTCGGAATATTTAGGTCATCAACTCATCATTCTATTTACAGCTTTCGGAATAACATACCATAATTACCCACTGTGTACTACAAAATGATAAATAAAAATACCCCGAATAGCGCGATTTATTGACGGAAAAGGTTATTTAATTTGAAAATGTTTGCATTGCGAAATTCTCCAGTTCGCTATTCATTATACATATCGCGACTAATTAATAATCAAGCACCCTCATACCGATCGGAATGATCGGCTTTTATTATGAACAACTATAGAAGGCTCGAGAAGTTGCTGTCGCCCTTTCACAAAATCTGATTTCATTACATAAAAGGCGCCGCGCTTCGGCGCGGACGCCAACAATAAAGAATTTGCAAGGCTCATCACGATTGAGTCAGCACACATTTTTTGCATTGTAACCCCATTTTTTACGAAAAATGTATTATGTCACGAGCAATTTTGCACGGTAATGCTGTGTGGAGGGTTGTAAACACCCATTTTCCGTTTGTTTACTTTGGAATAAACCACTAGAATTGGTAAAATCCATGATTACAGGCAATGATTAAGAAATTTTGTAAGACAAATTTAGACAATATGGTCATTTCGATTAAACGGCAAACAATATCGTAAACGTTTATGAATGAAAATCGAAACGAATCCGTTTAAACGTGTAATCGTGGGCCTTAATGATAACAAAATATAATGATGTCCGAAAATTACATGTTATCCGATTAATGATCACCACACTAAAAGCACCAAAATTCAAGAAAATCTAAAAAGCACTTCTTTCAATATGAATATGATCTACGTGGAGTTGGTTTATGAAAAACCATTAAATAAACATTAAAAACAGTGAAATTGCCATGAAATGTCTGGTAAATTCGCTAGACTCACTGGACCTATGCTCACCCAATAAAGGCAATTATTTGATTACTATTTAATACACTTTGTCCTTAAAAAAACTTTTTCGAATTTGTTTTATAGCTGGTCATAGAATAGAATGTTTTATTACCAATCATGGGCCTTCTCAGGCATACAATTACATAAAATATCAGTACATTAAATGTACATAAACAAAACAATAATAAGATAACATAAGCTAATTCTGATTTGATAACACAATTAACAAAGGACTAGTAACTATATGTATTCAACAAAGGCATTTTAAATGACAACACATAAAAGAAATAGAATTTGTAAAAAACCTCAACAATGACTAACCCACATTATCTTTTGAGATGTACACTGACAAAGACTAATTAATGATGTTAATAAATAACTACAATTACTTATTATGCATAAAAGTTCTATTATTGTTGTACTGTATAAATGTATTTGACTAAAATGATTATTTATACAATCAGCTATTGACCAGTAAACGCATATTAACATGATAATTGTTTTACACATTTGAATGTATTTGACCCCTCACTAGTATGTGGGAAAGATACTTCTATTAGATTGGGAAATAATCTCACAATTATTTGGCATTTTTTAAGTTGTTGTAATTTTAAGTGACCGTATGTTATAACACTGCCATATATAAGATGCAGTAAGTTCAATAAATTTTTCATTTTTCATTGCTAAGCAAAAATATATAAATTGATCTTTACAATTGAGTGTAGGAAAGTTTTTACATAAATCAGCACATTCTTTAAGGTAAATGCTTCTAAAGTGTCATATTTAGGACATTCAAGCATGAAATGAATTTCATCTTCTGTTTTCCCTAGATTGCACATTTTACATAATCTCTCTGAGATAGGAATATTTTTGTATCTACCACATTCTATTTCTAATCTATGGCACTTATTCTAAATTTTGTATAGCATGATCTTAAATTACTGTCCCCTAAAACACTAAGATATTGTTCACTAACAAAAACAGTCTTAAATAAGGCATATGTACGTAATTTACCAATTTGTTGTTCGCCACAAACAGTCATTCTGTTTAACCAATTTGATTTAAAACTATTAATGGCTTTGGACTTGACAATATGATGAATGTTTTTATTATATGAGCAAAAGTTGTTTATATTCATATGATCTTTAACAAAGTAAATACTTGACATCCAACTAGTTTTTACCATGATCATGCAACTGACAACTTTCTTTAAATGCTTATAATAACAAGTGAGGATAATCAGGCCATGCCAATCTTTGGTAATATTAAACAGAATGACATAAAATATCTATATAAAAAGGGTGACGCCCTGATTCACCAAACAGCATCATTTGTAGCTTTCTTATTAACACCAAGAATGTATTTCAGGGCTTTTAAATGTTTCTTATCACATGGAAGGTTATCAAAAGACATTTCAAGACTTTCATTACCTTTTTTACGATACATAAATCTGTATCAAGTGTGCCCCATATTTCACAAGCATATAGTAAACACTCGTTTAATCGTATGGTCAAACAAATGCACAAAACTTTTAACATAAATATTGCTACTAGATATACATTTCAAAAGTTTAAAATATGCTCTTAAAGCTCTCTTACATAAATCCTCCTGACAATGATGAAACAAACCATTGGCAGAAAATACAATACCCAAGAATTTGTAGGTATTGACTTGGGTTATCAGTTGTGATCTATAGTAGATATTAATAACTGGACACTTGCCCTTACAAAATACTAAAACATTTGTTTTGCTAATGTTGACTATTAAGCAATTCTGTTCACAATAATCAGACAATTTATCTAAACAACTTTGCAAACCTTTCTGACTTCTAGACAATAAAAGCAAGTCATCACCATATAGTAAACAATTGAGTTTTAAATCATTTAACAAAACCGGGTCATCTTCATCAGAGAACATACTTGGCAGATCATTTATGAATATTTTAAACATATTGGGGCTTAAATTATCACCCTGTTTGACACCAACATCTTGTTTAAAAGTGTTTGTTAAACAACTACCATGAAATTTACCAATTTCCTTATTTTTTGATTCATGTAAACATGAGTTACTTTCTATCTTAACACTAAGGTAAGAATTGTCATACATGCTATTCAAAATATTGAAAAATTTACCAGTTACACCAATGCTATGAAGTTTCACAAAAAGAGCAGAGTGTAAAACCGTATCAAACGCTTTTGAAAAATCAACAAAACATGCATAAAGCTTATGCTTATTAGCCTTAAA